CACAAAGTGTCATTCATACCATAATGACTCTTCTCAACCATTAGGTAATTGATAATTAGGTTAATGTGGCTCATTTTGCTGTTTACTATTCACTCGAACTCATCATAGAAATAAAAGCGATAAACTTGACTAATTGTTTGGGTAACATTTCCATTCAAATCGTCCTGGGACTCATACTCATAATCCTGCCACGTTACGTTTTTGTTGAAAACTGAGCGAATTACTAGCATTAACATAAGTTCACGGATGTGGGTTTTCAGGCAACTCCTTAGCATAGAAAGAGAAATTCCAAACCTGAAAGGTTTAAAGCCAACAAATGTTAAATAGAGTGGTTGTTTGGTCAATTGCAGAACCGGGTAGTTGTTCGAGAACTGAAAAATATCAAATATTTATAAAAATATATAATAACGTTATTGAATACTCACCATCATAGTTACCACATCCTGTTTGTACCGAATTTTTTTCCGCTTTCGCAAAAATGTCACTTCGAATGCCTTTGGCAAAGTTCTATGGTGCAACAGGCTCCAGGATTTCAATACAAAATAGTTGGGATCATCTTTAAGAACAAGATAACTTCTCTGAAATTTGCGATGCTGCTTTTGTAGGTTCAAAGCAATTGTCAAAAATAAGACCAATAGAAGTAAATGTAACATTAGTGAAATCATTTGAGCATTCATTTTTTGACTTGTACTCTGCAATATGCATATTTTTATGCCCGGCTGGATAATAAAACTGATGATATGCAGGGCAAAGTATCGTGAAACAGTTTGATGAACGCGCCAAATTATGGTTTGCTGTCTCAGCACTCCCTTCAACATATGCAATCTATCATGTCTCATGTCTTGCAAGAGAAACGCATTAAGCGATCTGAAGATACAGCTTAGCCAGATCAGATAGTTTCCAAAGAACAGCAGCTCAAAGTGATAAATAAATCCCACGCCGAATAAAAAAATACTCTGGTAAACCGAATAGATTCGTATCTGCCATAGAAGTCGCAGAATAATCAGTATGACTAGCAGTAGGGTATAGATACATTCTCGAGGAATCTTTGCACACAACAGATCTCCCATAATCATTTGCATCGACCTATGCAGGCCAGCACATTCATTCAACAGCTTCGCGAGGTGTCTTCTCAGGATTAAAAAGTAAATATATAGCGGAAAATATAGTAGGATCACAAACTGGTCGTACATCCAGCGATGACTGAAGCACAGATAAAGCCAACTGGTCAGCAGATTAACAAAAGCCATTATTTGCACGTATAGTTGCTCGTCGCATACAAATTGCCTCAGGTGCTCCGAGTAGCCCACGTTATAGAAACCTAAATATAGTCCGATCCTTCCAGTCTGATACCACACACACATTAAGTGGCACAGACAAAATCCCCTGGCAGTTGCGTGTTTCTCCATTTGTGTGGTAATAAGCGTCGTCACTGAACTATCACAAAACTGTATCGAAAACAGGGGAAAGTTCATTTCAATTGAACTGAATTGGATTGAGTATGATAATAGATAATCGTTTATATAATTATTGCTGATCTAATGGCATTTATCCTAGTTCATGGTTATTTATTCAATTAACGAACTATATTAATCAGGTAGTCTGCAATACTCCAGAAACTCGTTTAAAATGCGTGTACCAAATGAACGAGTTAATACATTTGAGTGCGCGACTGGTTTGCAAATTCATTACCTTTGCGAAAAACTTTTTAATAAATTTGTACAAGGTTTTGTTCATAAACACAAAGAGCATCAGCCACTATCAATTATTTTCCATTGTTAACATACCTCTCAGAGTTTTTTTACCCACGAGAATTACTTGGAAAAAATAAAGAGAATCATATTTTATGCTCTGTTTATTTGCGGAGTTGCACTCCGGACCGCTTTAGCAGTTGACACTCGGATGTGGAAGTGGATAGGGATATGGATGTGGATGTGGCTATGGATACGGCTATGAAATGGGTGGAGCACTTAAAATGGCATAAAGCCATAAGAGGTCACCTCGTCCCCGTGCTCCACACAATCCCTGTTTACCTCTATCTCTGTCTGGCCATTGCCAGCGCACCGGAGCCCATTCTCCCCCGGTTGGTGGCATCTTGGCCAAAGTTTTTTCCTGGCTTTTTCATCGCCCGGCAAATGGTTTTACACGCATGTAACTTCCCCAGCCCACATACATATATGAATGCGATGGGGATCTCCATGCCGCAGTACAGGACAGCTTGTGTGGCCGCATATAACAATGGGAAAAAGTGCATGTTTTTATTACAAATTGCAATTGTGAAAAATTTTATACATGGCCGCATCGTTGTCCTCTCGTCGCCGCATCGTGTCACATTCCGGACCTTCGTCCTGTAACCGGCGTGACACGAAAAAAGGAACCTAGGGGTACACTCCAAAAATAACAGGGAATATAAAGTATAATTTCAATATCTTACCTATTTTATGGGACTTTGGAACCATGGGCACTTGTGTAACATTTTCAATATCATGGAATTAATTTAGTTATTAAAAATAATTTAATGTGCAGTTGCTCTGAAAACTGGAAAGTTAAGAAAAGCATTACTCAATGGTCTAAATTGCAAAAGAGAGTTTAGTTAGTCAAGCAAGAATCGGCTTTTTTACTTCACTCAACAACTTTTTATACTGCATAAAAGGGTTCGAGGGTATTGGGAGCTGTTCCTGTGATAGTGTCGCCAAAAATAAACTGCCACATAAAACTTCTACCGCATATCCTGTCTGTGTCCTTGCCACTTGCCAGGCTCCATTTTTTTGTTCTGTTTGTTTGCTGCGTGCGGCATGCATAAAGCAAATGAATTTATTTTTGGACTGCCATTTTTTCAATTTAAATGCTTTTTGCCGTCGGCTAGTTGGAGAGTCTTTCTTACTTTTATTTTTTACTCCAACTTTTTATAGGGATTTTTCTTTTTGATTCCACGCTTTAGTCGAACATTTTTTTGTCGATTTCGTTCGGCTATAAATTTCTGCATATTTTCATTAGTTGTCAGAAATGCTTTTGATGATTTATGCATGTTTTTGACGCTCTTTCGTTCGCCTTCGTTCCACATGCCCTTTTTGCATTTTTGGAGAACACCCCAGCCAGCGATAAAAAACAAAACAAACAAACTTATTAAAAATGTAGTTGGTAAGGCAAAGTTTTTAAGCTAATGAAAATTGCTGCATTTGTCGGAATGTTGAGTGTGGACAGCTGCGTACTCGAAAATCCTGTGCATTGAGGATAGAAGATTGAAGCGAAAACATTGTAGCAACTTTGTTAGTAAAAACTGTGGCAGACATTTCTCCAATTATGCTATGGAGAAGCTTAGAAAATTAGAAAAGCCAAAGCTTTATTAAAACCCATGCTCTCAATAGCTTTTATATTATATATTTTTCTTTTTTTTTCACTAAGTCATATTTTTAATGCCAGAATTTCCTAGAAACTCCTAAAAGCCATTACGAAAAAAAGGAATGGTTTAAGCTGGAGCCTTCCACATTCCTGTGAAGTTTCGCGCTGAGAGCTGGAATAATATTCCGCTCATTTTCTGCAAAGACGTCTTATTTAACTGCCGTCGTAAATTCGCACATAATGAAGTGGTCGACGGATATCTGCCATCTACTCCGGTTAGGTGTGATGTGGTTCAGACGGCAGCTGCTAACGCTGATTGTGATGTTTTCCAACGCCTACATTCCTGCAGCTTTTCCTCTGCCGACTGACGTCTCTAATGATTGTTTGACAAACATGCCCTGCTAACTGTCTGCCTTTCTTCCTGCCTTCCTGCCATCCGTTCTTGCTTTCCCTCATCAGTTCTGCGAGCCCAACAGCCTAGTATCCCGACATCGGCCAGTCGAAGCTCTTTATTGAATTCCAACGTGGCGCCCAGACTGGTCCTTGGCTCTTGGTCCTGAGTCCTGGGACCAGGGTCCTTGGGTATCCGTGCCTGGGCCGACATGTACAGGATTTTAAAAATGCCACATAAAAGCGCTGAGCGCTACGACACGAATTCAAAATTGAAATGACAAAGTAAACGGCGAGCGTTGAAAGCTGAGTAGGAAAGCAAGTACACCTAAAGAAATTGGTCGTTGAGCGGCACTTTTCCTTCTAACACAAATACATTCAGTATACATTCCGCTAAAAAAATATTATACAAAAGCAGTACTCTAAATTTCGCTAAGTGTGGTGTGGTTAGCAGCGTAGAAAAGTCGCCTAAGGAAGGAGCCGCTTGAGTTTGACAGTTTTGGGTTATGCTGCGATGAACATGGCCGATATGCTGCCATGCAAATCTCCTTCGCAAGTGGCAAGTGGAAAGTTGAGGGAGGGAAGTGAGCAAGCAGCGATTGAGACCTGAACAAATTAATCGCCATTCGGTGCTGAACTGAAAGTCAGGTTTGACCGAGTTTACACACTCTGCGCTTTATTTTTTGTCGCTCTTTGCGAAGGTGGGCTTCTGCGGCGAATTCCCAGTTCGCAAATAAATTAGTTTGCTACGTGAGCGACGCAAATCTGAAGTGGGTCTGACAGCGGTTCGGTAGAATTTTTAAATATTTAAGCGTGTGCAACTTATCGATTTGGCGGACTGACTACAGAGTCCGCTAATTGAAGTGGTTTTAGTGTGTGGCAATGCCATCAATTATCCGCAGCTCCGGAGGAGCTAAAAGCATTTGCCCAGGGATCCAAGTACAAAGCAGAGGTACACTCAAACAAATTACGGATAAGTCAATGGGGGTAGTAACTAAAAGCAGGACTAAGAGCTAAATATTCCTTACAATGTGTTTTAACACAATGTGATAAAAATGGTATTTAGATCTATTACGGTCTATACGGCGAAGTGCTCTTAAGTACTTAAGACTAAACTACTGTTATATTTTATACCGGTGTAACATTCACACATTAGAGCTAAGTACTCACCAAATTGTTATGGCCGTCAGTCGCATTTTTGCTCCTTTGACTGCACAGGACGACTCATCCTGTTGCCGTCGCTGTCGCTAGTCCAATTAGTTGGAAACATGCCGCTGTCAGCGCCGCTGCACAAACTGCTCTGCGTGTGCCACATTGTCAGCTACTTCGATTACCAGAAGAAAGTGTGCCAATTTCTGTGCTTGTACAACCTGCGATACAATGAGGACACCCAGGAGTTCGACTTTGGGCATCAGGTGTTCATATACTTCTTCTGTTTCTGGAGCCTCCTGTGTCTTTCGTGTTACTTAATGTATCTCGATGGATATGTTATCGATCGAGGTAGCCTCTTTATATACTTCCTGCCCTGCCTCTATTACAAATATCTGCAGAGATCAATGCTAGCAACTTTGAATGAGATGGCGAAAGTTCACAGGAATCTGCAATCCACAATGGGAACTATGTTTTGTGTGTCCGTCAAGCGGGCATTTTGCTGCTCCTGGCTGATATCTATTGAACTGGTCTTCGTCATCTACTGGCAAATTCGGTCCTTAAAGAACGTCATCCAACGTTTGTTGGTGTTTTCCTGCCTATTTGGCTGGCATCTGCAGCTTCTCCTCTTCGTTAACAGCTACATTTGGCTGCATTCCATCTACATAGTTATGAATCAGATATTTACTTCAAATCAACTTACGAATGAAGAGCACTGGAGAAGAATCAGGACTATAATGAAACTTCACGGTACCGTACAGCAAATCCAACGAGACATATCCCATTACTTCAGTGTGTACATATGTTCTGTAGTAGTACTTTTATCAAGCGTTTTCTACCGCGCTGCTTATGAAGCTGGTTTTGATTGGGATCATAGCCGATTGGTGTCGTTGAGATTGCAGTTTTGGCACATAAGATACTTTGGAAATCTAATTCTGCTCATTGGCACTCTACTTATTGTTGTTTGCGACTATAAATCGCAGAGAAATAAGTTCTTAAAAACTGTATGGAACACCCAACTCCTGCTCCAAAAAACATGGAGTAGCATAAGTTCGAATCGCTGCAAACAAACCCCCGATGTTCTCGATTTAATGGTAATTTAACTTCCTTAAGCCTTTTTATTAACTATTAAACGCTGTAAGCCCATAGATCCTGACTGGAAATACATTTCGGGATATGATATGCGCGACCGTCACTCTGTGGGAGTTAAGGATCGAACAGGACACTATACTCACACTAGAAGCAGCCTGCTTCATGAAGTACTTCTTCCTGCTGATGTTCAACGTTTGCCTAGTACCTATTATAGCTATCGCAAACGGATTTGAAATAGATTTGGAGCATAAGTTTTTAAATTTCTCATTCATTGAAATATATTCAAATGACTCGGATCCGGTAGTACTAACTATCGAAAATTTAACGATGTATTCCTATGTCCTGAGCCATGCGCTGGAATAATAAAACCAACAGATGCAGAGGCCTGAACTCTTGCCAAACTCTCGAAAGATAATTATGCAAAGCACGTCTGCTGGGTGGGTTACACAAACGAAAGAAAAAAATTGCTGAAAACGAAACCAATAAATCAAAGGAAAAAGGATGCCTAACCATTCATTACTCAGCAAACACTTTGCGGACCTCAGCCACCCAAAACCCCTTTTCCGTGAATACATACAAAATGTCAAAATGAAAATCTATTAAATCACTCGAGGGGCTAGAGTTGTTCGAACCTTAATTAGCTCTTAGCTGTGCAACGTGGCGTATGATTAACACGCGAGTAATGAACGTCATATCTACACGGATTGAAAATACTTTTCACTAGCGAGTCTGCATTTTATCTTTACTGTTGTATTTTATTTTATTGCTCAATATCGATATAATTCTTTCCCGGTAACGCAGAGTGCTATCACTCATCATATGATTTATAATTTATGGTTTGGTGAAAAAAAGTATGTACATACTCGTATATCAATCAATTGTTTCCGGTGTAGCAATAGCTGTTCCTCTACTGGGTCTGACATCGTTCGACTGTGAATGATTGAATTAAAATCCATTCGGCGGACCTGGCATAATCAATGAAATTATGGCCCCGGCCACGCCCACTTCAGTTCAGTGCACAGGCGGAAACTATTTCCGTGATTTCTAATTTTCGAACAGTCAAGTCCCGCGAGGCCAGTTGACTGGAAAATCTTTCGATTAACTGCATTCGGATCGGGGGCCCTGCAACATTAATGAGCCACGCCCCCCGACCATTAGCAGCCCGATTGTCACCCGCCCACATACACACACACACACACACACACAAAAGGAAGCCCACCCGCCCAATTTTGGGGCTTAATTGATATGCATGTGAGGGGGTGGATGGGTAAATGCAATTTCCTTGTCGCCCCTGCTGCTGCACTCTCTAATGAGTTCGAAATAATTCCATGTTATTGTACAGCTATCTTGCCGTCCATATACGCCCCATTAAAGGCCCCAAAATCATTTGATATGCGGCCCAATAAATTGTGTAGCAGTGCAAAAATATAGAAAAAAAAAGGAAAACAACCCAAAATGTAGGGAAGGCAACAAAAGTGGAGGATACGAGCAGAAAAGCAGAGCTTACGTATTGCAATTTGTGCAAAATGCAAATTTCCTCACTGATGACAGCCGCAATTTTGCGCTCCATTGTTGTTAGTGGCTCTCGGGTTGTTGCTATTGTTGTTTGTGTTTGCAAACGTCCATTGTTAAGGACATGAGTGCGGACTTGTGTATATGTGTTTGCCTGTATGTGAGGATGGACACATGTCCACAGGCGAGGATAGCTAAATAGATACAAATTAGGAGTAGACAGCTCATACATTAAATTATAATAGAGATGCACGTTTGGGAAAGGTATGATAAATTAACACTGGTCTCTTAATGTTTTTTAATTTTTTATATATGTTACTAGATATTAAAATACAGAAAGCACTTTGAAATAAATTGGCTTCACTACAGAAAACTAATTAGGCCATACCATTTCCCATGGTCTTAACCTTGATTGTGCCTGCAGTTCAGACAGCACCGGGCACATACTACCGAGCACAGCAGGCCGGGCGAAAAGCCACAGTTGGTCTGAATTCCTGACTAGCAAATGTCTGGCTATCGGCCATTGGCCACCGGACAGCACAACAATGGCTGACCAGCGTCAGCATTAGGGTTACTCCCCAGATCCTGCCTAGTCCGCCTTTGATTAACAATGATGGGCATTATTTTTGCAAATAAATTCTGACGAGCAGATGAGGGCCAGATAAGCGGAGGTCAAGGCAAGAAATGCTTTGTTTGTCCAATCGTTGACATTTTTCCATGCTCAAGTTGCACTCTATTGATTTATGGCAGTCGGCGTCAATCATTGGGTCATGCATGTGCTGGCCAGGCAGTTGGCTCGTGCTTGGTCATAATTGCACATTTGCTAAGAGCAACAAGGACACGCTTCTCAGAGCCGAGCGGAAGCTTTTAAGCAAACAGGATGTGCTGGGGATGTGCATGTGTGTATGCTGGTGCAACAGCTTTTCGGAACAATACTTACAAGTCCGAGAAGTTGAAGGCAAAACAATGCATTTGTTATGCAAAGCCTCTGATGAGTCTGATGTTGTCCTTGGCCAAAGTGCCGAATGCAGGAAGGGGCCATGAGGATGCAGATGTAAATGACAAAGTGATTTTGCTGTGAGCGGGCCAAACACTTTGCCTTTTTATCGGGAAATGCTCTTAAACTTTCGAGTCCAGTTTTTCAGTTTGATGCCCGGCCAAATGGGTCAACAGCGAAAACAACTTGGGCAGCTACAGAAAGTTTTCAAAGATTAAAAAATATAAAGAAAGCACAAAACAAAATAATTAAGGTTGTTCAAGCTTATTGACGTTTTTTGTGATCGGGTGGCGGACCAAGTTTATTTCACTGAAATTTTCAGAGATTATAATTAGGGTAGCCGCAGAAATGAGCAAAAAAGAACAAAAGCCCGGGAGTGGCAGGCATAAAAAGGTCCGCTAAATAAATATTAAAAGAACCGAGCTAGGATAGCCAAAGAAATAGGAGAGTGGGAGTTAATACCCTGCTAAATTCCCACATAAACGAATGTCGGGCGCACTTAGCAGGCAATTGCGAGATAATTTAATTATGCGCCACTCCTGGCAGCAGCAGAAGCTCCAGGATAACAGGATAATGATAACGAAATAAGCAAACCAAAAGGGCTTACACCACATTCAGCCTGTTAAACAGGAGCACGAGGAAAGCACCAGATAAACCGAAATGAAAAATGGCCAGCAAACACCGCGCACAGAAATGTGTGCCACAGACCGATAACAATAGTATCGGCGGTGTGGCTTATACAAATTGCACCCGACTTAATTGCCGACCGGAAGCGGGCAAAACTTGTCGCCGGATGCGATGTACTCTATACGAGTATGTGTTTGCGCCGCCGGAGGACAGGTAACAGCTGGATGTGCCAGCGAATAACCATTGCCAGGACATTAAGCATAATTAGCGTGGAAATAATTTATTCAAGAATCGAAAAGGTCAGTTGTGGGCAACTCCACTAATTACCGTTCTCTCGTTTTACACATTTTCAATTGAAAATTCGGTTTCAAACATTTCCGCCATGGATTATGCAAACTTTCCAACGGGTGTCACGTGTGCATCAGATGTGAATGATGTTTTGCGGTCAAGCTAATTTGCGAAGGTTAAACTATTTGACTTGTAGGGAAATTAAATTGCCTGACAGTGCCATGTTTCGTTTTGGCTATGAACTAGTGGGTTAGCCATTAATATCAATTAAATGTAATAGTTTTCAACTCTTTTCTTACCCAGGCGAATGGGCGATTTGACTTTAACATTACGGTTAAGCATGCATGTCAAGCACATTGCAACACTGCAAAGTTTGTTGCTCCAGCTGCAGTCGTAGTTGTAGTGTTGCTGCACTTGCAAATTGCACTTGCAGTGGCAACTTGCAACTTGCAACTTGCAGCTTGCACTGCCTGTGGCATGCAGCCCTTGGCCTGTGTTGGTAGTGGTGTCAGCCCCAGGCGGAACGCCTTGGTGCCCCCGTTTCAGTTCCTTGTGCAATAATTAAGTGAGTGCCAAGTAGAGTGAAGCGTGAATCGTCGCCGCCGCTCTCATTTTCGCATTTACCGCCGCAGCCCTCCTGCAAATTCATGCGTGAACAAAGCAAGCAAAAGGACTCATCACAGGGTTACGAATTTAGCGTACCCCGTAATCAGACAAATAAATAGCACCTTATGATTGCGATGCCTTTAAAAATAGCTATAATAGGGAAAAGAGGTAGGGCTTATTAAGATCCCAATTGTATGACTTTCTTTCTAATATTGGTATTACAAAACAAGTAATTATAAATTAATTAATTGGTAATTATCAGAGAGATTTCCGTCAAAAATATTATTTATTGTGCTCCCGAGAACACAGTTACTCCATATGCTGAAATACCCATTACTTGCTAAAATGAGACGGGGATTCACGTAAAGGAGAAGGCGAGAAGTTCGACGGGATGCGAATGTGTGTTATTTTGGCTACCCTCGCGGGCACCGAACGCGGCTGAGTAAACGTTGCACGCATGAGGAATCAAAAGCAAGCAGCACCACCAGCGACGGACTTTGCCACCCACTCAGCTACTTGCTCCCCTCTTTGGCGCCCACAGTTCCCCTCGAGTGGTTGCTCCTTATGCTGCATGCTATTCTTATTCTGCTTTCCCAACGACGACTCCTGCGGAGGAACTTTTGCCTGGCAAGTGCCCCAAACTGTAGCCACTGTGCGCCCATGAAGGGTGAGCTGCTGGTCCAGGGGAGCAATGTGGCAGTTGAACTGTGGGGTAATGGTAAATTACAATAACTGGAGAATGTAAAAGCGGCAGCGGGAAACACGGAAAGATGTATAATCAAACGCTTAATCGAAGCTGGGGGCAATTAAAAAGAAAAAAATGGCCAAACATGCAATTCAGACGCCGGATAGGTTAAGAAAAGCGATGGGATTACCATTTTGTAAAGCATTATACCGAACAGAGTTCTTTTTTTAGAAATTGTAATATTAAAAACCAAGAGCCCTATTGTTGAAGTCAAAGAAGTTTAAGCTACTAAACCTTCGAACCGAAATCATATAAATTTAAAAGACAGCTTTGGGTAATTATTGAATGGACCCAGCGTGACCAAACCAAATCGCATTTTATCGCTCTGAAAATTGGGACTTATCTCAAACTACTTTTTAGTTTGGAAAATCACGAAAGAAACTTCCTGGAATCCCCAGCGGTTGATTGAAGTTTCTTATCTGGCGCTTTAAGTTCACTTGTCTTAACCTGTTCCGGTACGCAAGTTGAAGTTTCCCTTAAACGCTCTCGACTCGCCTCAAACTTTCAGCTTGAACTGGAACTTTTGGCCATAACAAGGACACGTAAGCTGCCGCAACACGCATTCACTTATTTCGCCATCAAAATGCTGGCACTTGAAATCAAATTTAAACATCTCCCACGACCCCACACACACATCTATTTATCCCCTGTGGTGGTGTTGGCAAATGTGCGTAGTTTTTTCTCATCTTTTTTCTATATATGTATATATATACATTTTTTTATACCATCCTGGCTTCTTTTGAGGCAAGCGACACGTATATCCGTTCATAAGCCAAGCCAAACTAGGCGAGAAGCAAAATGGTGGCGAACTAAAATGGTAAAAAGAAAAGAAAGCAGTCGCGAGGGGAAAAAGTCCACCGAACACTCTCACACTTTTAACAGTGTAACGAGATAATATTTTTCCAACATATTCGTGTGCGCCTAGGACAAGGCTAAATGATATTACCTGAAGTAACATCAGCCCAACTGACAGACAGGTCCTGCTGTCGGAGGGCGTGGCACTGGGCGGAACGGGGCGGGGCGGGACGGACTTGCACAACTAACGGAAACCGGATGTGCTCGGCTTGGCAGTTGTGAAGTGATGTTTAGGCCAGGATGGCAATGCTCGTAGGCAACCAACCGCCACTACACCCACACACATATATATATATTGGTTCAACGCGATGTGCGAAGTCGCCCATAGGCATCATCGAGTGCCACGTTTTATGTCTTGCGAATGGAAGCCCGGAGCAGACGCAGCGACTCCAGTCGAGTCACACGCTCCGATGTGACTGGCAATGATTGTGTGGCTCCCACAGGCAGTGGTGTCGAAACCAACTGGCTTTAGTAGACATATAGTGAGGTATTTAAGCATGAACACTGCAAATCAGCGGAAGCAATTGTAGTAAGCCCTAAGATATGGGAACGCGAATTCTTAAGCATTCGAACACATTTATTTTGTTGCAACATTAACTTCTATATAAGAACGGCCCATTTTTTTTTTGGTTTTTGGATCCCTCTTTTAAGACAATTATTTTTAAAATTAAAATTATTTTCAAGAGAATTGCAACATAGTTGAAGAAGTAGGTTTGTCAAATAAAGTGCTGTTTAAACACTAAAGTGCTGATTTGTCAGCACTATCGCGCCTCCACGTGTTTGACTGCGAGTAGAGTTGTTATGGCCCCACAGGCGCCGCTTCACTTGCTGCTTTCACTGCTGCCCCGTCGAACTCACCCACTAAATGTGACAGCATAAATCGCTGCCACAGGCACAGGAACTCGGAGGCTGCGAAGTCTGGATGGGAGATCTGAGGACAATAAAGCCATATTGGCAATTTAATGTGCTGCAAAACATTAGAACATTCGATTGGCACTAGGAGAACGACAACACGCATACGCAGCGTATGCCGATGCCGATGCCGAGGAGTGCATTTTAAGCAGCTGAGCTGGGCACGTAAACAGAAACATTACCAGTGAGCAGTGCACTTGTGCAGCTGGAAGGCAAAGCTGAGTTCAACGTTTACTTATCTTTGGCAATGCCCAACACGTATCCACATTAAGTCACAGCCGCCCACCGAACAACCAGCTATTCACCCAATTCCCTTCAGAAAGCAACTTCATTTTCAGCTGCTGCCTGCCAGATGGTAGCTGGCCAAGTTTAAAAAATTTAAGTATTTTTTTTCCCTGGCTTGCTGTGATCCTTAGCGCCAGGAGCAACATTCTCACAGGGGACACCCATTGTCGTTTGCATATTTTGTGTAGCGAATTTTCGTAGCGAACTTGCAAATTTGACTTTATATATGCAAGGTGCAAATCTGTTTAGCGTCCCTCGTGTGCCTGCAGCTGCATCAAAATGCATTTATGCTAAGGCCAATGGAACTTACAGCGAAATTAAGTCACCGTGGCCTGAACATCTGACTGATGACGGAGTTGAAAGCGCGGAAAAATTACTGCGGAGTGAAAAATATATATCAATGGCAGCTGATGCAGAAATTTTGCTGCACTTGCATGGAAAACTCTGCGTCTGTAAATTATAACTCCCATTCGGCGGAGTTTTCGTGAATTATGGAAATATAAACCACCGAGAAAGGTTAAGTAAATATTTATAATTGGTAGAGCTTGAGGATTTCGAATCGAGAAAAAATATTATTGTTGTGCTTCAATCATGCGCACATGTTTTCAATATATTATTGATAAATAAATTATTTTCCTATTATGGTAATACTACCAACGATGTCGATTATTTATAGGCACATCAACGTGTACGTATTGACGATTTAATTTTCCTGCTTAAAAATTGCTATTCGTTTACGAGCAATCCACAAATATCCAATCACTTTTATAAGCTTTAAATTATAGTAGTAGTATCTCTTCAGTAGTTGATTCATATTCAAAAGTGTTGCCCATCGTTATCCCCACTCACCAAAAAATATGCTCGTAAATGTCAAAACACTCTATAATGGGCTAATCAAGCAAACTCCAGCCGACAACATAACAAAGTTGTTAGCGGATAAATGCAAATGGTTTTCGGTTTTGGCCACAAACTGAACTTTTACGATGGCATTACAGAGCCATAAAATATCTGACTTTCTTTGGTATAGCACCTAGATTGGCGGGTGTAAAACAAAAACGTTGAGCGCAGCACAAAAGTATGAAATCAAAATCCAAATAAGGCTTGGGTTTTCAGCGCTTTGAGCCCCTAAGCCATAACATTTTGCCAAGCAGAATTTTGACAGACGGTTCTTTAATAAATTTAGCACACTCTGTGGTGTTAGCTAATAGCTGGAAAATCAACGCAACTAATGGTGTTGGCAGAGGGCAAGAGGGCACAGGGGGAAACGAGCCATACACCAATAGCATTACGTATACGCCACGTTGAGCGCATTTTGGCAGAATGGCAATTGACTTTAATTACTTCGCCGCCAAAAAGTCATGCAGACTTTTGGGCGAATGTGTGTGTGTGTGGTGTGTGCTTAGCGCACGATGTCATCAGATGTGTGAAGAAAGTACATATTCGGTGGTGGTCAGGGGGTGACAGAGGAAGGAACTTTCATTAGTTTTTGGATTGCTCGACTGCCACGGCGGAAGCCACTAAAAGTCTTTACACGGCAACAGCTCTTCCACCTCCTCCACATGTGAAAACAGTTCGTGAAATTTAATTTTCAGCTCTCTTGATTTTTAAATGGCAGGAGAAACGAAAGGGAGTGCAATCATATTTGCTGTTAATTTGTACAGAAATGTCTCTATTAAATTTTAAATTGGTGTTCTGGTAAATGTAATGAATTGGCTCAAAGTGTGGCCACCAAGGGTTGTGAATGCATGTATGGAAAAAGGAGGACGAGTTAAAAAAAAAAGTTCCATGTTCTTGCTGCGGATGCTCTCAATGCAATGCATTCATTGGGAAGGAAGCGCCTGAATGGACGGGGTGTGTTGTATATGTGTCTGTGAAAAGAATCAGGTGCACAGAAAGAAGTTTTGACGATCCACGGATTTTAAATTGTATGTGGAACGGACTTGGGGTTCTCTTCAGATTCATAATAATAGAAAGGATTTTAAGCATTCGAAGGCTTCGAATAAATAGGGTAATAAATACATTCAAAGCCGCTCTTTTTTTACTAACCGGTTCCTTTCTGTGCAGGAAGGTGCTGGTGAATAAAACCAACTGCAGTTGTGGGATGCGTGTGCAATCTGGCAATAAATATTTTATATTTACAATATGCTGCTCTGCTGGGAGCCAGCAGCAATCGGGCATATTGATTCTCCTCAACTGTTCGCAAATAGTTGGGCGCAAAAAAGCTGAAATTGTATTGTTATTTAAATCGTTAAATACGCCAGCTGAATTCGTAATGGTCGTCTAAAACCAGTTTGAATTGTAGTTAGAGTGCGAGTGGCATTGCTCTGGGCACAGTAATTCCATACCGTTTATGGCATGTTTCTTAAATGTTTGCACACTTTACTCAACGGAAATCGGTTGATCCTGATGCCACTGCAGATCGTTCCGGAAGTTTTCCGTTTTTTATTTTATTTTATATCTTTTATGACGCTGCACTTTGTGGCATGTATGGGCCTGTCAACTTGTTCCTGGCTTTATTGCCGACAACTCCTTGGTCCGGGCAATTACACATATATACAGCTGCTTCGTCCTGACTATTTGGGGAATAAACCTGACCATGCTGCGCATCGTAAGTGAGTACGGATGTTTTAACAAGGCTAATGTCTGACCAAGCGACTCATGGGGGGCTAATGCAATGGCGTAATAAACATGAGCTGTAAGTAACATTTTATGGCTTTTTGCTAAATCTGCCAGAATAGTTCAGTTAAGGAAATAAGTATTAATAAAACTGTTTTATAAGTTAACTTGTTACAATACCATGTATTTGGTAAATTTGCAAAAAAGTGCTTATAAGATAATTTATTGTTAATTCTTCATTTACAAGTGTTAATAACAACCCGTTGAATTCTGCTACTTCCTTCTTTTCCTCTCTCCCTTTAAAAGATTTAGGTATAGAATAAGAACTAATGGTTTTTGTGATTTAAACACGCACTTACCATCATTCGAAATTTGCTTTTTTGAGCTTCCGTGAGTTTTGACCACATCTTGGCTGCTCTTTGCAGCCTTTTCTTTACGTCTAAGCTGGCGTTTCTTCTATGGTACTCGCGCAGAAATCCTATGAAGGCGCCGCTCATTACAGGACTCGAAAGATTATTTTTAGGCCTGAACATTGTTCTTTTCCTGACATGATAACGCCAACCGGGCACTGATTTCTTCTGCTTATCAGGCTTTTTTCTGGTGGCGGGCAATACTCTATTTACGGAGATTTCTTTGGGTCTCACCTGCTCAATTGGCGCTAAAAATACTGTATGAACATAAATACTCATACTCACTTCAAAATGCTTTTTTTGATGGGGCATAAGCTTTCCCCAGGCATTTTCTCCTGACCTCTTCACCTCGTCTTCGTCTAGGTCGGCATGGTTCTTCCTGTAACTCCTCATGAACCTCTTCATGGCTTTGCACTCCGCGTCAGAGAAGGGCTTAACTCTCGATGCTCCCATGGCGCTGATTAACTGCACTTTTTATAAATGAAACCATAACAATTTTGGCCCAAAACAAAAATTATAAGATGAACACACGTCCTGAAAATGTCCTTACATATATTATATACAATTTTTAACATAAATTTCGTTCTTAATTTGTTAAAAATTTAAGCTTTCAATATTGATGTTCATCCGAACACTAATAGTACAATCGAAGCCTGCTCATTTCTCTACACTTCATGAAGTCAGATTCCAAACTCTATTTCCTTAGGTAGGCTTCAGGCTCACAAGTTGATAATTAAATTAATTTGCAAAACAAACGTCTTTGTTGTTCTTCTGAAGTCATCCTTATTATTTTGGGAAGTAATTAAGCAAACTTTCTACTGTCTTTTCTTACGTCTTTATTTCGTGTTTTTATTCCTAGGCCATCACGTTTGACGAGCGTCGACATGGCCAACGAGAAAAGGAAGAAAAACTTGGGGAGGTGGTGCGATAGGAAAAGAAAAACCAGAATGGGCCTCAATTTTCTACGTGCACACCATAAAGTTGATGTGTAATTTGCTTTTATATGCATTCAACAGAACTTGCCAAATTCTATTACAAGTTTACAATTGTGTTACTACGGCAGAGAGCTTTCCGACTCGTCTTCACCTTAATAAACCATAACTAATGGGGTCGCACAAGCAGAAGTATCCATTTGTGTGTGGAAAATGTTGCATAATACTTGAAGATGTCGTCTTTAAAGCGTCAAAAGGAGCTTACCAGCTTTCAATTTCGCACAATAACAACGGTAGGAAAATTGAGTGAAGGACCGGTCCCTCAGAGAAAAAAACAAGTCACACTGTCACTCAGATAGTGGAAGTGCAAACGAGAAATTTCAACATCTGGAATATTGGTAGAAATTGGGGAAAAAAAATTATAATATAAAAAATCATACCATTTTTTTTTAAGGTCTGGGCGTGGCAAAAAGATATTTGCAAATCTATAAAAATGTACTCTACGATTAACTTGTAAAATTAAAAAAAAATCGAATACAAAAATTTTCTAAATCTGAATGCAGATTTTTAGAGAATTGCGCCAAAAACATTTAGAGGTATGCCACTTCAAAATCTGATTACGATAAGTCGAGTTATGGAGTTTAGAACTTCAGCTTTAGGACATTTCTTAACTTTTTTGAACTACTGCAGCATCATAACATCAAAAAAATAACAAAAAAAATTTTAAAAAATAAATTTTTAAATTTGAATGCAGATTTTTAGAGAATTGCGGCAGAAACATTTAGAGGTATGCCACTTCAAAATCCGATTACGATAAGTTGAGTTATGGAGTTTAGAACTTCAGCTTTAGGACATTTCTTAACTTTTTGGAACTACTGCAGCATCATAACATCAAAAAAATTACAAAAAAAATTTTAAAAAATAAATTTTTAAATTTGAATGCAGATTTTTAGAGAATTGCGCCAGAAACATTTAGAGGTATGCCACTTCAAAATCCGATTACGATAAGTTGAGTTATGGAGTTTAGAACTTCAGCTTTAGGACATTTCTTAACTTTTTTGAACTACTGCAGCATCATAACATAAAAAAAATTACAAAAAAAATGTTAAAAAATAAATTTTTAAATTTGAATGCAGATTTTTAGAGAATTGCGCCAGAAACATTTAGAGGTATGCCACTTCAAAATCCGATTACGATAAGTTGAGTTATGGAGTTTAGAACTTCAGCTTTAGGACATTTCTTAACTTTTTTGAACTACTGCAGCATCATAACATAAAAAAAATTACAAAAAAAATGTTAAAAAATAAATTTTTAAATTTGAATGCAGATTTTTAGAGAATTGCGCCAGAAACATTTAGAGGTATGCCACTTCAAAATCCGATAACGATAAGTTGAGTTATGGAGTTTAGAACTTCAGCTTTAGGACATTTTTTAACTTTTTTGAACTACTGCAACATCAAAAAAATTACAAAAAAAATGTTAAAAAATAAATTTTTAAATTTGAATGCAGATTTTTAGAGAATTGCGCCAGAAACATTTAGAGGTATGCCACTTCAAAATCCGATTACGATAAGTTGAGTTATGGAGTTTAGAACTTCAGCTTTAGGACATTTCTTAACTTTTTTGAACTACTGCAGCATCATAACATCAAAAAAATTACAAAAAAAATTTAAAAAAATAAATTTATAAATTTGAATGCAGATTTTTAGAGAATTGCGCCAGAAACATTTAGAGGTATGCCACTTCAAAATCCGATTAAGATAAGTTGAGTTATGGAGTATAGAACTTCAGCCTTAGGACATTTCTTAATTTTTTTAAATTTCTACAACATCATCACATCAAAAAAAATTACTTAATAATTTAAAAACAAAGAGAATGCTATAGTAGAGATCCCCGACTATCAGATACCCGTAACTCAGCTAGTGGAAGTGCGAATAAAATTTCATAATTTTCTGGAATATCGGTAAAAATTGCGAATAAAATTAAGAAATTAAAAAAAATTGTTCAAAAGTTTGGGCGTGACAGTTTTTGGCAGTTTGTGGGCGGTAGAGTGGGCGAGGCAGAACTATTGTTGCTAAATCGATAGAAATTTAAAAGACTAATCAAAAAATGAAAAAATATCAGACGGACAAACGGACTGATAGTCGTTTACGACGATTGACTCGGCTATTGATCCTGATCAAGAATATATTTACTTTATATGGTCGGAAACGTAATAAGTAAATGAAATTTCCGTTTTGAGCTGTTCCTCCTCAGTTTCCTTCTCAATCGTTTAGTGTATTAATAACTGAATAACAGGCTAAAGAGACTATGCCCTGCAAGTGCTTGGCGGCTTTGTTTGCTTCTGCAATTTGATGTGCCGGAAATATGCTATGGCTTTATGGGCCTCTGCGCATATGAAGGTCAGTCCTATCACAGACATTTCTGGTCAAAAAGTTGGCTCAAATTACTGCGGCTAGCCGCACAGAGAGTTACATCTCAGCTCCTCGGTGAAGATAATATCTTTTGATTAGTGGCAACCGCAAAAACTTTAATTAAATTTGCACACAATTCTCTGCTGGAAAGTTTATGCAGCATTTGTGCCATGTCACCAGATAAGTTTCTACCGCCTGGACTCACGCATGTGGACCGGGGAGTTTTAGCTTTTGTTTTTCCAGTCCAGACCTGCGCTTTAAGTTTTACAATTCGAAAATACCCGAAGAAAAGTTTTCCACAAAGTTATGCGGCGGGAGACAAGTCTAATGAATTAATTATTAGAATTCAGATTAAGTCAAAAAGCTTCCGCCAAACCAGAAAGCACTTGAAGTCGTAATTCATTGAAAATTCTTCGATTAATTTATTTTGTTTACTTGATTCCGTTGGGTTGATTTAATTTGATCCTTGTCTGACAATCTCAAATTGTATGGTCACTTCAAGCATATATTATTCCAATAGCCCACAGGGCTGTAGCATAGTAAAAATGCTTTGTTATATTTTATACAATTTATTTATTTAGCTCTGGTAACTTTAAAGACACACGAGTATATTCCCTCTCATATTCCTATGCCATAAATTTAAACCAAGGCGAATCCAGGACAAAGGCAACGGCAGCCAGCGACTCGCAACACACTCCCCAGGAATAACTCATATCGAATTGCACCATTTGTTGTTTTGTCTCCCGAGAGGATATTGAGTTACGCTGGCTGGGATGGAGATGGCATTGGGCGTTTGGAGGGTTGTGGCTCGTTGGCTCCCGTTGCCCGATGCCGATGGATTGGCGCTTGGTGGCATTTTTATTCAGTTTAATGTTTTGTTGCTTCGTTTGACGCTTTCGATTTTGATAGATTTATCACAGCTTACAAAAATAAGGCACAAGTAAAACAATATAAAACCAAAAAGGAACTCTATGCAAATGAAAAATCTAAAATTATGTCCGTTAATTGAATGGCGTAATGGCCATCCAAAGGCATTGAGCCACGCCCACGCACCCGAGCATTAAGTTTATTCTTCGCTCGCACTCTTTGATCGGGGGTCGTGGGCATCGCTATCAATGGGATGCCACATTACATTACACCATCCTCACATTTCGTCATCTTTACTAAAGTACAAAAAGCTATAAAATCAAGGGGGTTCTCCCCATTGTGTTGTTGATATATAAAATACAATTGAAATACGCTTAACCTACGACTAAAGTGTTTCTTATTTCGTTGTCGTTCATCGACTATTTGGAGCTCTTCTTCTTTTTGCTCTTGGGCAAGTCAGCCCACAACCGGAAGAAGTACTCATCGCGTTGAAGCAGCCTGCCGCGGGCATACGAATGAATATCTGCATCCATGTGGTGGTCACGCAGCCACGAGGAGGTGTTGCACGAACTCATCTCCGTGCGCGGCTCGTCCGGCAGGATCTCATGACCTGGTTTTGAAAATAATAAATGTATATAAGTAATGACTATTTGTCAAGATCGCAGATCCATTTCCATGCCCTGGAAGCGACTTGTAAAATAGGTTACACCTATCAACCAACAATCAATAAATTGACCAATAGTTGTTTTTGATAAGTGTGAGCCTATGTATATTCGACAGTTGCCACTTACCAGCAGTCATTGCCTTGTAGGGCTCCTCCGATTCCAGAGGTTCACTTAGACCAATCTCGTTCTTCGCGAATATGCGAATCATGTACTCGTGGTTCTCCTGCAGGTCTCTGATCTGGAACTTCTGCACGCCAGCTGGCACACGACCCACCTCGATCCACATGGTCTTCTTCATGTCCCGTATAGCAATGTGGTAGCCGAGCAGAGGCGCACCTCCATCTGACTCGGGTATACCCCATTCGAATATGTGGGCATTGACGGCGAGAACGCGCGCCTCCAGTGGGCCGGTGGGTGGTGAGGGTACGGCTGTAAGGAAACCAAATTCAGTATAGGATACACAATTAGGAACTGCCAATAAGAACTTACTAGCATGTGTCTTGAGCGATATGCTCTCGGTGACGGCTGGTGCACCTAATCCAACCTCATTCTCCGCTGACACACGGAACCAGTACTCGCACTTCTCCTTCAGATTGTCAATTGTGTAGTGCAGCTGGTGAGCATCCAGTGTAATGACCTTCGTCCAGTTTGTAGATGTTGAGGAACGTTTCTCCACGCAATAGCCTGTTGGAAGAGTTATGAGTGAGGTGATGTCGTGGACACCTTCTTTAAACTATCTTACCGGTGATTTCTGATCCACCGTTGCGGGCTGGCACCTCCCAATCCAATGTGACACTTCGGCTAGTGACATCCGGGGCCCTCAAGTTCTGAGGGGGCGATGGCGGCGCTGGAATTCATTAAATCAATACCCATTAGTATCCAAGCATCCTGAACTTTTTAAACTCCTTACGTACCTAAGGCTTCATTATCGTTAGCTGTTGTCGTTTTGGGATTAGATTTGCGCATGTTTAAGCATTAGTGGCGTTTAAAAGAAAGCAATTTGCGAAAGCAATAAGCAATTGTGATAAAACGAAAAGCTGTTGAGACTTACTAATTTTGCGGCCCACGACAATCTTCTCCGTGGTCTCAAACGCCTCGCTGGTGCCAACCTCGTTTCTCGCATATATGCGGAACAGGTAGCCCTTGTTTCTGACCACCTTCTCTACGTGGATGTTGGTCACTGTGCCCAGGGTTACGCCCACCGATCGATAGGTGGTTTCAGTCTCTTCCCTTATTTCCACAATGTACTCTATGATCTTTGAACCGCCGTCGGTCTCCGATGGCTCCCACGCCAAATTGAAGGACGTGTCGTTCATACCCGAGACTGTGGTAGGCCCACGAGGAGGCGATGGTTTTTCTGTTATTTTTATAAAAGTTTAATTTAATAAAGAAAATGTATTAATTCTTGATTTAAAATAATCTGACCACATTTGTTATCGGGTTCCATGTAAAAACCGTAAGTGATTTCCATTCCCGATTGTAAAACTTACCGAATTTTTTCGTTATTGTCACTGGATCACTTTCCGTTGGCTCAGACGCGCCAATAGGATTAGCGGCCACCACACGGAACATGTATTGCGCGTTCATCGACAGTTTTTGAACAGCATACGATTTAATGTCTTTGTTAAAGTCGGATACCTTCATCCAGACATTGTTTTGAATGTCGCACTTCTCCAGCGTATACTTTTCAATCTCAAGACCTCCATCATCTACAGGTGGTGTCCACTCTAGGACAATGGAGTCCTTTTTAATGTCCTTGATCTCCAGAGACTGGGGTCTGCTGGGTTTGTCAATCACCTGAACAGTGCACTCTACGTACGTAGTGCCCGACTCATTGGTGGCCGTCACCTTGTACTTGCCGGATTGTTCGCGAGTCACCTTCTTAACCGTGTAGGTGGAAGTAGTCTCCGTGGTCTCAATGGTTACCGACTTGGTAGTCTTCTGCTCGATCGTCTCTTTGTGCCAGGTCACAGTGGGCTGTGGATAGCCGCGGACCGCCGCTGGAATGGTGAGAGTGCTGCCCGTGCGCAGCTTCTGCGTCAAGTACTTGTCCTCCACCTCGAGAACCGGTTTCTGCTGCAGTTTCAGGCGACACGAGGTCTCCGCGGAGCCCTTCTCATTGGTCGCCACGCACGTGTAGGTGGCTTCAGTCTCAATGGTTGTCTTTTCAATGGTGTACTTGGCCACGCGATTTTCGTAGCGTATGCTGCTCGATTCGAACACCTGGCCGTTCTTCTTCCACGTCACCTTTGGCTCTGGAATGCCGCCGAACACGCAGGACAGTGTCACCTCCTTGTCCAGTTCGCTAACCACATCCTGTAGTGGTTCTTGTACGCTGGGCGCCTTGGTGTCGACCTTGGGTACCAGTCGGATGGGCGGCGATAGCGGTGATGGCGGCGACGGCCCCACTTCGTTCACAGCAATTGAACGGAACACGTAGTCCGTGTCGATCTTCAGCTTGCTTATGGTGTAGGTGGTGTCCTTGATCTTTCTAATTTCAGTCCATCTTTAGATAAAAATGATTACAATTAAAGGGCTTTCTCAATGTACGGTTTATATTCAATATATGTACATATGTATGTCAATTTAAAAGACTGTTGAACTAGCATTCCTTACCATATTATAAACATGGAGTTTTAAAAATGAAGTTTCATAATAGATAGATAATTTGATTACTTACTTTTCTTCCTTTACATCGTGATACTCTAGAATGTACTCAATAATCTCCGACTTGCCATCATCCTCCGGAGCCTTCCAGTAGAGCGTAATCGAGTCATGCATTATCTCAAGGGGTTGAGGTGTGCCAGGTGCAGTTGGCTTGCCTAAGTATTTGATTGGGGTATTCAATTCCGGGGTAATTAACTTCAAATATAAGCTGGGCTACTTACGCATAATGACCAAATGGAGGCTGGCCTCCGCCTCGCCCACCGGGTTGACAAGCTTGACGGTGTATTCGCCCTCGTCATCGTCAACAACCTTTTTGATGGTTAGCGTGGCTGACTGCTCATCGATGGTCGGGATTGTCCGCTTTGACTTGGGTACGACAACCTTGCGCGTGGTCCAACAGGCCTCAGGCGTTGGCACGCCTGTGTACTTGACAGAGAAAGTCACGTCTTCGTTCTCCTTAACCTTGATGGTCTGATCCTTGTCAGAGGTAATGACGGGTGGCAGCTTGAGCTCCTCGACGCACAGCTTAGTACTGCTGGTGACGTTCTCTGCCACGCAGCTGATCTCACCGGCATCTTCGTCGCTAGCATCGTGGATGACCAGTCGTCGGACAGTGCCCTCAACGAATACCTCGTGCTTCTGGTTGGGCTTGATTGGCTTGCCCTTCTTGCACCAGGTTACCTCGACATCGGGCTGTGAGAGCTGCACTGTGAACTCGGCATCCGTTGTCTTGGTGGCCAGCGTGATATCCGGCAGGCGGATGACAAAGTCTACGAGAGGCTCCTCTACTGTCAACTTCGCCTTTGATGTCTGGTCGCCCACCTGAACGGAGTATTCACCCACATCTTCCGGCTTGGCCTTGACCATACGCAGAGATTGTTTCTTGCCATCGATGGCCAATTGAATGCGCTCATTGAACACGATTTCCTTGCCGTTCTTGAACCATTTGACAAGGGCATCGCCCTTGCTAAGTTCAACCTCGAAAATAGCATTCTCGCCCTTGGTCACTGCAACGTCTGTCAGTGGCTTCACGATTTCAGGAGGTAGCTCGATTACAACCAGCTCACAGCTACACTCCTGTCCCTCCATCTTGCATGTGTACTGGCCCTCGTCGTGAATGGTGACATCGCGGATAACCAACCGACGAGCCTTTCCATCCTTGATGAACTCGACGTTCTTGTTTTCTGGAGTGATCTTCTCGCCGTCCTTGTACCAAGTGACTTCAGTCGCCTCGGTAGTAAGCTCCACATCCAAAATGGCGGTATCCTTTTCGGTTACCTCGTAATCCTCGAGAATCTTTATAAAGTCTGGCTTACGTTGCAACACCTCCACAGTCGATTGGGTTTCTTGCTTCTTAACCTTGCACGTATAGGTTCCAGAGTCACGTAGATTCGTGTTTCTGATAACCAACTTGTGAGTCTTGCCGTCCTCAACCACGACGCGATGATCCATTCCACTGAGTTCCTTGCCATTGAAGAACCACTTGGTGGTGACTACGTGGGAGGTCTCACACTCCAGTGTAAGAGATTGTACCTCTTCAATGGTGATGGTTTTCTTAAGCTTCTTCGTAAACGTCACTTCATCGACCTCGACAATCACACGAGCACCGTGGGAAGTCTTGCCAATGGGGTTACTTGCAATGCATTTGTAGTCTCCAGAATCGGTTTCTGGATTGGCATCCTTAATGATAAGCTCGATGTTCTCGCCATCGTAAACCTGCTGGATGCGGTCGCTGGGGAACAATGGTGTGTTGTTAAACAGCCACTGAACCTCAGGCACCGGGTTCCCGGAAACTTTGGCTGGCAAATGAATTTCGCCCTTTTGCGGAACGTTCTGCTCCTCAAAGCGTTCTACGAAGAGTGGTGGCTCAGCATTACCGCCAGCAGGCTCTAAATTAAGAAATAACACTAGTTAGTACATATTTTAACAAATTTTTTTTGTAAACCTAAACATGAAACAATGAATTTACCTTCAATTGTTAGATTAGCAGTGGTCTCCACGCTACCCAAGGGGTTCACAGCCTTCACCGTGTATTCACCCTTTTCAGACTTTTGTGGTGTAATCAGTGTTAGGGTATGCAAATCCTTGTCGGACTTGGCGTTTTTAACAGGCTTGCCATCCTTATACCAGGTTACCTTTGGCGGTGGATTACCTACAATTTGCGTAGAAAGTACGACACTCTCGCCCTCACGTATAACCATGTTGCGCAAGGGTTCCAGGATTTGCGGCGCCTCCTTGTCGGTGGTGCGCACCTTGAGCGTGATTGGCAGACGTGCCTCACCCTCGCGATTTGTTGCAATAACCTCGTAGGTACCTTCCTGCGATTTCTTCACCTTAGAGATGTGCACCACACTGCAATACATGTGCATGTCGGATTCGGTAACGATGCGAATGTTTTTAATCTCTTCGTCGTCAATGTCTTCGCCATTGAAGGTCCAGACAATATCGGGTTCAGGCACGGCCACCAGTCGGCACTCAAGAATCACATTTGTATTCTCGTCCACATATTGAGCTTTGGGTTTCTTTGAGAAAGTTGGTGGAATGCCCTCCAATATGTCAGCCAGCGAGGATTCACGAGACATGCTGCGACGTGAAAGAGCTGTGGCATCAGAGCCGTGATCAGATAGTGGACTTTCAACAATCAGTTCCGTTGTGCTGGAAGTGAAACCAGCAGCATTCTTTGCCACAACTGTGAATTGGCCGGCATCCTCGGGGAACACCTCGCGAATGATCAAGGTGGCAACATTGTCATCATCATAGAACATTTGGAAGTCTTGGGAGGGTTTGATAATAGCAGTTTCGCGGAACCAGGCAATCTGGGGTCGTGGATTGCCCTCCACCTTACACTCGAATTGCACCGTATAACCGTCAGGAGTATGAATCGGCTGCAGTTTCTCAATAAATCTTGGGGCAATGGGCTTGCCCGGTCCAGGACCTGAACAATTGACAATCACAACAAAACACAAAATAATTTGTTAATAGACCAAACGCGGACAGTGACAAATCATTTTTATGGCTGACAAATAAACCTTTCGTATGGGCAATAACTTACGTTCAAATACAGGCAGCTTATCGATTTTCTCGTGCAGCTTATTTTGCACATACTGCGCGTATTCCTCGGGCTCCATCAGATATTGAGCTGGAACCCAGCCTTCCTCTTCCGTAGTGCTTTTCTTTACGTACCACCACTCTGAGCTGTGACGCCCAACGACCGTAACCTTCTCACCTTCGACTAGGTTTATAGCCTCGTTGTTGTCGGCAATATAGTTGCAGATTGAGTACATAACATTGATATTCTCGGATTCTAATTTAAAAAAAAAAATAATAAATTGCGTATATTTCATTGAACACTTTTAAATCTGGGAGTACATACCTTCAACATTCATTTCTCTGGTAATGTTAAGCGAAGCTCCATCTGTGCAAAAAATTTGGACATTATTATTTTATCTAAACAAGATTTAATTTTGTTTAGGTTGTGAACAATGAATTGTTATAGCGTTAGCAACCAACATATGAATTGGGTATTTTTACCTTGCCACTCTGATATCATATAAGCAGATATTTATTTATGTAAAAGTAAAGCATTTTGATGTTTTTTAAAATCTACCGTAACTGGTCACAAAAGACGGCTTACCTTCGTTGAAAAGTTGTTGCACAACCTTACGCTTCTTCTTAAAGGTAAGAGAATCCTCGTCGTATGTGACCGAATCGCGTTTGGGATGACGAATGCCAATTAGGAATTGTTCTTCCTCTTCATCTTGAACAGAATAGGATGGTTTCGGATGCTTCTTTGGCTTAAGCTTGAAATCCACTTCGTCTGGTGGCAATTCCTCAACAAAGTATTCTTCTGGCTCCTCCACTTCATCGATGGTATCCTCATCGTCTCGAATTTCTTCGATAATGGGTTCTTCACCATCGTCGAAGTCCTGTATGATCTTAATCTTGGCTTCATCGGATGCTTCAGAGAATGTCTTCTTAATAGGCTTCTTTAACTTCACCTTTCCAGACATGGAAATTTCCTCCTCGGCATATGAGTCCAGGGCAATGTTGAACTCTTGATCGACATCCTCCTTGGTCTTGGTACTTCTGGCACGGAATGTGACGTTCTCAACGTCTGCGTATTCGGGAATGTCTACTTGCTTTCGACGCTTAAGTTTCTTCACTGTGTAGGCCTCCTCATCCTCTTCTGTGATTTGCAAAGGCTTGGGCTTTCTTTGCTGACTGACGACGAACTCTTCGATGTCATCGCCCTCTTCGTATTCTTCTTCCTGACGCTTGATAGAAAGCTCAGCTGCAGCTTCATCCAGAGTAGTGGGTTTGACAGGTCGTTTTTTCAGAACTGTGGCGGCCTCTTCCACACCCTCATTAATGGTATGGGGCTTTTTGAAGGAGAGACTGAACTCTGTTTCTTCGAGATCTTCAACAGTCGGCTCGAAAGGCTTCTTTGGCTTTTTGCGAATGATAACTGCTTCTTCAACGATCTCTTCTTCTTCAATTTCCACAGGTCTTTCTTCGACAACAGTTTGCTGTAGCTTAAGCTCGTCCGCAGCTTCTTCCACTGGTTTCTGTGGCTTCTTCTTTTTCTTGAGCTGTACAGTTTGGTCAGAAGTTTCCTCTGTAATCTCCTTTTCCTTTGGCAGCTTAACATCAACGGAATATTCTTCCTCTGTAGCCTCCTTTTTCGCCTTGGGCTTAAGGGTAACTTCAGCCACAACTTCTTCAGCATCTACTGGCTCTGGTTTCTTTAGTTTCACAATCGCAGCATCGACAATGTCCTCTGGCTCCGGCTTCTTCGGCTTCTTTTTAATCTGGATTTCTTCTATCACTTCTTCTTCCACAATGGGTTCTGGGATAACCTCTTCTTCAACCTTAACCGTAAGCTCGTCGGCCACTGCTTCTTCGACATTTTTCTTTGGCTTTTTCTTTACTATCTTCGCTTCTTCCTGAACTTCTTCCGCCTTTGGCTTTGGTTTTAGAGTTACTTCTGCTTCTGGCTCCTCAACCACTGGAGCCTTCAGTTTCTTTTTCGGTAAGCTGACTTCCTTTTCTTCTACAGTTTCTGGTTTGCTTTCCTTAACTTCAATTAAATACTCTGTCGGCTTTTCTTCCGCGATCTCTTCGATTTCCTCGATAATCTCTTGAACTTCTGGTTCAGTTGGAATTTCTTCAGTGATAGTTACTTTAAGCTCTGCTGCGGCCTCTTCTTCCTTTACAGGTTTTTTAGCCTTCTTCGTTATCTTAGCTTCTTCAGTAACTTCTTGTACAGGCGTCTTTGGCTTAACCAAAAACTCGGCTTCGGGTTCTTCGACTACTTCTGGTACTGCCGCCTTCTTTTTCTTTTTGTGGATCGTGACCTGTTCCTCGGGCAGTTCTTCCACAGTCGGTTCCTTTTCGGAATCCCTTGTGACAAATGTGAAATCCGTTGGTTGTTCTTCAAGGGCCTTTGGTTCCTCGACGATTTCAATTTCTTCAATTTCCTGGACAAGTTCTTGTGGTGGTGTTTCTTCTTCAATTATTGTTATCTTGAGATCAGCGGCCTCATCCTCAGTAGGTTGTTCTGGAATAATAGAAATACTGGACGTAGCTTCCACTTCATCGACAGGCTTTGGAGCAGAGACAGTAACTTCCGCCTCGGGTTCCTCCTTGATTTCTGGCTTAGGTTTCTTTTTGCGAATAACCTTTACCTCCTCCTCAATGACTTCCTCTACCAGTTCTCTAGGTGTTTCCTCAATGACTCTAACCTTGTGTTCCTCGAAAACTTCTGGTTTCGGTTCTTCCTCAATTGGCTCTGTTACCACCGGTTCTTCCTCGACAATTACATCGGCGGGTTTTTCCGGCTCCGTCTCCTTGACGCCAATTTTGTATGTCTTCTCTTCAACAGCTGGAGCTGTCTTCTTGATTTCAGTGATCACCTCTTCTTCCGAGACCTCCTCCACTATGGGAATTTCCTGCGGAAGTTCCTCAGTGATCTGAATCTTTAGCTCCTCAGCTTCTACATCCTTTACCTTCTTTTTCGGCTTCTTGGTCTTTATATGAGCGTCCTCAGTAACCACTTCTGTGGGCTTACTCTCCTTAAAAACGATTTCAGTGGCAGGTTCGTCGGCGAAAGTAACAGACGGCTTGCGCTTTTTAACTGTGAACTGTTCAACACTTGGCTCTTCGGGCTTAGTTTCTGTTTCAGAAACCCGAATTTTAAAGTCTTTTGGCTCTTCTTTCGCAGTAACTTCCTCCTCAACAATCTCACTCTCCGGAGCTTTAGTCAACACTTCTTCGGGAACAGAGGCTTCACTCTCGACCACCTTCATTTGTAATTGAGCTTCCTCTTCGTTCTTCTTTGGTTTTTTCGTCTTTTTCTGTTTGATTTCAGTTTCTACAGTCGTTTCTTCTACGACCTTGGGTTCAGTCATTACAAACTCGGCCTCGACTGCTTCAGGTTCCTTGGATTTTTTCTTTAATATAACTTCTACAGGGGTTTCATCCTCGGGCTGATCGTCAACTGTGATTACCTTTTCCACATCAGTTTCCTTAAGAGTGAATTCGTAGGAATCGAATTTCTCGGCAACCTTTTCCTCTACAACCTTTGGTGTTTCCTCAGGAGTTTCTTCAACCACTTCTATTGGCTTTTCTTCAATAGGTTGGGACTCTGAAATTTTGAACTCGTACGATTTCGGTTTCTTGGACTTCTTCTTTTCGTCCTGCTTTTCAACCTCCTCGACTGTTTCCTCAACTGGTTGCTCCTTTTCTTCTACTTCAACCACGACAATTTCATCCTCTTTGACTTCCTTAACAGGCTTTGTCTTGGCCTTTTCCTTGACTGCGATTTGCACATCATCGGGCTCTTCTGGTGTAGTTTTAGATATTTTAACTTCAACCTCATACTGTTCTGGCTTCTGTTCTGGTTGCTCAATCGGCAAAGAGATTTCAGCTGAAACTACATCCGGTTGTATTTCTTCTTCTTTTGGCTCTTTTAAGGTGACTTCGAACTCTTCAGGTTGCTGTGGTTTTGGTTTCTTCTTGCGCGTCACGATCTTTTCTTCAATTACCTCCTCGGTAGTTTCCTGACGCTCATCAAAATCAATGACTTTGACTTGATGTTCCTTTGGTGCATCCTCTGGCTCCAAGACTGTAGTTGTTATTTTGTACTCCACAGGTATTTCCTCGGGTACTTCTTCTGGCTTCGGCTCTTCTTCAAAAACGACTACTTGGGACACAGGTGCTTCCTTGGGTTTCTTCTCTTTCACCTTGACTTCTTTTGGTTTTTCAATTTCAACGGGTTTGTCAACTAGAATTTGTTCCTCTTTCACCGATACCTCAAATTGCTCGGGTTCTTCCTTTGCAGTCTCCTCCTCCTTTGGTTGAATCTTTTTAGGCTTAGATTTCTTTGGTTTCTTTTCGTCATCGACGGTCTTATCTTCGGTTTCCTCGGGAAGTGGCTCCTCTGCCTTGGGCTTAACCAGAGCTTGTTCGGCAGGTTCTTCAGCCTTAGGAGCCTGAGGTACAGGACGTAGCTTAAATTCAGAATCAGTCTCTTCTGGAGCGTCTCTCTCGGGCTTACGGAACTTAACATCCTGTTGGGGTATTGCCTCTTCCTCCTTTGGAACCCCGGCAACAATCTCCGATATAATGGTTTCCGGCTCAGGCTTAGACTTATCTTTAGGCTTGTACTTAGTCTTAGACGGCTTCTTAACCTTCTCGGGCATCTCTGGATGTTCGATCTGCTCAAGTTCATCGGGTACGTATTCAGGACGATCGAATTCAGATGGTTCAAATGGCTCCACAACGAACTCTCCCTCCTTGGGCTTTCTTGTTTGTTCCTCAACAATAACAACCTCCTTAGGTTTGTGTTTAAGTTCAACTTCTTCCTCAGCTTCTTGTGGCTTTTGCGGAATGTTTTTGAGAGTAACATTTTCGGGTTCGTTGTCCTCCATTGGCTTTTTCTTACCCTTGCCCAGCTTAAGGTTTACATCCTCTTGTTTTTGCTCTGGTTTTGGTGCCTTTTCAGGTTTCTTATAAGGGGTCTTTTCCTCTGGTTCTTCCTCGCTACTAATATATTTTTCGTACTTTTCAAGCTCGACCTTTTCTAAATCATCCTTGATTTTCTTAATTTTCTTAGTCTTATGCGGCTTGAACTTTAGAACTTCTTCAGCCTCTTCGATGTTACGAGATAGTTCTCCATTGTCTTTGATGGCCCCAATATCCGTGGTTTTCGGAATTAGGGGAGCCGGAGGGTATTCAACCAAGACCATTCGGGCCTTAAGTCTGAACTTTGGAAGTTGAACAGTCGGTTCCTCGGCAGGTTTCTCCTTACGTTTACTTGGTTTGAGCTTCACTGTTTTAGGAACATCAGTGGCGTCGAGAATCGTCACCTTTGTGGGCTTTTGCTCTTTGCGCTCGATCTTTATTGGTTCAAGAGCAGCGAATTCTGGTTTGAGTTTCTTTGGAACATCAAATTCAATTTTCTCGTATTTCTCCAGTTCCGTCTTCTCTATTTCCTGCTCCAGCATCTTCTTGATGAGTTCGTCATGGTCATCGGTCTTCTTTTTAACCACCTTCTTCTTTTTAGACTTGGGTTTTGTGACGTCCTCAACCGTTTCTTCTATAGCTGGCTGCGATTCCTCCTCTTCAACCTCTTCCACAATGGGCTGTGATTCTTCCACCTCGGCGACTTCATCGATAACTCTAACCTCCAAAATCTTTTCGGGCTGGTCTTCCTCGACAATGTCTTCGTGAATGATTCTAATTTGATAGTCTTTTTGAACCTCTGGTAGTTCACCTGTTATAAAAATGCATCAAGGTTTTTATGAATAAAGCTTAATACGGTGCATAAACCCGGAAAACCACGCATTGCTTTCGCAAAGCAAGCCTTTCGATGAACTGGACAAAATACATTATTTGAGGCTTTATTTACATGGACAGCAGTTGAAGGAAAACATTTAAAAACTGAACCAAATTAAACAATTAAATTTGTAAAGGAAACTGTTAAAGACGATCACGATTAATATATGGAAATGTGGTTAATGTGTTTTTAGTGTGAAACTATAATTTAATTTAATGATATAAATTTTGCTTTTAATTTGTTTCAACAATTAACGCGTGAAATTTGAAATGGTATGGTCAGACATTAGTACTACATTTTTATGTTACATAAAGGTTTAGAACATTAAACATGCATAAGATATTATTACAGAGTGACTGTTTTTTGGGACTGGTTAACTGGAAGAGATTAGGACCGCAATTAAAATGACTCAAATTAAGAGATCCGAAATTCAACAGCGAGAAAGAGAAGAGAAATATAGGTGGGAATAGGCGTAACAATTGGAAATCAACGTTGATTCAGGGGGAATAAACAAATGCGAAAGACACAGACAAAGGAGCAGAAGGTACTGCGGCAGGATTTGGTGGCTCCAAAAACTCCCTTCTGGTAACTTACTTGTTTCAACGCTTTTTTGTGTGTCTGGTTTTGTTTTCTTATGTTTAACTGTTTTCTGAATTGTATCTTTAGTGTCATCTTGAGTAGATTTCTCATCTTGTGCGCTTGGTGTAATTTGTGCAGTGGCTGTGTCCTCGGGCTGTGCAATTTGGGTTGGTGTAAACTCTGGTATGTCAGTGGTGTCTACAGTGGTCTCTGTCGGTTCGTCCGGTACTTGCTGGTCTGCGTCTTCTGTCTTTGGCTTAGGAGTTTTAGTTTTCTTGGGTTTCGTGGTATCGTGTGCTATTGATAATGGTTGCGATTTTTCAGGTTTTGTTTCTTCCGAAATGGTTTCAGAAGGAGCTTGTTTTACAGGTTTTTCTGGCATTTCTACCTTTTCATATTTTTCAAGGTCTACCTTAGGAATTTCTTCTTCAATTAGTTTCTTTACGTATTCGTGTAAGTCGTCCTTTTTAACCTTTCTTACAGTTTTCTTGGGTTTTGGAGCTAGTTTTTCTTCAGGCTGTTCTGGATGTTCTTCGGTAGACTGTATGGGAACTATTTCAGGTTCTTCGTCAACAATAACTGTAACCGAGTCATTATCCTCACTTTCAATCGTTGTAATCTTGAAAGTTGTTTGTTCCTCGGGTCCCAACTTCTTTAAAACACGCTTAGTAGTCTTTTCATGACCCGGCTTGCCGTCTTTAGTTATAACCTCTTTAACATCTACCTCTGCTGGCTGAACTTCTAGAATTTGGACTGGTATTTCGGGTTGCTCAGGAGCTTCTTCTTCGACCACTTTGACCGTTGCATATTGATCCGGAACAGGAGTTTCCTCTTTTGGAACTTCCTTAGACTTGGGCTTTTTATCTTTTTTCGGCACTTCAATGGGCGTCTCGTCCACAACGTCAATCAGGCTATCCAATGGCTTATCCTTGACAACTGGTTCGAATTCGATTTTTTCATACCTTTCCAGCTTCGTCTTTGGAGTTTCCAAGTCTATTAACTTTTGTATGTAGTCATGTATGTCATCCTTTTTAACCTTCCTCGTTTTCTTTTTAGGTTCTTTGGGTTTTTCATCTTGGCTTACATGTTCTGGTTCATACTCCACAATAGTTATTTCCGCCTCAGGCTGATCATCCCTAACAACCTCAATAATCTCTATTTCACCTTCGCCGTCGGGTCGTCGTAGCATTCGTTTTGTAGTAACTTGCTTATGTACTTTTCCAGTGTCATCTTTGGTTTCTTCTACGTTTGTTTCGCTCTGAATAACCTGAACTGTAAACGGCTTTTCTTCTTCAGGTTCCAACACTTGTTCCTTTACTGAAATTTCGTATTGTTCCATAGAAGGCTGTTTTGGTTGTTCTGCTGTTATTTTAGAAGATTTCTTCGTTTCAGGTTGAATACGTTTTTGTTCGTCTTCCTTAACAGAAACAAAGAATTCCTGAACATCTGGTTTTTCCACCTCAGAATCCTTCTGTAAAACATCCAAAGGCTGTTCAACAGTGTCCTCTAGTAGTTCTTTCGTTTGATTTACAGCTGAAGACTTCGGTTTCTTTTTCTTCTCGGGTTTCTTAGTATCGTCAATCTGGTTTACTTTACTTTCTGGTTCTTCTTCGATTGGTACTGAATCCACCACAGTTATAAGATCATCACTAGCTGGAGAGTCCTCCGGAAGAGACTCAATGAACGTAACTTTATCCTGGTGAGGCGTTTCTTCCTCAATGGAAGATTGCTTTTCTTTTATTGGCTTCTTTTTCCTCTTCTCAGAACTTGGTTTGGGAACCAAATCCTCGATAACCACTACGTCCACGGGCTCATCCGGCTGTGGTGCCTCCTCTTCAATAACTCGTTTAATAAAGTCTTCAACTTCGTCTTTCTTAATTCTCTTTGTACGTTTTTGTTTTACTGGCTGTTCTTCCTGATCAGCTGTCTCCTTTGGAACGGTGGTCGTGACTGTTATTACAGATTCGTTTGTATCCTTATCGACTTCCTCGACTATGTCATGAACCATTTCCACAGAGCCTCTATTCTGCTTTATCTTTTTAGTCTTAACCACCTTTTCTCTTACGATTCCTTCTTCATCTGGTTCACGCTTTGTTTCTACCGTTTCTTCAAGTACTACTATTTCGAATGGCTTTTCTTCTGTCTTTTCTGGAACAAATTCCTTAACAGAAATCGTTAGCATTGGTTCGTCAGTGACAGCTTCAGGATATTCAGAAATCTTCACAACCGGCTTTTCCTCCACTGGCTCTTGAGTTTCCTTTGTTGGTTGTTCCTCAGATTGCTTGACCTTTTTGATTGGCTTTCTTTTCATTTTTACGGGCTCGTCCAAATCAATTTTTTCATATTTTTCCAATTCTGTTTTTGGAATATCTTGCTCAATAAGCTTCTGAATATAATCCTGAAGATCGTCTTTTGGAATCTTTTTAGCTTTGCGGACCGTTTTCGGTTTTTTCTCCTCTGGAGCTTCTTCGCTGGTTTCTTGAACCTCTTCGGTAGTTACAATGACTTCATACTCTGGAGTATCACCTGTCTTAGTTTCCACAATTTCAATAATTTCTTCCTTGGGGCCAACCTGCTTTTTGATTTTTCTTTTGGTTACACTTTGCTTTGTCGTTTCTCCCTTGTCGTCGGTAACATCTTTTTCCACTGCTTCGTTTTCGATTTCTTCTACATGGAAAGTTTGTTCTTCAGAAGGTTTATCTTCTGCAGCTTCAATTACCACATAATCTTCAGGGACTGGTTCATCATTTATGCTTTCTTCAGATACCACCCGAACAAGATAGTCTAGGCTTTTTTCAACAGAAGGCTGCTTCATGGACTTAGGCTTGCTTATCTTTTTGGGCTTAGGTTGTTTTTGTTCTTCACCCACGGGTTCTTCTTCAACACTGATGGTATATTCAGGGGATTTTGAAAGCTTTTCTAAACCGTACTCAATCGTTTGCTCTAAGTCTTCCTTAACCAACGCAGTGACATTGTTATCTATGTCTTCTTGTTCTGTGGCTATGTACGTTGTTGGAGATTTCTTCGGCTTTTTAGTTTTTTCATCCAGGACTTTTTCTACTTCACCTTCAACTAGGCCAACTGGAATTGGCTCTATGAATTCTTCGATAATATTAACTATATACTCTTCCACGTCATCCTTCTTTAACTGCTTTGGTTTTTTAACAATCTTCCTTTCATACTTCGGTTTATCTTCAGAAGCTATGATTTCGTCGCTGGTCAACTCAACTACTGTAACTTCAGCCGTGGGCCGATCTTCACTTGTTGTTTCCGTAATTTCAAAGATGTGATCCTTAGACCCCTTTCTACGCGATACCTTGCGTTTCTTGACAGTTACTTCCTTAACAGTTCCATCCAGCGTGGGTTCAGCAACGACTTCAACGGTGTGATCAAATGCTTCCAAGGAAACAGGACTCTCAACGACCTTTTTCTTTTTTAACGGCTTTTCCTTTTTCTTGGGTTCCTCCTCAGTAGGCTGTTCTATTTGCTTATCAGCTTTACAAAATTCATCAGAAATGTTAATAAGGTAATTGGAAGAATCGTCTGGCAGTTGTGGTATTTCCTTGATTTCCTCTAACAAATTTTCTGGTTTTTCCTTGTCCTCTGGTTCTGGAACTATGTCCTCCACATTGAACTCATGAATGGTAACTGGTAACCCATCAACAACTTCAATGGTTTTTTTGTTGTGAGATTTAACCTTCTTCTTGGGCTTCTTCTTCGAATCCATTTCGGTTGGCTCATATTCTTCTAGAGGGGTTTTTGTGATTTCCTGTTCGATTAACTGCTGTATGTATCTGTCAAGATCGTCTTTAACAGGCTTCTTCTTTTTCACTTTCTGGATAACAGTTACTGGTTGATCACCAGAGGCATCAGGAGAGTTCTCAGGAGCCAACTCCGTAGTAGTTATTTCAATGTCGCCCTCTGGCTTGTTTTCTTCATACGTTTCCTTTATTTCAATGAGATACTCTTTAGGGCCTTCCTTTTTCTTAAGTTTCTTGGTTGTCTTAACTTGTTTTACTTTCTCTCCCTCTTCGTTTACAATATTTTCTATAACCGTTTCAGGTGCCATTTCTTCTATAAGAATAACATTTTCTAGTGGTTTCTCAATCGGCTTCTTAGGCTTCTTGCTTTTTGTTCTAGTTTCAAGTGCCTCTTCATCAGTAGTTCTCTCAAAGTTTTGAGGCTCACTAAACTCTTCTAAAACATTAACGACATAGCTTTCGACGTCTTCAGGCTTCAGTTTCATTGTTTTCTTGATTGGTTTCTTTCCCTTAGGCAGAATAATGTCTTCTTGAGACTTGTCACCACTTAGCTCGAGGATTGTAACTTCAGCCAAAGGTTCGTCACTAGTTTTCGTTTCGATGATTTCAAAAACTTGTTGTTTCGTACCTTGTTTGCGGGAAACCTTTTTCTTCTTAACCTCAACTTCCTTGGTTGTGCCATCTTCTTCAGTAACTGGAACAATTTCAACGGATTCTGCAATGTCCTCAATAATTGGTTTTTCGGCATTTGCATGCCATTGAGGTTCATTAAACTCTTCCAGAACATTAATGACATAGCTTTGGATATCTTCAGGCTTCAGTTTTTTCGATTTCTTTACTGTTTTCTTTTCTTTAGGTATCTCAATGTCTTTATATAAGCCTTCTTCTGTTACTTCTACAATTGTTACTTCAGCTAAAGGTTCATCACCAGTTTTTTTCTCGGTAATTTCAAAGATTTGTTCTTTTGGACCATGTTTGCGGGAAACCTTCCTTTTCTTAATTTCAATGTGTTTTGGTGAGCCGTCTTCTTCTATAATTTGTACAACTTCCACATCCTCCGAGATATCTTCAATTACTGGTTGAGGTTTGTCTTCTTCAGCTATTTTGAACTTTAACGATTTTTCTTTCATTGATTTAGGCTTTCCTTCTGAGACTTTGATTTTCAGATCTGTGGGAGCCTCCTCTGCATCCTCATTATCGGTTTCCTTTAAAGTGTATTGATCTGGCTTATAATCATCTTCATCAATATCACTCTCTTGTATTGTTACCTCAAATACTGTAATCGGTATGCCGTCAATAACCTCGGTAGTTTTTTTGTGATGTTTCTTAATTTTCTTTCCCTTTTTAAACTCTGGAGAGGTCTCCAGTATAGTAGCTTTAAATTCTTCATGATCTAACTGAGGAATTTCTTGATCTATCAGTTTTATAATATAATTGTCCAAGTTTTCGGTCTTTGGCTTCTTCTTCTGTACGACTTGTATCTTGTGGTCCTCCTGAGGCTTGGAATCAATTGATGGCGTTGTCTCAGTCGTCCGAATAAAAACATCGGCTTCTGGCTTGTTATCTTCATATGTTTCAGTAACTTCGATTAGATATTCCCTCGGTCCCTCTTTCTTTTTGATTTTTCTTTTGTTAATAACACGTACAATTTCCGTACCGTGTTCATCTATTTTTTCGGTGACTGTTTCCGGAGTCAACTCCTCAATACGAATGGTGTAAAGCGATATAGGCCCAGCGAGAGATTCCTCCTTTTGCTTCCTTAAAGATTTCTTTTTGGATTTTGGCAAACTATCTTTCACTTCTACCAAATATTCGTCCGTTTGAGGATTTTCATCATGTTCTGAAATCGTTGGAGTATATTCCGTGATCGTTGAATCTTCTGAAGATTGAGTAGGTTCAAATTCGACTGTTTTTATCTTTTGCTGATTATCAGTTTTCTTTTTCTTATGTTTTGGCATGCGAGCATCGTCCACCGGTTTTGTTTCTTCGGGCAGCAAAGGTTCTACTATTTGGTCGTCAATTACCGTAGTTGTAAATGAACTAATATCCTCTTTCTCCGAGCTTTCTCTGTCAGGAGGTCTTGAAACACCTTCACATATTTCAGAGACGTGATCTAATGGGGCTTCCTCGACTACATTGACAATGAATTCCTTCAGCTTCTCTTTCTTCACTTTTCTGACAGATTTTTTTGGTGCCTCAGTACTAGATGAAGCGGGTCCGTCGATTGTATCACCAGAAACTTCTGTCGTTATAACTATAACCCTTTCGTCATCAGGTTTGTCATCTGGTTTTTCGGTTTCAATTATTTCGATTTCGTATAGTTTGGAGTCCTTCTTAGCTCTGACCTTTCGTTTCCTTAGTATTTTCTCATCTTCTAAAGGAAATTCATCATGGTCCGATGGCATATTCCTCAAATCTTCCTCAACAACCACAAAAGGTAGACAATCACTTAAATCTGCCAAGACTTTATCTACGACCGGCAAGATTTCTTCTTCTGTTCCTTCAATGTTTTCATCTTGAGGACGTTCCGACTCAATCTTGTTGATAAGGAACTCATCGTATTGTGGAACTCCTTCGTGATCATCAAATTCTTTTTCTTTTACCATTTTCTTTAACTCCGGTTTTTTTGTTTTTAATTTTTTGGTTGGCTCATGATCTGTGACTCCAACTTGAAGAGTTTCGCCTTCATCAATAATTGGTTTTTCAGCTTTTGGCTTTTGCTTTTTAGGTTTTTTCGCTTTACCATCTACATCGATTTTTTCATATTTTTCTAGTTCTGTTACTGGGATTTCGGCATTGATCAACTGCTGTATATAGGCATCGAGCTCATTTTTTTTAATTCTCCGCGATTTCTTTTTTATCTTGTCAGTTGTCATCTCTCCACTTTCTTCTTCCGTATTTTCACTAGATATTACAGTTATTTCATAGAAAGGTTCTACACCGGGGGCTATCAAGCCTTCGACAATTTCCAAAACTTGCACTTCATCGCCCTTTTCATGTCTTAACCTGCGTTTCTTAGGCATATCTTTATCCGTCTCTGCCGGCAATTCGGTCAACTTTACCTCATAGAAATCAGACATGATAGTCTCATAGACCTTCTGATTTGGCTCCTCTTGTAACTCTGTGACAAAATCATCCAATTCATGTTTGTTCATTCGCTTTACCTTTTTCTTAACAAGTGTTTTTGCTTTGGCGTCACCTTGAAGAATTTCTGAGCTTGTGACTGTAATTTCAAAGATTGGTTCATCGTTATCCACAGGAGAAAGAGGTACGATTTCAATCGTGTTATCTTCTTCTTCCGTCTTAACCTTAATCTTTCTCTTTTTCTTGGGTTCCTTTGATATTGTTTGACTAAAAGTTACTGTTTCAGCTTGGACCCCTTCTGGTTCCAGATCAAGCAGTTCGAACTTATAAAATGGTTTGAGCTTAATATCTGTCATTTCATTGTCAGGCCTTTCACCTTGTCGTTTGCGCAGATTAAGGTAATTTTCTGGGCTTTCTTCAAGTTCCCTTGGTTCCCCTGGTAATATTTCGTACTGATTTCCCTTTTGACTAGGAGTTACCTTCTTTTTCTTTTTATTTATAGGTTTCTCCTGCGTGAAAGCACTTTCTACAGAAAGTGATGTGTCGGATTCTTCTGGGATCTCAGACGTTGACTCCATGTCTTTAAATTCAATAGGTTCAAACTGAAGTCCTTCTTCAGGCTTGGAGCTCTTTTTGGCCTTCTTCTTAACAACTTCCTCTTCGTGTGCTTTAACTGGCTTCTCATCATCTTTAATCTCTGCGATATCAAGCTTAACTGGTTTCAAATGCACTTCCTCAGAAGCTTCCTCGTTTTGTGGAATTTTACCCTTACCAAGCTTAAGTTTCCTTGGTTCTTCTGGAGTTTCGCTCTTTTGCTTTTTGGCGCGTTTATATTTCGGTTGTAATAGTTCCTTGTTAGACTTCTCGGAATGATCAGATTCCAATGCATCTAGATCGACTTCTTCGAGTTCAGCCTTTTCGGGCTTTGAATGCTTAAATTTCCTTGGACGCAATTTCAATACCTCTTCCGCTTCATCAACATTTCGTGAAAGTTCGCCTACCTCGCGATTAGTTTCTAATTCGGTAACTACATATGGGAAGCAGTATGGTGCATATGGTACAAATCTAATCCAGCTCTTAAGTTTTTTGTTTTTGAATGAAGCTTCCTTCTTCTTTTTCTCTTCCTGAGGACGTTGTTTTGGGGCTTTAAGTTTGAGCATTTGTGGGAACTCTACTACCGAACTTATTTCAACCATTTTGGGCTTTTTAATCTCGACTTTTTCAATTTTCATTGGAGTAAGCTTGACTGGTTGTTTAAAAGAAGAGTCACTACGTGCTCTTTGTGGAAGTTCCATTTCGGTGCGTTGGTACGGTTGTAGTACAGTCTTTGGAATTTCTTGGTGTATGAGAAATTGTATGTAGTCATCCATTTCATCTCGTTTTGTTTTGACCACTTTCTTTTTTGCCTTTTCCTTCTTTTCAATTGGTTTCTCATCAACAACATCTACCTGTACGTTACCCTTAACCTTTTTTGGCTTTCGTTGTATAGCTGTCTTGTCAGTCTGTTCCTCTGTACCCTCTTCAACGATAACAGTCTCGTCAACTTCCTCAATTGGAGTTTCTAGTGTCTTTTTCTGTTTTGGTGTTTTGTCTTTAGTTGGTTTTTGTATAGCGTCTGCACTTGCCTCTTCAGGTTCAGTGATAGTGTACTCTTTGTAGTATTGGTCTGTTTAAGAAAAAATTATGTGTTTTGTGTTAGCACTAAACTAATTTTTAAATTTATATTTGCATTTTATATAATGCTTTACAACGCACAAACTTTGTATATAGAACAAAGTTTTGCGCTTAGAGATGAGTTCGTTAGAGAATTGCTTTTATTAAATTGTGGGTTACTCTTTTATAAACCAAAACCAAATTATAAAAAATATTTACAAAATACTTAAAAAGGATTAACCACTTAAAAGGATAGAAAACATATTTTTCTTTCTATTTGCGAATTATATTTAGTTTGTAAAAGTTTAACCCATGTACGTATTAGACTCAATGGTATATAGTTTTAAATTAACGTCCCACGTACATAAAATAAGTTAGTTAGTAGATATAATTATTACAAAATATCGATCATGTTTCCGTGTATGCAGTTTTGTTACGTATAAATTTTATGAAAGTTATGCCTATAAATCCTAGCCTGATAAATTGTGTGAACCTCAAATTTTTCAAACATTGAAAGTTACCTATATATTTGTTTGTATATGTATACATATAAAAAATACGTGTTTATAAAGAAAAAATCACCTGTTGGTTCGCTGACTTCGGTTATTTCAAGGTGTAATTGTGTTTTGTCTTCTGGAATGAGTTCTGTATCGCTGAGGACTTCCTCAACAACGATGCCTTCCTCCTGAGAAATTCGCTTGTTTTCAGTTTGTATGGTTGTTTCTCCATCTTCGTGTTGTACAGACTTAAATGTCGTAATGTAAACTGGGTGTTCCGTTTCTGTGTTATCGTCCATTGGTTTATCCACTGTATTAAGGCATTTTTATGTTTGTTTGTGTTTTGTAAAATGATCAAAAAAATATGTTATTGAAGGCCTATTTTAAGTATTAAATAATAACAAAGATATATAACAAAACAATTGTGAAATAAAAAGTGGAAGAAAAAAAGATGTCTTGCGTATACTTCATTTTTAATGGTTTTTGCTAATTGAGTGTTTGAATTGTGTTTCTTTGTGTTCTTACCCTTATGCTTGTGTGGCTTTTGTTTGTGTTTTGTAACCTTTTCATCATCAAGTTTACTAATATCGATAATATCAGCAATATTTTCATCGCTAACAACTCGAATAAGCGACATGGGCTCCAAGCCCTCTTCATCTATTGTTTGAATTTGGAAATATTCATCGTCATCTGGACCTCGCTTTTTAAATGTGCGTGTTTTGGTAGTTTTCTTCTTTGGCTTCTTATTCTCGTCTAATTCTTCGGTAAATACGGTTTCCTCGGGAAGTTCTTCTATCGGTATAGGCGCGATTGATATCTCATCAGAAGGCACAACTTCTATGTTTACTGTTGTTAGTGGTTCCTTATCCTCCTCCTCTATTATATGGATAGTTGTAACTTCGTCAAGATCATCGTCAAGGCTCTTTTTGAAAGCTCTCGATTTAACGGTCTTTTTCTTCTTCGTCCCATCAGGCAAAATTACTTTTAGTTCTGTAACATGTTCGGGCAACTCGATTAATTTACCGTCCTCTGGCTTCGATTCAGTTAAGGGTCGTTCTTGTATTTTAACTGAATATATAGGCTCCGTATTGTCTTGTTCAATAATTCCTATTTCAGTTACTTCTTCAGTATTATCCAGTGCAGGTTTTTTAATGATACGCTTCTTGGTTTTAATAATTTTTAAACGTCCTTCATCATCAACAGCTTCAGACTCAAAAACTTCATCAGGTAACAAAACTACTTCAGATAGTCTTTCTTCAGGAAGTTCCGGGAATGGCATATTGAACTTTTCTACTGATACTTTAGTTTGTGGTGCTTTTTCATATTCCTCAACGGTTTCAACTTTTGTGACCTCCATGTTCGGCCCTTGAATCTTTTTAATGATTCTTGTTTTAATAACAGTTTTGGTCGGAGTTCCATCTTCTTTTTCTGAAAGTATAACTGATTTCCGCTCAGGCAATTCAAACACAGTAACATCGTCTTCGGGTTTTTGAACGATAACTCTTTTCTTAAGTTGAACTTTGCCTACACTGGGAGCACTTAATTCAGTTTCTTCGACTGTTACCGTTGTTTCCGATTTCTTGTCGTCCTCCTCGACCGTTTCAATCTTGGTGACTTCCTGCTTATCACCCTTGACCTTCTTGATAACGCGAGTGCGGATCTTCTTCGTCTTAGGCTTGCCATCTTCCGTTATGCTTTCAACGACGCGAACCTCTTCTGGAAGCTCTTCAATTTCTTCAGGCTTCTTTTCTTCAATCGGAAGTTCTTCAACGGTGACTGTTGTTTCGGGCTGTTTGTCGTCCTCCTCGATAGTTTCAATCTTGGTAACTTCTTGCTTATCACCCTTGACCTTCTTGATAACGCGAGTGCGGATCTTCTTCTTATTAGGCTTGCCATCTTCCGTAATGGTTTCAACGACGCGAACCTCCTCCGGAAGCTCCTGAATTTCTTCAGGCTTTTCTTCTTCAAACGGAAGTTCTTCAACGGTGACTGTTGTTTCGGGCTGTTTGTCGTCCTCCTCGATAGTTTCAATCTTGGTAACTTCTTGCTTATCACCCTTGACCTTCTTGATAACGCGAGTGCGGATCTTCTTCTTATTAGACTTGCCATCTTCCGTAATGGTTTCAACGACGCGAACCTCCTCTGGAAGCTCCTGAATTTCTTCAGGCTTTTCTTCTTCAAACGGAAGTTCTTCAACAGTGACTGTTGTTTCGGGCTGTTTGTCATCCTCCTCGACAGTTTCAATCTTGGTAACTTCTTGCTTGTCACCCTTGACCTTCTTGATCACGCGAGTGCGGATCTTCTTCTTCTTAGGCTTGCCATCTTCCGTAATGGTTTCAACGACGCGAACCTCCTCCGGAAGCTCCTGAATTTCTTGAGGCTTTTCTTCTTCAAACGGAACTTCTTCAACGGTGACTGTTGTTTCGGGCTGTTTGTCATCCTCCTCGACAGTTTCAATCTTGGTAACTTCTTGCTTGTCACCCTTGACCTTCTTGATCACGCGAGTGCGGATCTTCTTCTTCTTAGGCTTGCCATCTTCCGTAATGGTTTCAACGACGCGAACCTCCTCCGGAAGCTCTTGAATTTCTTCAGGCTTTTCTTCTTCAAACGGAACTTCTTCAACGGTGACTGTTGTTTCGGGCTGTTTGTCGTCCTCCTCGATAGTTTCAATCTTAGTGACTTCTTGCTTATCACCCTTGACCTTCTTGATAACACGAGTGCGGATCTTCTTCTTCTTAGGCTTGCCATCTTCCGTAATGGTTTCAACGACGCGAACCTCCTCTGGAAGCTCTTGAATTTCTTCAGGCTTTTCTTCTTCAAACGGAAGTTCTTCAACGGTGACTGTTGTTTCGGGCTGTTTGTCGTCCTCCTCGATAGTTTCAATCTTAGTGACTTCTTGCTTATCACCCTTGACCTTCTTGATAACACGAGTGCGGATCTTCTTCTTCTTAGGCTTGCCATCTTCCGTAATGGTTTCAACGACGCGAACCTCCTCCGGAAGCTCTTGAATTTCTTCAGGCTTTTCTTCTTCAAACGGAAGTTCTTCAACGGTGACTGTTGTTTCGGGCTGTTTGTCGTCCTCCTCGACAGTTTCAATCTTAGTGACTTCTTGCTTATCACCCTTGACCTTCTTGATAACACGAGTGCGGATCTTCTTCTTCTTAGGCTTGCCATCTTCCGTAATGGTTTCAACGACGCGAACCTCCTCCGGAAGCTCTTGAATTTCTTCAGGCTTTTCTTCTTCAAACGGAAGTTCTTCAACGGTGACCGTTGTTTCGGGCTGTTCGTCGTCCTCCTCGACAGTTTCAATCTTAGTGACTTCTTGCTTGTCACCCTTGACCTTCTTGATAACGCGAGTGCGGATCTTCTTCTTCTTAGGCTTGCCATCTTCCGTAATGGTTTCAACGACGCGAACCTCCTCCGGAAGCTCCTGAATGTCTTCAGGCTTTTCTTCTTCAAACGGAAGTTCTTCAACGGTGACCGTTGTTTCGGGCTGTTTGTCGTCCTCCTCGACAGTTTCAATCTTAGTGACTTCTTGCTTATCACCCTTGACCTTCTTGATAACACGAGTGCGGATCTTCTTCTTCTTAGGCTTGCCATCTTCCGTAATGGTTTCAACGACGCGAACCTCCTCCGGAAGCTCTTGAATTTCTTCAGGCTTTTCTTCTTCAAACGGAAGTTCTTCAACGGTGACTGTTGTTTCGGGCTGTTTGTCGTCCTCCTCGATAGTTTCAATCTTAGTGACTTCTTGCTTATCACCCTTGACCTTCTTGATAACACGAGTGCGGATCTTCTTCTTCTTAGGCTTGCCATCTTCCGTAATGGTTTCAACGACGCGAACCTCCTCCGGAAGCTCTTGAATTTCTTCAGGCTTTTCTTCTTCAAACGGAAGTTCTTCAACGGTGACTGTTGTTTCGGGCTGTTTGTCGTCCTCCTCGACAGTTTCAATCTTAGTGACTTCTTGCTTATCACCCTTGACCTTCTTGATAACACGAGTGCGGATCTTCTTCTTCTTAGGCTTGCCATCTTCCGTAATGGTTTCAACGACGCGAACCTCCTCCGGAAGCTCTTGAATTTCTTCAGGCTTTTCTTCTTCAAACGGAAGTTCTTCAACGGTGACCGTTGTTTCGGGCTGTTCGTCGTCCTCCTCGACAGTTTCAATCTTAGTGACTTCTTGCTTGTCACCCTTGACCTTCTTGATAACGCGAGTGCGGATCTTCTTCTTCTTAGGTTTGCCATCTTCGGTAATGGTTTCAACGACGCGAACTTCCTCCGGAAGCTCCTGAATTTCATCAGGCTTTTCTTCTTCAAACGGAAGTTCTTCAACGGTGACCGTTGTTTCGGGCTGTTTGTCGTCCTCCTCGACAGTTTCAATCTTAGTGAGTTCTTGCTTATCACCCTTGACCTTCTTGATAACACGAGTGCGGATCTTCTTCTTCTTAGGCTTGCCATCTTCCGTAATGGTTTCAACGACGCGAACCTCCTCTGGAAGCTCTTGAATTTCTTCAGGCTTTTCTTCTTCAAACGGAAGTTCTTCAACGGTGACTGTTGTTTCGGGCTGTTTGTCGTCCTCCTCGATAGTTTCAATCTTAGTGACTTCTTGCTTATCACCCTTGACCTTCTTGATAACACGAGTGCGGATCTTCTTCTTCTTAGGCTTGCCATCTTCCGTAATGGTTTCAACGACGCGAACCTCCTCCGGAAGCTCTTGAATTTCTTCAGGCTTTTCTTCTTCAAACGGAAGTTCTTCAACGGTGACTGTTGTTTCGGGCTGTTTGTCGTCCTCCTCGACAGTTTCAATCTTAGTGACTTCTTGCTTATCACCCTTGACCTTCTTGATAACACGAGTGCGGATCTTCTTCTTCTTAGGCTTGCCATCTTCCGTAATGGTTTCAACGACGCGAACCTCCTCCGGAAGCTCTTGAATTTCTTCAGGCTTTTCTTCTTCAAACGGAAGTTCTTCAACGGTGACCGTTGTTTCGGGCTGTTCGTCGTCCTCCTCGACAGTTTCAATCTTAGTGACTTCTTGCTTGTCACCCTTGACCTTCTTGATAACGCGAGTGCGGATCTTCTTCTTCTTAGGCTTGCCATCTTCCGTAATGGTTTCAACGACGCGAACCTCCTCCGGAAGCTCCTGAATGTCTTCAGGCTTTTCTTCTTCAAACGGAAGTTCTTCAACGGTGACCGTTGTTTCGGGCTGTTTGTCGTCCTCCTCGACAGTTTCAATCTTAGTGACTTCTTGCTTATCACCCTTGACCTTCTTGATAACACGAGTGCGGATCTTCTTCTTCTTAGGCTTGCCATCTTCTGTAATGGTTTCAACGACGCGAACCTCCTCCGGAAGCTCTTGAATTTCTTCAGGCTTTTCTTCTTCAAACGGAAGTTCTTCAACGGTGACTGTTGTTTCGGGCTGTTTGTCGTCCTCCTCTATAGTTTCAATCTTAGTGACTTCTTGCTTATCACCCTTGACCTTCTTGATAACACGAGTGCGGATCTTCTTCTTCTTAGGCTTGCCATCTTCCGTAATGGTTTCAACGACGCGAACCTCCTCCGGAAGCTCTTGAATTTCTTCAGGCTTTTCTTCTTCAAACGGAAGTTCTTCAACGGTGACTGTTGTTTCGGGCTGCTTGTCGTCCTCCTCGACAGTTTCAATCTTAGTGACTTCTTGCTTATCACCCTTGACCTTCTTGATAACACGAGTGCGGATCTTCTTCTTCTTAGGCTTGCCATCTTCCGTAATGGTTTCAACGACGCGAACCTCCTCTGGAAGCTCTTGAATTTCTTCAGGCTTTTCTTCTTCAAACGGAAGTTCTTCAACGGTGACCGTTGTTTCGGGCTGTTCGTCGTCCTCCTCGACAGTTTCAATCTTAGTGACTTCTTGCTTGTCACCCTTGACCTTCTTGATAACGCGAGTGCGGATCTTCTTCTTCTTAGGTTTGCCATCTTCGGTAATGGTTTCAACGACGCGAACTTCCTCCGGAAGCTCCTGAATTTCTTCAGGCTTTTCTTCTTCAAACGGAAGTTCTTCAACGGTGACTATTGTTTCGGGCTGTTTGTCGTCCTCCTCGACAGTTTCAATCTTAGTGACTTCTTGCTTATCACCTTTGACCTTCTTGATAACACGAGTGCGGATCTTCTTCTTCTTAGGCTTGCCATCTTCCGTAATGGTTTCAATGACGCGAACCTCCTCCGGAAGCTCCTGAATGTCTTCAGGCTTTTCTTCTTCAAACGGAAGTTCTTCAACGGTGACTGTTGTTTCGGGCTGTTTGTCGTCCTCCTCGACAGTTTCAATCTTAGTGACTTCTTGCTTATCACCCTTGACCTTCTTGATAACACGAGTGCGGATCTTCTTCTTCTTAGGCTTGCCATCTTCCGTAATGGTTTCAACGACGCGAACCTCCTCTGGAAGCTCTTGAATTTCTTCAGGCTTTTCTTCTTCAAACGGAAGTTCTTCAACGGTGACCGTTGTTTCGGGCTGTTCGTCGTCCTCCTCGACAGTTTCAATCTTAGTGACTTCTTGCTTGTCACCCTTGACCTTCTTGATAACGCGAGTGCGGATCTTCTTCTTCTTAGGTTTGCCATCTTCGGTAATGGTTTCAACGACGCGAACTTCCTCCGGAAGCTCCTGAATTTCTTCAGGCTTTTCTTCTTCAAACGGAAGTTCTTCAACGGTGACTATTGTTTCGGGCTGTTTGTCGTCCTCCTCGACAGTTTCAATCTTAGTGACTTCTTGCTTATCACCTTTGACCTTCTTGATAACACGAGTGCGGATCTTCTTCTTCTTAGGCTTGCCATCTTCCGTAATGGTTTCAATGACGCGAACCTCCTCCGGAAGCTCCTGAATGTCTTCAGGCTTTTCTTCTTCAAACGGAAGTTCTTCAACAGTGACCGTTGTTTCGGGTTGTTTGTCGTCCTCCTCGACAGTTTCAATCTTGGTAACTTCTTGCTTGTCACCCTTGACCTTCTTGATAACACGAGTGCGGATCTTCTTCTTTTTAGGCTTGCCATCTTCCGTAATGGTTTCAACGACGTGGACTTCCTCCGGAAGCTCCTGAATTTCTTCAGGCTTTTCTTCTTCAAACGGAAGTTCTTCAACAGTGACCGTTGTTTCGGGTTGTTTGTCGTCCTCCTCGACAGTTTCAATCTTAGTGACTTCTTGCTTATCACCCTTGACCTTCTTGATAACACGAGTGCGGATCTTCTTCTTCTTAGGCTTGCCATCTTCAGTAATGGTTTCAACGACGCGAACCTCCTCCGGAAGCTCCTGAATTTCTTCAGGCTTTTCTTCTTCAAACGGAAGTTCTTCAACGGTGACCGTTGTTTCGGGTTGTTTGTCGTCCTCCTCGACAGTTTCAATCTTAGTGACTTCTTGCTTGTCACCCTTGACCTTCTTGATAACGCGAGTGCGGATCTTCTTCTTCATAGGCTTGCCATCTTCCGTAATGGTTTCAAAGACGTGGACCTCCTCCGGAAGCTCCTGAATTTCTTCAGGCTTTTCTTCTTCAAACGGAAGTTCTTCAACAGTGACCGTTGTTTCGGGTTGTTTGTCGTCCTCCTCGACAGTTTCAATCTTAGTGACTTCTTGCTTATCACCCTTGACCTTCTTGATAACACGAGTGCGGATCTTCTTCTTCTTAGGCTTGCCATCTTCCGTAATGGTTTCAACGACGCGAACCTCCTCCGGAAGCTCCTGAATTTCTTCAGGCTTTTCTTCTTCAAACGGAAGTTCTTCAACAGTGACCGTTGTTTCGGGTTGTTTGTCGTCCTCCTCGACAGTTTCAATCTTAGTGACTTCTTGCTTGTCACCCTTGACCTTCTTGATAACGCGAGTGCGGATCTTCTTCTTCATAGGCTTGCCATCTTCCGTAATGGTTTCAAAGACGTGGACCTCCTCCGGAAGCTCCTGAATTTCTTCAGGCTTTTCTTCTTCAAACGGAAGTTCTTCAACAGTGACCGTTGTTTCGGGTTGTTTGTCGTCCTCCTCGACAGTTTCAATCTTAGTGACTTCTTGCTTATCACCCTTGACCTTCTTGATAACACGAGTGCGGATCTTCTTCTTCTTAGGCTTGCCATCTTCCGTAATGGTTTCAACGACGCGAACCTCCTCCGGAAGCTCCTGAATTTCTTCAGGCTTTTCTTCTTCAAACGGAAGTTCTTCAACAGTGACCGTTGTTTCGGGTTGTTTGTCGTCCTCCTCGACAGTTTCAATCTTAGTGACTTCTTGCTTGTCACCCTTGACCTTCTTGATAACGCGAGTGCGGATCTTCTTCTTCTTAGGCTTGCCATCTTCCGTAATGGTTTCAACGACGTGGACTTCCTCCGGAAGCTCCTGAATTTCTTCAGGCTTTTCTTCTTCAAACGGAAGTTCTTCAACGGAGACTATTGTTTCGGGCTGTTTGTCGTCCTCCTCGACAGTTTCAATCTTAGTGACTTCTTGCTTATCACCCTTGACCTTCTTGATAACACGAGTGCGGATCTTCTTCTTCTTAGGCTTGCCATCTTCAGTAATGGTTTCAACGACGCGAACCTCCTCAGGAAGCTCCTGAATTTCTTCAGGCTTTTCTTCTTCAAACGGAAGTTCTTCAACAGTGACCGTTGTTTCGGGTTGTTTGTCGTCCTCCTCGACAGTTTCAATCTTAGTGACTTCTTGCTTGTCACCCTTGACCTTCTTGATAACGCGAGTGCGGATCTTCTTCTTCATAGGCTTGCCATCTTCCGTAATGGTTTCAAAGACGTGGACCTCCTCCGGAAGCTCCTGAATTTCTTCAGGCTTTTCTTCTTCAAACGGAAGTTCTTCAACAGTGACCGTTGTTTCGGGTTGTTTGTCGTCCTCCTCGACAGTTTCAATCTTAGTGACTTCTTGCTTATCACCCTTGACCTTCTTGATAACACGAGTGCGGATCTTCTTCTTCTTAGGCTTGCCATCTTCCGTAATGGTTTCAACGACGCGAACCTCCTCCGGAAGCTCCTGAATTTCTTCAGGCTTTTCTTCTTCAAACGGAAGTTCTTTAACAGTGACCGTTGTTTCGGGTTGTCTGTCGTCCTCCTCGACAGTTTCAATCTTGGTAACTTCTTGCTTGTCACCCTTGATCTTCTTGATAACACGAGTGCGGATCTTCTTCTTCTTAGGCTTGCCATCTTCCGTAATGGTTTCAACGACGCGAACCTCCTCCGGAAGCTCCTGAATTTCTTCAGGCTTTTCTTCTTCAAACGGAAGTTCTTCAACAGTGACCGTTGTTTCGGGTTGTTTGTCGTCCTCCTCGACAGTTTCAATCTTAGTGACTTCTTGCTTATCACCCTTGACCTTCTTGATAACACGAGTGCGGATCTTCTTCTTCTTAGGCTTGCCATCTTCCGTAATGGTTTCAACGACGCGAACCTCCTCCGGAAGCTCCTGAATTTCTTCAGGCTTTTCTTCTTCAAACGGAAGTTCTTCAACAGTGACCGTTGTTTCGGGTTGTTTGTCGTCCTCCTCGACAGTTTCAATCTTGGTAACTTCTTGCTTGTCACCCTTGATCTTCTTGATAACACGAGTGCGGATCTTCTTCTTCTTAGGCTTGCCATCTTCCGTAATGGTTTCAACGACGCGAACCTCCTCCGGAAGCTCCTGAATTTCTTCAGGCTTTTCTTCTTCAAACGGAAGTTCTTCAACAGTGACCGTTGTTTCGGGTTGTTTGTCGTCCTCCTCGACAGTTTCAATCTTAGTGACTTCTTGCTTGTCACCCTTGACCTTCTTGATAACGCGAGTGCGGATCTTCTTCTTCTTAGGCTTGCCATCTTCCGTAATGGTTTCAACGACGCGAACCTCCTCCGGAAGCTCCTGAATTTCTTCAGGCTTTTCTTCTTCAAACGGAAGTTCTTCAACAGTGACCGTTGTTTCGGGTTGTTTGTCGTCCTCCTCGACAGTTTCAATCTTAGTGACTTCTTGCTTGTCACCCTTGACCTTCTTGATAACGCGAGTGCGGATCTTCTTCTTCTTAGGCTTGCCATCTTCCGTAATGGTTTCAACGACGTGGACTTCCTCCGGAAGCTCCTGAATTTCTTCAGGCTTTTCTTCTTCAAACGGAAGTTCTTCAACGGTGACCGTTGTTTCGGGCTGTTTGTCGTCCTCCTCGACAGTTTCAATCTTGGTAACTTCTTGCTTGTCACCCTTGACCTTCTTGATAACGCGAGTGCGGATCTTCTTCTTCTTAGGCTTGCCATCTTCCGTAATGGTTTCAACGACGCGAACCTCCTCCGGAAGCTCCTGAATTTCTTCAGGCTTTTCTTCTTCAAACGGAAGTTCTTCAACGGTGACTATTGTTTCGGGCTGTTTGTCGTCCTCCTCGACAGTTTCAATCTTGGTAACTTCTTGCTTGTCACCCTTGACCTTCTTGATAACGCGAGTGCGGATCTTCTTCTTCTTAGGCTTGCCATCTTCCGTAATGGTTTCAACGACGCGAACCTCCTCCGGAAGCTCTTGTATTTCTTCAGGCTTTTCTTCTTCAAACGGAAGTTCTTCAACGGTGACTGTTGTTTCGGGCTGCTTGTCGTCCTCCTCGACAGTTTCAATCTTAGTGACTTCTTGCTTATCACCCTTAACCTTCTTGATAACGCGAGTGCGGATCTTCTTCTTTTTAGGCTTGCCATCTTCCGTAATGGTTTCAACGACGCGAACCTCCTCCGGAAGCTCCTGAATTTCTTCAGGCTTTTCTTCTTCAAACGGAAGTTCTTCAACGGTGACTGTTGTTTCGGGCTGTTTGTCGTCCTCCTCGACAGTTTCAATCTTAGTGACTTCTTGCTTATCACCCTTGACCTTCTTGATAACGCGAGTGCGGATCTTCTTCTTCTTAGGCTTGCCATCTTCCGTAATGGTTTCAACGACGCGAACCTCCTCCGGAAGCTCTTGTATTTCTTCAGGCTTTTCTTCTTCAAACGGAAGTTCTTCAACGGTGACTGTTGTTTCGGGCTGTTTGTCGTCCTCCTCGACAGTTTCAATCTTAGTGACTTCTTGCTTATCACCCTTGACCTTCTTGATAACGCGAGTGCGGATCTTCTTCTTTTTAGGCTTGCCATCTTCCGTAATGGTTTCAACGACGCGAACCTCCTCCGGAAGCTCCTGAATTTCTTCAGGCTTTTCTTCTTCAAACGGAAGTTCTTCAACGGTGACCGTTGTTTCGGGCTGTTTGTCGTCCTCCTCGACAGTTTCAATCTTAGTGACTTCTTGCTTATCACCCTTGACCTTCTTGATAACACGAGTGCGGATCTTCTTCTTCTTAGGCTTGCCATCTTCCGTAATGGTTTCAACGACGCGAACCTCCTCCGGAAGCTCCTGAATTTCTTCAGGCTTTTCTTCTTCAAACGGAAGTTCTTCAACGGTGACTATTGTTTCGGGCTGTTTGTCGTCCTCCTCGACAGTTTCAATCTTGGTAACTTCTTGCTTGTCACCCTTGACCTTCTTGATAACGCGAGTGCGGATCTTCTTCTTCTTAGGCTTGCCATCTTCCGTAATGGTTTCAACGACGCGAACCTCCTCCGGAAGCTCTTGTATTTCTTCAGGCTTTTCTTCTTCAAACGGAAGTTCTTCAACGGTGACTGTTGTTTCGGGCTGCTTGTCGTCCTCCTCGACAGTTTCAATCTTAGTGACTTCTTGCTTATCACCCTTGACCTTCTTGATAACGCGAGTGCGGATCTTCTTCTTTTTAGGCTTGCCATCTTCCGTAATGGTTTCAACGACGCGAACCTCCTCCGGAAGCTCCTGAATTTCTTCAGGCTTTTCTTCTTCAACCGGAAGTTCTTCAACGGTGACCGTTGTTTCGGGCTGTTTGTCCTCCTCCTCGACAGTTTCAATCTTAGTGACTTCTTGCTTATCACCCTTGACCTTCTTGATAACACGAGTGCGGATCTTCTTCTTCTTAGGCTTGCCATCTTCCGTAATGGTTTCAACGACGCGAACCTCCTCCGGAAGCTCCTGAATTTCTTCAGGCTTTTCTTCTTCAAACGGAAGTTCTTCAACGGTGACTATTGTTTCGGGCTGTTTGTCGTCCTCCTCGACAGTTTCAATCTTGGTAACTTCTTGCTTGTCACCCTTGACCTTCTTGATAACGCGAGTGCGGATCTTCTTCTTATTAGGCTTGCCATCTTCCGTAATGGTTTCAACGACGCGAACCTCCTCCGGAAGCTCCTGAATTTCTTCAGGCTTTTCTTCTTCAAACGGAAGTTCTTCAACGGTGACTGTTGTTTCGGGCTGTTTGTCGTCCTCCTCGACAGTTTCAATCTTAGTGACTTCTTGCTTATCACCCTTGACCTTCTTTATAACACGAGTGCGGATCTTCTTCTTCTTAGGCTTGCCATCTTCCGTAATGGTTTCAACGACGCGAACCTCCTCCGGAAGCTCCTGAATTTCTTCAGGCTTTTCTTCTTCAAACGGAAGTTCTTCAACGCTGACCGTTGTTTCGGGCTGTTTGTCGTCCTCCTCGACAGTTTCAATCTTAGTGACTTCTTGCTTATCACCCTTGACCTTCTTGATTACACGAGTGCGGATCTTCTTCTTCTTAGGCTTGCCATCTTCCGTAATGGTTTCAACGACGCGAACCTCCTCCGGAAGCTCCTGAATTTCTTCAGGCTTTTCTTCTTCAAACGGAAGTTCTTCAACGGTGACCGTTGTTTCGGGCTGTTTGTCGTCCTCCTCGACAGTTTCAATCTTAGTGACTTCTTGCTTGTCAACCTTGACCTTCTTGATAACGCGAGTGCGGATCTTCTTCTTCTTAGGCTTGCCATCTTCCGTAATGGTTTCAACGACGCGAACCTCCTCCGGAAGCTCCTGAATTTCTTCAGGCTTTTCCTCTTCAAACGGAAGTTCTTCAACAGTGACTGTTGTTTCGGGCTGTTTGTCGTCCTCCTCGATAGTTTCAATCTTGGTAACTTCTTGCTTATCACCCTTGACCTTCTTGATAACGCGAGTGCGGATCTTCTTCTTCTTAGGCTTGCCATCTTCCGTAATGGTTTCAACGACGCGAACCTCCTCCGGAAGCTCCTGAATTTCTTCAGGCTTTTCTTCTTCAAACGGAACTTCTTCAACGGTGACTGTTGTTTCGGGCTGTTTGTCGTCCTCCTCCACAGTTTCAATCTTAGTGACTTCTTGCTTATCACCCTTGACCTTCTTGATAACCCGAGTGCGGATCTTCTTCTTCTTAGGTTTGCCATTTTCCGTAATGGTTTCAACGACGCGAACCTCCTCCGGAAGCTCCTGAATTTCTTCAGGCTTTTCTTCTTCAAACGGAAGTTCTTCAACAGTGACTGTTGTTTCGGGCTGTTTGTCATCCTCCTCGACAGTTTCAATCTTGGTAACTGCTTGCTTGTCACCCTTGACCTTCTTGATAACGCGAGTGCGGATCTTCTTCTTCTTAGGCTTGCCATCTTCCGTAATGGTTTCAACGACGCGAACCTCCGGAAGCTCCTGAATTTCTTCAGGCTTTTCTTCTTCAAACGGAAGTTCTTCAACAGTGACTGTTGTTTCGGGCTGTTTGTCGTCCTCCTCCACAGTTTCAATCTTAGTGACTTCTTGCTTGTCACCCTTGACCTTCTTGATAACCCGAGTGCGGATCTTCTTCTTCTTAGGTTTGCCATCTTCCGTAATGGTTTCAACGACGCGAACCTCCTCCGGAAGCTCCTGAATTTCTTCAGGCTTTTCTTCTTCAAACGGAAGTTCTTCAACAGTGACTGTTGTTTCGGGCTGTTTGTCATCCTCCTCGACAGTTTCAATCTTGGTAACTTCTTGCTTGTCACCCTTGACCTTCTTGATAACGCGAGTGCGGATCTTCTTCTTCTTAGGCTTGCCATCTTCCGTAATGGTTTCAAAGACGTGGACCTCCTCCGGAAGCTCCTGAATTTCTTCAGGCTTTTCTTCTTCAAACGGAAGTTCTTCAACCGTGACTGTTGTTTCGGGCTGTTTGTCATCCTCCTCGACAGTTTCAATCTTGGTAACTTCTTGCTTGTCACCCTTGACCTTCTTGATAACGCGAGTGCGGATCTTCTTCTTCTTAGGCTTGCCATCTTCCGTAATGGTTTCAACGACGCGAACCTCCTCCGGAAGCTCCTGAATTTTTTCAGGCTTTTCTTCTTCAAACGGAAGTTCTTCAACAGTGACTGTTGTTTCGGGCTGTTTGTCGTCCTCCTCGACAGTTTCAATCTTAGTGACTTCTTGCTTATCACCCTTGACCTTCTTTATAACACGAGTGCGGATCTTCTTCTTCTTAGGCTTGCCATCTTCCGTAATGGTTTCAACGACGCGAACCTCCTCCGGAAGCTCCTGAATTTCTTCAGGCTTTTCTTCTTCAAACGGAAGTTCTTCAACGGTGACCGTTGTTTCGGGCTGTTTGTCGTCCTCCTCGACAGTTTCAATCTTAGTGACTTCTTGCTTATCACCCTTGACCTTCTTGATAACACGAGTGCGGATCTTCTTCTTCTTAGGCTTGCCATCTTCCGTAATGGTTTCAACGATGCGAACCTCCTCCGGAAGCTCCTGAATTTCTTCAGGCTTTTCTTCTTCAAACGGAACTTCTTCAACAGTGACCGTTGTTTCGGGCTGTTTGTCGTCCTCCTCCACAGTTTCAATCTTAGTGACTTCTTGCTTGTCACCCTTGACCTTCTTGATAACACGAGTACGGATCTTCTTCTTCTTAGGCTTGCCATCTTCCGTAATGGTTTCAACGACGCGAACCTCCTCCGGAAGCTCCTGAATTTCTTCAGGCTTTTCTTCTTCAAACGGAAGTTCTTCAACAGTGACTGTTGTTTCGGGCTGTTTGTCATCCTCCTCGACAGTTTCAATCTTGGTAACTTCTTGCTTATCACCCTTGACCTTCTTAATAACACGAGTGCGGATCTTCTTCTTCTTAGGCTTGCCATCTTCCGTAATGGTTTCAACGACGCGAACCTCCTCCGGAAGCTCCTGAATTTCTTCAGGCTTTTCTTCTTCAAACGGAAGTTCTTCAACGGTGACTATTGTTTCGGGTTGTTTGTCGTCCTCCTCGACAGTTTCAATCTTAGTGACTTCTTGCTTATCACCCTTTACCTTTTTTATTACACGAGTTCGAATCATTTGTTTTTTCGGGGAGCCGTCCTCAGATATTGTTTCAATAGTTTTAATAATTTCTGGCGATTCTGTGATTTGATTCGAGCTGGATTCTAATTTTTGTGTTGGTGTTATTTGTTTTTTGTGTGTTGTGTCTGTGGTTTGATTTGTATCTGTGTAAAAAAGTGTGCATTTAGTATTTTGTATTGTATGGCTATTGTGGCATTGCTTTGTTTTGTGTAATATGTGCTTTGGGCTTGTAGGGACGGTGCTAGTGAAAGTAATACGCCTTTTTTTTAACTACCTAAATAAATCCTAATAATATACTTACCCTTTTCGACTTTTACCGTTTTGTCAGAGTTCTTTGTCGCTAATTTATTAATCTTTTGAACATCCTGCATTAATTTCTTTTGAGTACTATCAATGTCATCTCTTAAATCGTGTATTGTTGCTTGTGACTCAGTGGTCGTTGAATATGCCTCTTCGTGTGTTTTTGTTTCAAAGTGTGCATTTTGGGAAATCAGTGGTGAAATTTCAAGGATCGACTCTGATTCAAATTGTGAAGTTTGTAAAGCATTTTTTGTGCTTCCCTCTTTTATGGTTGGCTTGGTACAAATCTGACTCGGTGCTGCATTACACATGTTGGGTTCTTCTGGTGTGACTGAAGTTTTGTTTTCAAAGTATTCTTCTGCATCTCCCTGAGTGTTAAGCAATTTATCTTTTTCTACAATAACCTGTGCATGTGGGCTAAAACTTTCAAAGGCAAGTTCCTCGGTGTACGCAACATTTTTTAATGATTTGGAAACTGACACTGATTTCAGCTCCTGGGGTTCGACCGTTGCAAGGCTGCCCAAGGATGGTACCGAAGTCACCTCTTCTACTACCGAAACTACCAATTCGGAATCCAAATTGGAAGTGAGGTTTGCAGTATTCGGCCTAAAATCACCATGCCCTTCAATGTTTTCATAAATATTAACGGTTTCATTTTCGGCTGGTTCAAGATCTGTCGTTACAGAACTAGAGGTTGCGCGCATTAATACGCGCGGCTCAAACACAATGTCAGGAGTTTGTTCATATGCAAGTTCCTGACAAACATTTACAGAATTCTGTGGAGTTTGCTGAGTTACGTTAGCTGTTTCTTCTATTGGAATTTGAAGTTCATATGTTTCTGGGATAGACCTTACGCTCACAACTTCCTCGGTTACCAAAGATTGGAGTTCAATATTACCAGCTTGAGCTGTATCCTGAAGAATGTTAGGTTTGGGTAGGATGTCCTCTTTTAAGAATGTCGATTGTATTGTTGTCAAATGAGCATTGCTTATATCAGAATCCTTTGATACTTTAACAAATGAGCCCTGCTTGTTTTGATGTTGAATAGCTTTAGTTTCTTCGTAAGCATTGACTTCAGATACGTTTGTATGTACTTGGACTTCAGCTGATTTGACCTTAGCTTGGGCAATGTTGTCGTAAACAGCTTGAGCTTCACTTTCCATTTCTAATGGAACTTGTGTTTGTACAATGTGCGAATGATTGATTATATCGGTAGATGTGAAAGTGGCTAAAAATTTAGATGGCTCTGGGGCTAAATGAATACCACCCACATTATCTATTGGCACCACTTCAATAACAACTGTTTCCTGCTGCGTGCCTTCAGTAATTGGTTTACCAAAATTCGCCATCTCGGCAATTTCTAAAATATCTTCCTTATGCATAACTAGGTTATCCGTTTGAACTTGAACTTTATTTGACTCCACCTGAGTGACATACTCCTGTTGCGCCTTTTGCACAGCGACTTGAGTATCTTTAATATGTACGGATGATTCTAAGGGAGTGACATCGAATGTGGTGGCTCCTTGATGTAGATTCAAAGATGGGTTTGCTTTGGCCTCCAATGGGCATACAGTCGGTATTGATAACTCTTTATGGAAAACTGGTGGTTGATGAGAATCTGATGTCACCTTAAACATAAGGTCAATCGACTCGACAGCGGAAATAGGACGCAAACGTGCATCTGTGAGTTCTTCGGATTCCTCCATCGCTTGGGTTTCGCTGACATCTATTTCATATTTGGTTTCTTCATAGTTTGTCTGCGCAAGCGTTGCGTTTGGAGGCAAACTTAACAGAACATCAGTTCCGTCGACAGGGTGCGTCTTTGTAGTTATCGCCAAACCAAGTCGCGATGGAATAATATCCGTTGTTGCTGCTTCATAAGTTTGCTTACGACTCTTTAGCTCTTTTTCAGCATCAAACGCTTGTTGCAGATCGGTTGAATAAACTTGAGTTAGATCGTGAGTGACCTCCGCTTGCTGTAAGTTAAATTTATCTACATTTTGCTCCTGTCCCATGGCTTCATATACTGCGGCTTCGTCCACGAGTTTAGCATGAAGATTTTGATCATCCTTTAGAAGTTTAGCTTTTTGGGTAGGGGTAGTTTCGGGACTCAGATTTTGTGCAGACTCGAATGTTCTTCGATCCTCTGCCATTATCGATTGACTTAGGCTATCTTGCACATTTGTTGCGATTTGTTGATCGGCAGACACGATTTCGAAATTATCAGATGCATCAAAAGCAATGTTTTCTGTCACCATTGTATGCCGATAGGGAACCAGCGATTTTTGAGGCACTATGCCACCTGGGAACGAAGAATCAACTGATTTTATAGACGAGTCGTACACAATCGTTTCAGATGAGTTTGTTTCATATAAATGATCAATTTTAGGAGAAGCACATATGTTTGAAACTTTGAAATCCACCATGTCGCCAATACCTTGCTGTGCTTGAACGTATTCAGTTAGAGGCAACCCAAGTAACTCTGAAGAACCAGGTATTGCCTTTTCCGGCAGAAATGAGGGAACTTTAAGATCCTCCTCTTGCTCTAGGGTTTCTTCTTGTCGAACTTGTGCGATGCCCGTCGTGGAGTCCAATACAATTTTAATCAGACGACCACTTGGTTGAGCAACATCTTGCAGGGACTCCTCTTTTTCCAAAATATCTGTCTCTCGTACATGTATCTCGTGTAAACTTTTAATTGAAGATTGAATCGTTCCCAATGTGGGTAATACCGTGTTCAAGTTCGAAACATGTTCTAGAACATTTGTTTCCGCGGAAATAGAGATTTTCTGGTCAGATTCATAAGGCCTAGGCTTGATATGAACTGGTTGGGTAATGCTTATGTCCTTTAATTCTTCTGTTCTTTCACTTACAACAGCTGTTGTCGTGTTTAACGATGTTGTGCTTTCAATTAACTGTACACGACTTACAGATGATTTTGTGTAATCTGGTATATCCAAATCGCTGAGGACATCAAAGGAAGCGATTTTCTCAACATTTGGTATAGTGATTTCCCCAATATTAACATTTGCCTGATAAGAAGGCATCTTCTGTTCATCTAGCCCCTCCAAAGTTTCCATGTGCTGGGGTCTCATGCTGTTAGCCACTTGCAGGGCAGACGAAGCTCCAATAGATGCGCTTTGCATGGGATGGGGCTCTTTAACTGATAGAATGCTTTCTCCTTCTAAGGTTACACATGAGCTGGTTTCCAGAGATTGCAGCAAACCAAACTGGCTTTCTGTTGTTTGCGTCTGAGGCTTTAGATCCTCCTTGTGCGTTTCAGTGCTTTCTAGGGGCTCCTGCTCTCTAACATCTGTTCCAAATTGTTGATGCATGCTTATGTCTGCAATTACCGCCGTCGGTTTGGTGTCTTCGACTTTATCGATTGTCGACTCCATTGAAATTACAACTAAGCCCTCAGCATATTCAAATGCATCGGTGACAGCTTCGGCATTAGTAAGCTTTTGATTAGGAAATACATCAGTAATATCCGTACTTGACTCGGTTATCTGCACGTTGGTTACTTCTAAAGGTTGTTGGTTTTCATCCAGAATGGTGGCCCCTGTTTTGAGCTCAGGATGTTGGAAGGCATCAATGTGACTAGTACTCTCTAACATAGCTGGCTTACTAGCAACTCCAACTGGCATCGTCTCAAAGACTTGATGTGCAGATACAGGCTTCGTTTCCTCCGTGATGATATCACTTGATGTCACTCCTGGTTGAACTTCGTATATGCTTGTAACCTTTAGCTCAGCAGGGAACATATTTGATACAGCTAACTGTGGTGGCAGTTCTATATTGGGATATAGAATCTCCTCCTTCTCCGCTGTCGTATTCTGCTTAATCTGCAACGCAGATTGCTCGACGAAATCGAATTTGGCATCCACCAGTTTTGGAGCTACAGAAATAATATCTTGCTCTGTGTCAGTCACCATCGTAGTCTGAACTTTTGCCACATACTCCCCTTCACTAATATTTACTTTCCCTTGCGCTAGCTTGCGATTGTCGTCTGGCACCAAACCGAGTGATTCGAGGGGGGTTTCTTCGTTACTCTCGGCTGTGCCATATGCCTCTGTTAAGGCGCCCTTAGCTGGTTTTGTTGATTCAACATTTGGTTCGATGAGCTCAACTGCAGTTTCTACAACGTTCATCTGCTGCGTTTCCCCAATAGTTAACGCACTAGATTGCCCCAATGTGCCCTCAGCCATTTTCGGAATATCACCTGATTTCAAGTCCTTTACTGCATCTTCATTTGAAACTGTTTCGAGAGTTGTTACGTGGTGTTGCGTTTGCATATCTATCGTGGCTTCTTTTACATCTTTCTCAAAAATAGGCAACTCCTCGGCTATTGGACTATGAGAATCTGCGGTAATGTTGACTAAACCCTCGGCTAACTCGAACAATTCAATTGCATTACTTTCGGCAGTCTGTTTCTTGGTCACCGCTTCTCTTTGCAAACTCTCAAAAGTTGTAATTTCTTGTACCTGTACTGGAACGTCCTCGGCTTTAATGGTAAAATCAGCCAAGCCCTTGGTCGGCTGGGTTATACATGGCATATCGTCCACGCTTTCCAAAACGTCCACTTCCTGTCCACCAGCTGCCTTAGATTCCGTTACCGACGTTGAAGATGTCTCCAGACGACCTTTAGCAACTTGTTGCATCTCGCCTAAAGAATCCTCCGGTTGGCACTCGGTAATGCAAAGGCTCATGTTGGGGGTAACTCGAGGAGAAATCTTTTCACCCGGTGGCCTAACATCAGTGACATCCCTTCCAACAGTTTCGGATGCTAGCACTTCCGCGATAATAAGCTCCTCCTGGTTCAGCAGTTTCTGCTGAACGGTTTCCTCAATGGCAGCGGTGGGCTTTAGCTTCTCAATGGTCTCCAGTGCATGGTGCTGTTCCTCGGTTATCTCATGCGAGACTAATATGTCGCCATGTACCTTTTGCGAAACGGCCTTCAGTGGCTTTAGATCTTCGATAGCTTCTTCGGCGCTTGGAGCTTCAACCTCCAAGGAACGTGACTCTTTCATTTTCCGCTGGGCTTTAACGGATTTCGGTATTTTGGAAGGCAATTCCCTCGGAGACTCAACCGTCTTTGCTTGTGACACATTAAGAGCATGCTTTAACCTTACTTCCATATTTTCGGTAAGCTTGTTTTCTTCGGGCTTGGGAGATTCCCTCGGCAGGCCAAACTCATCGAGTGGTAAAACCTCCTCATTGATGGCCAATACCTTTTGGGGTAGTATCTCCTCCTGTACCCGAGCCGCAATTGGGCTTGGAGTAGAAAGTTCTGTGGTGACTGCCAGTGCAACGGTTTCAAGCGTGTCTGTTGAAAGATTTTGTATGGGTAGTGTTTCGTATGTGGGCAGGGACTCTTCAATTTGTTCAAGAGTTTCTGCCTGTGGTGAGTCTGCACTTGTTTCGTGAGCCAGTGTTTCTTGTTGTTCGTATTGAATTGTTGACTCCGAAACATCTTGTTCTTGTTGTATGTGTTTTTTATGCTTTTTGATTTTGGTGTTTATCTGCACAATTTGTTTAGTCTGAGCCTGAATAACCACTTGTTCTTGTTGTTCTATATTTTGCACATGTTCTTGTTCCTGCTTTTTGAATTGTTTTTCCACTTTAGTGGTTGCTGTTTCTGTGAATGTAATGTAATTAAACAATGACAATGTCGACCTTTCTTTGTGTTTTCGTTAATAACAACAATAAAACAATGATGTGAACAGCTGTAAGCCGTGCAAGCATCATTCATTTAGTAATTGTGGTGAGATATAGACAGCAAATGCAAAATTAGTTGCACAAAAAACGATAGGATAAGAAATGATACATTTTTCGTTGAATGTTTCAATGATTTCAAACAGACAGAAATGGGAGATAGACCTTACCTCATTTTACATCCAAAAGCCTTCCAGCTTGGCGTGCAAGGGAATAAAGCTCTTCTACTCTTAAAAGTGAATGCATATTGCAAAAGCATTAGAGTGTGCGATAGTCAAAAATAGTTAAGCTTATATGGTACAAAGTAGCAGCAAGATATTGAAGTTAAGACCAGGTGGATATAGCTTTTAGTGGTGGTGATTAGCGGTTAATGGGTATATTTATTATTCGGTGGCGTCTTTTTAGAATATACACATGATTTCTTGGTTTGGCTTAACAAAATTTAATTGTTATATTTGTATAGACAATATTTATTATTGTTTTTGTATTGTATATTTTAATAATATTATTAGACTGTAGTTGAGTAGTTCGTGGGATGGTACATCGTTACTGGTGGGATTTTTATAACTGGTGGTTTGTTTTTTTTTACAGGACATCTGTGTTTATATTCAAACCTTCTTGGACAATTATCGTTCGTTCCTCAACAAATGTTTCCTCTTTCGGATGTGTTATGGGATTTTATTGGCCATGTTTTGGGATTGGCGCGAAAAGCGTAGGTAAGTTTACAAAGCAGAGTTACATATTAAAAAAAGAAATAGATATAAACTTTTTTCAGTATGCGTATTACAAAAGTCTCTTTATACTAATCGATTTCAGCTATAAGCTAAGGAAAATCCGCATATTTTCCTGGCACTCACCTATTTTCACATGTGTGATGGCCTCGTGACTTTCAATTATTTGCGAAGTCTCTACTATTCTCTAGATTTCAGTGCATCAAATAAGATAGAAATGTTTAAAATATGTAAATAATTATCAGCCCATTGTTTTTTGACAAAAAATTAAGTTGAAATGCGAAAATTAACCCACAGAAAGGAAACGGAAAATAATTCGAAAACGTTTTTTTTTTTAGCATTTCAACTATCTGCACAAGACATTTCAAACAAAACAAAAACACATTGAACAAATTTCAAACCTCCTTTCCACATATCTTCCAGTCCTGCGATATGAAGTCCTCCCTAACAAACTTTCGTATGACGATCTCAATAGTGATTTCGTACGTCTGAATCATGCGTATGAAGGCCTTGAAGCCGACAGTGGCTGCTAGGATGGTCTCGTCTTCATTCGAAGACTCGCTAAGTATTTGGGAGATCAGTTCTTCGTGGCCCTCTCGTTCGACGAGCTGCACCAGGGCCGATTGGGACTCTGGTTTCTTCAGCGAAATAAATATGTTTTGCTCATACATATATGTGATTTCGTAGTGCTCACAGCCATAACGCAATAGCAGACCAATAGTTGCCAAATCTCTAAGGGCAGACTCGCCAATTTGGCCAAAAGACTCGGCCTCGATGGACTCGAGCAGCCATTGTACCTCCTCATGGTGCGAAAGGACTTGAACATCTTCTATTGTTATGATCTTTTCGCTAATTTTTGTGCGTATCAGCTCCACAGTTTTAGATATCTCAATTTTCTTGCTAGACGTATATGTTTCCTTCTGCTCTACTTTCACCTCAACTTCATCCTCCTCGTCATGCTGGACTTTCTCCTCAATCTCTTCCTCCTCTTCTATTTCTTCGATTAATTGGCTGCTACGCTCTTCGGCATCGGCAACTTTCCGATCTTTCACAGCAAATACCTCGGATTTTTCGCTCTTTTCTACGAGTATGGATACGGGCTGTTTCACCTTGATCACATTCATGCTAGTCTCTACCGTGCTAGTTGGAATAATACGGATTTCTGTCTTTTGCACGTTCTGGGACTCTGATGTGCCGGATCTTTTCACCAAGGTTTTCTTGCCAGACTTCTTCTTGACGGTTGTCTTGGCCTTGGATTCCTCCACTATGGTGGTCGTGGATGATATGTCGAACTTGGCCCGAGTCATCGTCATGCCGATCTCATTGATGAGCTTGCAGTTATAGTAACCGCAGTCTTCGCTTGTAATTTTCAGTATTTCTAGCGTAGCTTCATGTTCCTGCACTACCATGCGATACTTATCGGATGCCCTAAGCTGAACGTTGTTGAAATACCACTGAATATCTAAAGTCAAGGGTTAGAAACGAAACCAAGCTACATCAGTTCCCGACACTAAAACTCTTTGGCATACAATACCTGGTATCGGATTGCCAGCAAACTGTATCGAGAACTTGGCTGTTTCGCCTAAGGCAGCACGGCAGTCACGCATTTCGTTTAGTAGTGAAGGCGAGCATTTAGCAGCTATAAGCACACAGATGGCATAATATCTATAGATTAGACGCTAAAAGGATATTCTAAAAGCGGTGGGACTGGGCAGGTTGTTACATTGTGTACTTACACAGATCGGTTTACAACAAGTTGGTTTTCGTGTGCCTTTGAGTGCATATTTCTTGTGTCTGCTTGTTTTTAGTCGTGTGATAAGTAATAAAGTTATGAATGAATAGTAACACTTAAATGTTTTTGAATACATGCAACATTGGCTTCATTTCCACAAAGTGATCTGTAGAGCAAGCAGCGTTCTGGGAATGTTATAGAATTTCTTTGGGTTGGATTGAACACTTTTTAAAAATGTTGGGTTAGTTAAAATTTAGAATAATACGCTATTAATTCAAAAAACCAATTACTTGTAGATGATATACAGATATCGATACTGTAAGAGATACATTTTATATACGAATGATAATTAATTTAAGTTTATACTATATGTTCTATATTGGCGTTTACTTTTCGGATAACATTACTCATTAAGGGCGTAGTGGGGTTTGGGTAGGGGTCAAGCCTTAGAGCAGTAAGGACTGAGACAATCACAAAGCTACAATATCTTGGGGAAGGTCAATTCACAAGTTTAAATATTTGTTGCTGTTGTACGATACATTGTATTATACATGGACAAATACGAAATAGAGACAGAAAATAGAATAAGACAGGAGACAGAGGACAGACTTTGTGAATTTTTGTAGTTTTGTGGTTTAAGACAAAGGCACAGTAGACATTTGTGTGTTGGAAACACGAAATTAAAACACATATACACATAACAGTGGTAACAGAGCTGGCATTAGTCGAGAATACATACCTTTGAGAGCCACCTGCATTTCCTCCATTTGAGTCACCCATTCCGGCTTGCGGTAATCCTTCGAACCAACGATGCCTTTCGGTATAGATGAAAACATAGTGGAAGTAATAAATACGGGTTCAATTATATATATTCTTGGAACATTAAAGCAAAAGAAATTTGTAAATTTAGTTCGGTTTTTCTTAAACTAGAAAAGTATTGCCTATACTTCAAGTATGTTTGGTGTATAATTCTGCAGGTGTTTAATACTAAAGTGTGGGGGGGATTTGGGGAAATTAAGAGAGACTGGACTCGAGAGAGATTGGGAAAAATTAAATAATGCAGCTCCGGACATCTGAAAAAGAATTTTACTAACAAAGCACGAAACAGTTGATTCATATTACAGATTGCACCATATTCCGAATAAACCATAATAGTACCTTCGACCGCAAAGAGCGCCGTAGTCACTGCCACACCGAGTGGATTGTATGCCTCGAAACTAATTGTACCCAAATCATCGGGATAGACGTGGTTAATGACCAACACTGAGGTGCCGTCTTCGAAATTTTCGATCTGATATTCCTCGGAGGCGAATATCTGTTCGTCGTCGCGCAGCCATTTGACCTTCGGTTTCGGTTTTCCAACGACCTTAACCTCCAGCTTCGCTTGCTCGCCTTCTTTTGGCTCGATTTTCTCCGGTAGTTTTTTAATAATTTTCGGAGCTTGTTCGTCGATTGAGAGGGTCTAAAATGGTTTGCGAAAAATCCTTGGTTTAAGATCTCAAGTACAACAGTTACGCTTACTCTATCAAGTAGATCCTCCTCAGATCCTGTGAGTCCAGTGATTTCAGAATCGGGGATATATTCAAATGCTAAAAAATACACATTTGAAAGCGTTATGAATATAAGCGTGTCTCGGCACGAAACTTTCTTGAAACGAACTCAAAAAATGGAAAAAGTATTTACAAAAGACGGGATCAGAGGGTTGACCGGAAAAGTTGGAGATACATATTTTATAAGGTTGAAAGAGTAAAAACACATGCAGGCCCACAAAGCCAGTTAGTAAAAACAGGGATTTTAAAAAGTTCAGTTGTCAGGGGATAGTGTAGTTATTGGAAAACCTATCTAGGTGTGGGATGCATGTAGTGTGTAGAGTGGCACTACTTCCAGACGGTTAACTATTTAACTACCGATAGATACCATTACAAGTACCTTGTATTTTAACGTTTGTCTTGCTGACGCTCTTGCCAATTTTATTTGTGGCCACGCACTCGTATTGGCCCTCGTTTTCGGGGAATACTTCCGTAATCTGCAGCTGGCAAACGCCTTGCAAGTCCTGCGATATCGTAGTTTCCTTGTTCTCAGTGATCTTCTCCGCATTGTGGTACCACTCCACCTTAGGAGTAGGCTTCCCTGTTACTTGACAGGTCAGCAGCAATGCCTCGCCATCCATAACCTCCACGGGTTGAATGAGTTCCTCAACAAAGCGCGGCGACTCAAATTCCTCGGCCACCTCTTGTGGCAGAGATTCAATTAGGTTAACGGTGGCCGTAGACGTTACCGATCCACCCACATTCTCTGCCCGGCAAGTAAAAGGCCCGACAAACTTGCTTTGGAAATTTTCAATCAGCAACGTTGACTTGTTGGCCTGGCTAACGATACGCACTTCGTTTGAACTCTTGATTGGCTCGTTGTGCACAAACCATTGGAAGGACGATAATGGCTCAGAGTCCACAATCGCTTCGATAATGGCCACTTCGTGCTCGCCAAAGTATTTGGGCTCTAGGGGTTGAATAAATCTAGGTGGCTTGATTTGCTCGTCGGGCTTTTGATCTGAAACCACCACTGACCCAGAGGACTTGGCTTCACCCACCTTGTTCTTTGCCCACACTTCATATTTGCCAGTTCGTTTGCGAGTCATATTGACAACCTTTATTGTGGTGGTTGTTTCTGTAGTTTCTATGATGGTCTCCTCATTCTCGATTACCTCGCGGCCATTGCGCATCCATTTTATTTCAGGCCTAGGCAAACCATCGTATTTCGCTTCAAAGAAGAGTGTACCACCAGTAGGTACAACAACAGCATTCAGTGGAGTTACGGTAGGGGCCTTCAGTATCTCCCGAGGAACTTCATCGACCCGACTTAAGATATTGGCATTGCCAATGGCACGTCCAAACTGATTCTGCGCCTGCACAGAGTAGACAACTGCTTCATTGGGTGTGGGGTTGATAACCTCCAGGGCCACATCGCCGGTTTTTTCATCATAGAACATTTGAACTGTTTCGCTGGGTATAACTTCCTCTATTCCTCTATACCATTTGACCTGAGGATTTGGTTTTCCTGTCACTTGACAAGTCACCGTAACCTTAAGCCGCTCGGGCTGCTTCTCCTCAATAAACTCAATCTTAAGTGGTTTTGTAAACTGGGGGGGCACTCCTTGTTCTTTTTCTGTATTCAATGTGATTAAGTGGAATTTAAATATTGTGTGTGCTCTTGATAGAATTACAGGGAATTAGGGAACTTTATACATAAACGTTCGGATTAAAGGTAAGTTAAAATTAGAAGGAACGCTTGACCGTTTGAAACAGCACCGCAAAAATAATCATTATAATTATATGGCGATTTAAGAACAATTTCCGTTTATCGCGAAGAATATTTTTATACCCGCTACTCGTAGAGTAAAAGGATGTACTAGATTCGTTGAAAAGATTCTGGCGCAATTCTCTAAAAATCTGCATTCAAATTTAGAAATTTATTTTTTAAAAAAAAGTTAAGAAATGTCCTAAAGCTGAAGTTCTAAACTCCATAACTCAACTTATCGTAATCGGATTTTGAAGTGGCATACCTCTAAATGTTTCTGGCGTAATTCTCTAAAACACTGCATTCAAATTTAGAAATTTATTTTTTTTCAATATTTTTGTCATTTTCCTGATGTTATGATATCGTACAAATTCAAAAGTGTCCCAAGGCTAAAGTTCTGAACTCCATAACTCAACTTATCGTAATCGGATTTTGAAGTGGCATACCTCTAAATGTTTCTGGTGCAATTCTCTAAAAATCTGCATTCAAATTTAGAAATTTATTTTTTAACATTTTTTTTGTAATTTTTTTGATGTTATGATGCTGCAGTAGTTCAAAAAAGTTAAGAAATGTCCTAAAGCTGAAGTTCTAAACTCCATAAATGAACTCATCTTAATCGGATTTTGAAGTGGCATACCTCTAAATGTTTCTGGAGCAATTCTCTAAAAATCTGCATTCAAATTTGGAAATTTATTTTTTTTCAATGTTTTTGTCATTTTCCTGATGTTATGATATTGTACAAATTCAAAAGTGTCCCAAGGCTAAAGTTCTGAACTCCATAACTCAACTTATATTAATCGGATTTTAAAGTGGCATACCTCTAAATGTTTCTGGAGCAATGCTCTAAAAATCTGCATTCAAATTTGGAAATTTATTTTTTTTCAATATTTTTGTCATTTTCCTGATGTTATGATGTTGTACAAATTCAAAAGTGTCCCAAGGCTGAAGTTCTAAAGTCCATAACTCAACTTATATTAATCGGATTTTAAAGTGGCATACCTCTAAATGTTTCTGGAGCAATTCTCTAAAAATCTGCATTCAACTTTGGAAATTTATTTTTTTTCAATATTTTTGTCATTTTCCTGATGTTATGATGATGTTGTACAAATTCAAAAGTGTCCCAAGGTTAAAGTTCTGAACTCCATAACTCAACCTATCTTAATCGGATTTTTGAGTGGCATACCTCTAAATGTTTCTGGAGCAATTCTCTAAAAATCTGCATTCAAATTTGGAAATTTATTTTTTTTCAATATTTTTTAATTTTCCTGATGTTACGATGTTGTACAAATTCAAAAGTGTCCCAAGGCTGAAGTTCTAAACTCCATAACTCAACTTATATTAATCGGATTTTAAAGTGGCATACCTCTAAATGTTTGTGGAGCAATTCTCTAAAAATCTGCATTCAAATTTGGAAATTTATATTTATTCAATATTTTTGTCATATTCCTGATGTTATGATGTTGTACAAATTCAAAAGTGTCCCAAGGTTAAAGTTCTGAACTCCATAACTCAACTTATCTTAATCGGATTTTGAAGTGGCATACCCCTAAATGTTTCTGGAGCAATTCTCTAAAAATCTGCATTCAAATTTGGAAAATTATTTTTTTTCAATATTTTTGTCATTTTCCTGATGTTACGATGTTGTACAAATTCAAAAGTGTCCCAAGGCTGAAGTTCTAAAGTCCATAACTCAACTTATATTAATTGGATTTTAAAGTGGCATACCTCTAAATGTTTCTGGAGCAATTCTCAAAAAATCTGCATTCGAATTTGGAAATTTATTTTTTTTCAATATTTTTGTCTTTTTCCTGATGTTATGATATTGTACAAATTCAAAAGTGTCCCAAGGCTGAAGTTCTAAAGTCCGTAACTCAACTTATATTAATCGGATTTTAAAGTGGCATACCTCTAAATGTTTCTGGAGCAATTCTCAAAAAATCTGCATTCAAATTTGTAAATTTATTTTTTTTCAATATTTTTGTCATTTTCCTGATGTTATGATATTGTACAAATTCAAAAGTGTCCCAAGGCTAAAGTTCTGAACTCCATAACTCAACTTATCTTAATCGGATTTTGAAGTGGCATACCTCTAAATGTTTCTGGAGCAATTCTCTAAAAATCTGCATTCAAAATTGGAAATTTATTTTTTTTCAATATTTTTGTCATTTTCCTGATGTTACGATGTTGTACAAATTCAAAAGTGTCCCAAGGCTAAAGTTCTGAACTCCATAACTCAACTTATCTTAATCGGATTTTGAAGTGGCATACCTCTAAATGTTTCTGGAGCAATTCTCTAAAAATCTGCATTCAAAATTGGAAATTTATTTTTTTTCAATATTTTTGTCATTTTCCTGATGTTATAATGTTGTACAAATTCAAAAGTGTCCCAAGGCTAAAGTTCTGAACTCCATAACTCAACTTATCTTAATCGGATTTTGGAGTGGCATACCTCTAAATGTTTCTGGAGCAATTCTCTAAAAATCTGCATTAAAATTTGGAAATTTATTTTTTTTCAATATTTTTGTCATTTTCCTGATGAGATGATATTGTACAAATTCAAAAGTGTCCCAAGGCTAAAGTTCTGAACTCCATAACTCAACTTATCTTAATCGGATTTTAAAGTGGCATACCTCTAAATGTTTCTGGAGCAATTCTCTAAAAATCTGCATTCAAATTTGGAAATTTATTTTTTTTCAATATTTTTGTCATTTTCCTGATGTTATGATGTTGTACAAATTCAAAAGTGTCCCAAGGCTGAAGTTCTAAAGTCCATAACTCAACTTATATTAATCGGATTTTAAAGTGGCATACCTCTAAATGTTTCTGGAGCAATTCTCTAAAAATCTGCATTCAAATTTGGAAATTTATTTTTTTCAATATTTTTGTCATTTTCCTGATGTTATGATGATGTTGTACAAATTCAAAAGTGTCCCAAGGCTAAAGTTCTGAACTCCATAACTCAACTTATAATAATCGGATTTTAAAGTGGCATACCTCTAAATGTTTCTGGAGCAATTCTCTAAAAATCTGCATTCAAAATTGGAAATTTATATTTGTTCAATATTTTTGTCATTTTCCTGATGCTATAATGTTGTGCAAATTCAAAAGTGTCCCAAGGCTAAAGTTCTGAACTCCATAACTCAACCTATCTTAATCGGATTTTTGAGTGGCATACCTCTAAATGTTTCTGGAGCAATTCTCTAAAAATCTGCATTCAAATTTGGAAATTTATTTTTTTTCAATATTTTTTAATTTTCCTGATGTTACGATGTTGTACAAATTCAAAAGTGTCCCAAGGCTGAAGTTCTAAACTCCATAACTCAACTTATATTAATCGGATTTTAAAGTGGCATACCTCTAAATGTTTGTGGAGCAATTCTCTAAAAATCTGCATTCAAATTTGGAAATTTATATTTATTCAATATTTTTGTCATTTTCCTGATGTTATGATGTTGTACAAATTCAAAAGTGTCCCAAGGTTAAAGTTCTGAACTCCATAACTCAACTTATCTTAATCGGATTTTGAAGTGGCATACCCCTAAATGTTTCTGGAGCAATTCTCTAAAAATCTGCATTCAAATTTGGAAAATTATTTTTTTTCAATATTTTTGTCATTTTCCTGATGTTATGATATTGTACAAATTCATAAGTGTCCCAAGGCTGAAGTTCTAAAGTCCGTAACTCAACTTATATTAATCGGATTTTAAAGTGGCATACCTCTAAATGTTTCTGGAGCAATTCTCAAAAAATCTGCATTCAAATTTGTAAATTTATTTTTTTTCAATATTTTTGTCATTTTCCTGATGTTATGATATCGTACAAATTCAAAAGTGTCCCAAGGCTAAAGTTCTGAACTCCATAACTCAACTTATAATAATCGGATTTTAAAGTGGCATACCTCTAAATGTTTCTGGAGCAATTCTCTAAAAATCTGCATTCAAAATTGGAAATTTATATTTGTTCAATATTTTTGTCATTTTCCTGATGCTATAATGTTGTGCAAATTCAAAAGTGTCCCAAGGCTAAAGTTCTGAACTCCATAACTCAACTTATCTTAATCGGATTTTGGAGTGGCATACCTCTAAATGTTTCTGGAGCAATTCTCTAAAAATCTGCATTAAAATTTTGAAATTTATTTTTTTTCAATATTTTTGTCATTTTCCTGATGAGATGATATTGTACAAATTCAAAAGTGTCCCAAGGTTAAAGTTCTGAACTCCATAACTCAACTTATATTAATCGGATTTTAAAGTGCAATACCTCTAAATGTTTCTGGAGCAATTCTCTAAAAATATGCATTCAAATTTGTAAATTTATTTTTTTTCAATATTTTTGTCATTTTCCTGATGTTACGATGTTGTACAAATTCAAAAGTGTCCCAAGGCTAAAGTTCTGAACTCCATAACTCAACTTATCTTAATCGGATTTTGAAGTGGCATACCTCTAAATGTTTCTGGAGCAATTCTCTAAAAATCTGCATTCAAAATTGGAAATTTATTTTTTTTCAATATTTTTGTCATTTTCCTGATGTTATAATGTTGTACAAATTCAAAAGTGTCCCAAGGCTAAAGTTCTGAACTCCATAACTCAACTTATCTTAATCGGATTTTGGAGTGGCATACCTCTAAATGTTTCTGGAGCAATTCTCTAAAAATCTGCATTAAAATTTGGAAATTTATTTTTTTTCAATATTTTTGTCATTTTCCTGATGAGATGATATTGTACAAATTCAAGTGTCCCAAGGCTAAAGTTCTGAACTCCATAACTCAACTTATCTTAATCGGATTTTTAAGTGGAATACCTCTAAATGTTTCTGGAGCAATTCTCTAAAAATCTGCATTCAAATTTGGAAATTTTTTTTTTTCAATATTTTCGTCATTTTCCTGATGTTATGATATTGTACAAATTCAAAAGTGTCCCAAGGCTAAAGTTCTGAACTCCATAACTAAACTTATATTAATCGGATTTTAAAGTGGCATACCTCTAAATGTTTCTGGAGCAATTCTCTAAAAATCTGCATTCAAATTTGGAAAATTATTTTTTTTCAATATTTTTGGCATTTTCCTGATGTTGTACAAATGTTCTAGAATGTAAATCAGGTAAATTTCTACAAATTTGTCAAATTTTGACTTTCCAACGCCCACAAACCGCCCAAAACTGTCACGCCCACACTTTTGAAAAATGTTGTGGCAGTTATTTACTGTTTTATATATTTTGTTAATTTCATTATATATATTTAAAAAACTTTTTGCCACGTCCTCATATTAAAAAAATTTTAAGTTTTTTTTTCATTTTTTCACAAATTTCTACAGATATTCCAGAAAATGTTCAAATTTCTCGTTTGCACTTCCACTATCTGAGTAACGGGTATCTGATAGTCGGGGAACTCGACTACAGCATTCCATCTTGTTTTGTAATTTTATTGTCAAGCTTTGGTACGGAAATCGGCCTTAAAGTAAATATTATTTTTAATGCAACCTTACCTAAAATAATGTTGGTACGACTTGTTGCCACTCCAGCCTCGTTCTTGGCCTCGCATGTATAGACGCCAACATCACTGGGAGTGACCTTGGCTATCTTAAGCTTAGCCACTTGCTCGATGACAGTAATCTCGTACTTCTCAGAAGCAAAAAGAAGAATGTCGTTGAAGTACCATTTTATTTCTGGGAATGGAACTCCTTCCACTTTGCACTCTAGCACGGTGGGTTCCTCGGGAACGCATTGGCGTGGCCGCAATTTCTCGGTGATCCTTGGAGGCTTAATCTCTTTCTTCTTCTTCTTGACAAGCTTGCGCTCCTGACCGATAACCTCAGAGGTAGTCGTCTCCTGCTGGTTTTGGGTAAGCTGCTGGTCCTCTATAAGCTCCTCATCGGCCACCTTGTCGATGCCCTCTTGGATTCGTTTCTGGGTAATAAGCTCCAGCTCAGGCAACGGTTGACTGTCGTCCAGCACCACGCGACGCTTCTCCTTCTTAATGATGTTCGATGTGACCTTCATTTCCAGATCGCGTCGTACGTCCTCCACATCCAGCTCGATAAGCTGTTCAGTCGTTATGAATTGAGGTCTTGTGTCTTCAGTCTTCTTGAGTAGGGTAATAGTCTTTTGTGAGATCTCCTGGGATATTTCATCCACCTTTTCGATTTCAGCAATGGCCGCTTCTAGCAGCTGAGGCTGACCTTCTACGGAGGCCTCCTTTAGTCGCTTCGTGCGCTTCTTGTGCGCCTTCTGCTTTGCCTCAGGAGTCTCCTCTGTGGGCACAACTTCCTCTTCAGGCAGTACGTCTTCAGATACTGCCACGACCTTGACATCGTCCACTGGCATTTCTTCCACTTCATCTTCCTCTGCAATGGGCTCGTCGAAGGGCTCAGCCACTTCCTCGGACACCTCATCTACTGATGGTGTGGCCTTCTTCAGCTTGGGCTTCTTCTTCTTCTCCTTCTTAGCCTTCGGCTCTTTTAGCTGCTTGTCCTCGGGCAGCTTAAGAGGTTCAAGTTCCAGTTCCTCCTCTTCGCTTTCAGGCTTTTCTTCTGGCACAAGATGCGGACCAGGTATGGCCTTCTCTGGCTTTTGCGGTTCTTCAATTGGCTTAGATGGAATTGGCTTTAGTTGAACTTCTTCCGGCTGCTGTTCAGGCAGTGGGCGGCGTTTTCCAGATGGCCATTTCTTTTCCTCCAGGACTTCCTCAACAGGCTGTTTCTTTTCACCTCTCTTCCATGGCACCTGAGGCTGCTCCTCTTCAGGCTTTGGCTGTTTCTCAAGATCAATGTGTTCAGCCTCTTCCAGTTGCGTTGGCTCAGCATCAGAAATTTCCGGCAAGTCTTCGTGTTTCGGCTTCTTAACCTTCCTGGTCTTTCGTTTCTCTTCCTGAACGATTTCATCCTCTTTTTTCTCCACATGCTGCAAGTCCACTTCCTCTAGTTTGACTTCTTCGGGCTTGATAGAAGTACGTTGAGTAGGCTTCAAACGGACTTCCTCGATGGTCGCCTCTTGAGGTAGCTCTTTCTTTGGCCGAATAACCCGCTTAAGAGCCACTTCTTCAACCTTCTCGATGATTTCTTCTTTTCTTGGCTTTGGCTTGGGTGCCGTTTTTTGTTCGTCAACAACTTCCTCTACTGGTTGCTCCTCCGGAATTTCCTCAACTGGTTGCACGTCTTCCGGCTGGGCTTCCTCTTCTTCAAACTCTTCAGTTTCTTCAGCTGGTTCTTCAGTTGATTCTTCGGCTGCAACCTTTGTTTTTGGCTTCTTCTTTTTAACTCGCTTCTTTGTTACATCCAGTATATCCTCTTGAGTGGTGATGACGAACTCTTTCACCTCAAATTCCGTTTCAGGTGTTTCAGGTTGTTCTGTTTCCGAGACAGCAGCAATCTTTTTCACGGGCTTAAGCAAAACCTCCTCCACTTGTTCTTTTTCGGGCAGAGGACGTTGTTTTCTTGGCGCAGGTTTCAGTGAAACCTTTTCGATTTGCTCAACCTTTTCCTCTTCGGGCGCAGGCTTAGGCTTCTTGGGTTCTTCGGGTATAGTTTCTATTATTTCTTCCTGCTCCTCAACTATTTCTTCTTGGGGAACGTCCTCTTCTGGTTGGTCTTCTTCTACTTCGGTCTTTTCTATAGTCTTCTTGGGCTTCTTTGCTTTTTTGACCTTTCGCTTTTGTTCCTGAATTTCTTCTTGGGCAACGATCTCCTCCTCCTCCTCGATGGGCTCATCCACTGGAATTTCCTTTTCCGGAACATCCTCTTCTGGCAGTTCCTGGACATCAAGCTTTTCAACCGTTCGTGTTGGTTTCTTTACTTTTTTAACCTTTTCGCTTTCTTCAACAACTGATTGCTGCTTCTCAACAGTTTCTTCCTCTTCAACAGCCTCCTCTACTGGGATTTCGTCTTCTTCGAGCTGTTTCTCCGCCTTGGGTTTCTTCACCTTCTTGACCTTTTTCTTTTCTTCAACAATCTCTTCCTGTTCTTGAACCACTTCTTCAGACTCTTCGATTGCCTCTTCATCGGCTTTTTCCTCTTCGGTCACCTGCTGTTTTAGCTTAGGTTTTTTCGTTTTCTTGACCCTATGTTTTTCTTCAACAATTTCCTCAAGTTCTTCAATCACTTCTTCCTGCGGCACTTCCTCTTCTGGAGATATTTCTTCTTCCGGCTGTTCTTCAAACAACTCCTCGGTAACTTCTTTCGTTGGCCTAGGCTTTTTGGCTTTCTTGATTCGGCGTCTTTCTTCGAGAACGACTACATCTTCGTTTACTACCGTCTCTATTTGGGCATCTACCTCATCCTGATGCACTTCTTCAATGGACTCCGGCTTGGGAATCTTCTTCTTACCACGCTGCCATAAGACAGGCTCTGGCTTCTCCTCAATCTTAGGTTCCTCGGATAAAACATCAACCGCTTCTTCGTATGTCTTGGTCGGAGCTTCCTCCACCTTCTCTTCGACTACGTCTTGAGGTTGCGGTTTCTTTTTCTTGCCGCGTTCCCAAAGAACAGGTTGTGGTTCAGGTTGAACGGGCTTGATAAGGTCCTCCTCTATAGTGTCGACGGCAATCTCGAGACTCTTTGGAAGCTCCGGTTTTTGCTCATCAGCCTTTTGAGGCTTCTTCTGGCCACGCGCCCACAAAACAGGTTGTGGTTGCGGTTCTGTTGGCTTAGGCACTTCCTCCTCAAGCGTGTCGACTGCAATCTCAAGAGTTTTCGGAATCTCGGGAACTTGCTCTTCGGGTAGTTGGGGCTTCTTTTTGCCCCGCTCCCACATGACAGGCTGCGGTTGATCCTGTACTTGAGATAGTGGCTCTTCGGGCAACTCATCCGTAGCTTCTTCGTAGGCTTTCTGTTCCGGCACCACTTGTTGTGGTACGGGTCTGGTACTTTTCAAGGGTTTCAATTGAATCTCCTCAGTCTTTAGAGCCTCCTTAGGACGAGGTCGGGGTGTTGGCTTCAAGGTAACCTGTTCCACCTTCTGCTCCGGCTCTCTTGGTGGTATCACTCGTCTAACAGCCGTTTTCTTTGTTTCCTCAACTATCTGTTGTTCGACCACCTTAGAAGTTTGCACCACTTCCTGGGATAAAATAGTCTCCTGCTGAGCCACCTTCTTCTTGCCGCGCTCCCACATGACTGGCACGGGCTCTGGTTGCTGGACTGGAGTGGGTTCAACCAACTCGTCGTGCGCCTCTTCGAAGGTCTTATGCTGGGGCTGGGGTTTCTTCTTGCCACGCTCCCACATAACTGGTACCGGCTGAGGTTGTTGAACAGGGGTTGGCTCAACCAGTTCGTCGTGCATTTCCTCGTACGTTTTTGGCTTCTCCACGTATTCCTCCTTAACAGGCTCCGCCTGGGGTTGCACATATTGTGGTTGATCGGGCTTCTTTCTGCCACGATCCCACATTACAGGCTGTTGTTGCAGCAGCTGCTGTTCCTGCGTATCCTGACGTTCCTGTAAGTGAAGCAAGGAGGAGTCCTCCACCTGAATAAACTTCTGGGGCTCACGTGGCTGTCGCCAGCTATAGGCTTCTTGTTGGGTTCGCTGGTTAATCATCTTTTGGTGCTCATACTGCTCCAGGCTCATCATCTGGGAGTCCTCGACCTGCACAAAGTGCTGACGCTGAGCCTCCTCGATGAAGCTCTGCTGTTGCACCAACTTCTGTCTCTCAGTAGTCTGAGAGATCACTGTATCCTCAACTGAAGTCAGGGGCTGCAACTGAGGACGCTGTTGCTGTTGGCGCCAATTTACAGCCTGCTGTTCGCGTATCAATCTCTGGGCTTCCAGCTTCTCGCGCTCGGAAACATGCATAATATTAACATCCTCAGTGGTGATAAACTGCTGCCTATAGATATTGGACTGATCTTCGTACTGCTGCAGTTCATCGCGACGCATTACTTTAGAGATCGAGCCCTTGGAGCTCTCATCAATCATGACCACAGTCTCCTCGGCTGTTCCTGTTTGATACTCCTCCGTAATGGCTTGTTGAGCCTGCAGGTGACGGAGCTCGACTTCCTCAATCTTAATCTTGTCGATCTGCTTAGTAACGCGTTGGACGCTCTTGAGCTGCTGGCGCATCTCCTTCCAGGGAATGAGATCTTTGGCGTTTTGCTGCTGGGTGATCAGCTTATCGATCTGGTCAGTCATCTCCATAATCTCAACGCTTTCCATGCTCTTCAGGCGCTGGATTTCCTTGGTGCGCTGCACCTGTTCCACCTGAGCCTGCTGTGGCAGCTGCTCATCTGTTTCAATTTGGCCTTCAAAGGGTTGCAGATAGACCTCATCTAGATCGAATTTGTTGAGCTGTTGCTGAACACTCTCGACTGCCTTAAGTTTTTCACGCATAGTGATCCAAGGAATCGCTTCCTTTTCGGTTTTTCCGGCAATTATCTGTTCCAGGGTAGCGCCAAGACTCATGATGCCCTGATCCCGTTCGGTCTTGATGGACTTCAGTACAACCTTAGCTGCCTCTAGTTTTGGCGCGGGCTTTTTCTTTTCAATCGGCGTAGCCTTCAGGCTAATAGTCTCCTCAGTCCAGGACTTAACAGGTTCAGGCTTAAATCCTGGCAGGAAAACTCCCTTGTCCAGGGAACGTCCTCGAGTGGGACGCGATGACTTACGCCATGGTATCACCTTTGTAGCCGGCTGCAGCGACTTGCTGCGTACCTTGGGTTTCTTCTGCCGCGACCTTCCCTGATGCTGACCCTGCCCGTTGACGCCCAGGAATTGACCAAACTGCTGGCCGGGTTGCTGGCCAGGTTGGAAAGCGTGTGGCGACTCGGGGGCACTGTCCTCCCGGCCAGAGGAAGAGGACTCATCCTCGGCGGAATCAATCGTTCGCAATTGAAAGGCCGAGATGCGTCGTTCTAAGAGGGATTAAGTGTATATTTTATTTAATATATCCCTAGGAATATAAGTGGGATAAATAACAAAACACATCCAGAGTTCGAATGGGACAATGATAGTAATGTTTTTTCAACCTTCTAATAATAATATTCGCTTGATAAAAGAGCAGTGCTCTAGCAGAGCTTAGTATTCCCGTACATTATAAATTAAAATAACATTAAATATCTAGTTAGTTCATTCGCAATGAGATCGCAAGCCATTAAATGTAATGCCTCATGGAGCACTATCCAGATGTCAAGTTGATGCAATTTTGTACCACTTACCTGCTTCTCTCTATAAATACATTTTTATTCTGGGCCATTAAAATTAGTTTGGTTGTTCGGAATCGAGGAAACCAAAAACCCTCCATCTGAAAGGTGCGTGTGTGGACCACAAATCATATTTCCCCGGCTGACAGCTCATCTGCGTTGACCGTGAATAAAGCTTAAATGGGATTGGGCCCTAGGTCAATACATATTTTTGATAATTGGCATTGATAAAAATAGGTGCGAATAGTCAGATGCCGTATTGAGTAGGACGATTATCTATGATTCGTGATTCACTAATCGGGTGTGACGAATCCACTTGGGGATGATGGATACTGCATTAGCCTGCATCTAAATCTGGCGCATTGTCATGGCAGCAAGTCACAAGTCGTAACGAATAGTGACATTCGTTTGACTTCAGCTCATCATCCTCGTCATCGTGATAGGGGTGGAGGTGGTCTGGGGTTGTGGCCACGCAAGTGTACAATTGAGAGCAAACAATTCAAATGCCTGTGTATACATTACGGCCAAAAATAGATATCTGATTAGTGGCGGCTACGTCACCAGGTGGGGCTGTTCAGCTCGACCATCGGCAGAGCTACTACAGATTTATGGGCGGGGTGTGTCTGCTTCGACGTTCTGATGTTCTCGGGACTCATATAGACCAGCCATATAGCCAGAGCGCAGTGCGGCGCACTCCAACGTTCTCAGTCGGATGTAGACAACAATCGACCGCAGAACAGAACACATCATAAGGTAGACAGTTTTTGGCTGGGGCAATACATGTACCCCGTGCATCGAGACTACCTACCTGTAGTAGCTGACCTCCAGAGATTCCGGGCGACATTCGGATGACGGGAAGCAAGCAGCGGCGGTGCAAGTTTAGCAGTAGCAGGAAGATTGTGGCAAGAAGGACATTTGGCAGTTGTAAAAAACAAGTTTCCAATCATTATGCATTTTGCTTGGATTTATTTATAGACGCGGTATTGGTTTTAAGTATTAAATACATGAGAGATACAATTAAACAACAAAAGAGTGTACGCGAGTGTTGGTTCTTACCAAATAATCAAATGGAAACAAATCAATTAAACTTCAAAGTCATCGTAAAGTGATCGAAAATAAAAACATATCGGGTAAACATAAACATGACAGATAAGACTTAAAACGAAGGTCGCATGAGTTTTTATGATTAATTTTTTAGTAAAGCTTCTCGCCACAAAGGAAAACATGTAACAAAGAGTATTAAGATTGGCGGCAAAAGCAGCATTTACTTTCGAGATTCGTTTGGATTTTGTACACGAAATGTATGATTGATTGGTGGCGATCGAGAACGAAAGTGTGTGACAAATAATAGAGTAACGAAACGAATTAGTAAAAAGCGGTAATAAAAAATGAATAATAAAATCTCATGCAACATCACTACAAAATAAATAAAATTCTATTAAATTAAATTCAATTAAAGTAAACAATACAATAATCATTTTAACGTCGTCTACTATCGGAGTCATCATAGATGGACTGAAGGACTGGAGCGTACGACTGTCTGTTCGGATTTGCTGGTAAAAGTCATATATGATATTGTATCTTAAAGCCTCCTGTCGAAACCTTTCTAACAACGATTTCACTTTCAGAGGGACCTACGGAACCTCAACCATTGCTTAAAAGCCGAAAACAGCCTGCCAGCTAAATATAAATCTTGGTGCAACTATGAATCACAGTGGCCCGCGGCTTGATGACTGAACAGCCGTAACTGATTAATCTAATTAAATTCTTTTCTGCACCATAAACAGAATCATCAATTCATGTTCTTCTCTAATGACCAAGAGGATGAGTCGCCCGACTAACATCGGTATATCTCTCATCTCTGCCTGATCCACCTTATAGACAGCAGTAGCAACAACAAAAGGTAATTTATCATGATGTTTTGTTCTAGAACCTAGAAGCTAGTACCTAAACCATCCACGTATGCCTAAGCAAATATATTTATTCGGTTTTGGTGTTTTTGTTGTTTTTGTGTTTTATTGAAAGAAAATTGAAATAAATTTCAAGATTTACTTGAGAAAATACATAAATGTTTTTCATTGTAGCTGAAAGCCTGAAATCCAGACAGCACCGCGTGCCTAAAAATAGCAGAACGGATTTCGAACGCTAATCTATTGGAAATTAGTTCTCGAAAGCCAAACATTCACATTCTCCAAAAAGAAATTTGAAAATAGAACACCCGCTGGGCGTACATATGTCTTGATATGTCTGAGAAAATTCGGCTGGCAGCTGAAAGGCTTTCGATATTTTCTGTTTTTTCTACAGACTGCTATCTGCTCGATTCGTGCTAGTTTTTGCGCACGTTCACAGGGGGAAATGGAAAACGGAAAATAGAATATGGGAAATGTGTATCTGGCAGATACAAGATAGCGCACCACTGGCATCGCCATGAAGCCCGCGGTGTGTGTGCGCTAGATGTGTCATCCATAATATTTTATGCTAATATTCAAATGAAAAATACAACTTTCACGCTCGAGCGGAGGCGGGACAAATGTGCGTTTTGCACACGGCCCCAAAACTATCCTACTGATACTCATAGATGGGGCACATAATACCTACATATGTGCATAGCTATAAGTATTTAAGTATATTTACGGACGGGTCGGGTACTGAAAATATTATTATGTGTGCTTAAAGTGGCCTGCTGTACATAAGCTACCTTATTTATAACTCAACTCGAGGGGCTAGAGATCTATATGCTACATTTGGGTTTGAGTCATTTCCACTTTCACTCAACTGGCTGCAGAAAATTTCAAATTTTATTTAATGGCTGTTGTTGTTGCTTCTGTTGTCTTGGCCGTGCCAGAAAGAAAAATGGTCTATAAATATTTATGTTGCAAAATACTTGTAATTATTTTTATTATTTTTCAATTAAAAAGTGTTTTCATATGTTTGTTCTTCTTTTTCGGTTACGTTTACGTGTTAGACATCTTTAATTTATTTCTTTTTTTGTTTTTTGCTGCATTTCACTTGTAACATTTTGCAATGGTTAGTAAAAATAACTCGTTCGTTTGATAGTTTAGAAAAATCCTTGAAAGGTTCGACAGGCTCGCTCTAAAATATTCTTCACTCAAACTTTTACGACTAGTAGTTGATCATATATATAGGTAGGTTGGGGTAGTAGTAACTGTATGTAATACGTCAGTAACTCGGGGATTAATAGTTAAAGTTCTTCTCGGTCGTTGTTTTGTTTTTGTTCATTTCATATTTTCTTTTTTGAGCATTCTTTGGAGTTGGTTTGTTGATGTTGGTTGGTTTGTTTGTTTGAACACGGTTCGCTTACGTTTGGTTTTGCTAGGTTTCGAACTCTGGTTTCGGTTTTGGCTTAGCTTTAGTTTAATCCTTACTTTTAACAGTCAGTTTGGCTGAGGATTCGACCTGGCCGGTGGACGAGGTTACGCGCACAGTAAAGATGCCCGAATCCTCCTCGTAGGTGGTGCCAATCAGGAGTACAGCGCTGTTGCCATCGAAGATCATCTGAAAATATGAAAGGAGGCTATCAGTTTTAAGGGTATGCAAAAATGTGTATATGTATGGCCCTATCCCATTCTTACACCATGCTGCAATCTATTTTTGTCTTTTCCCATTACTTGTGTTGTTTAGTAAAATGTATTATTTAGGCGTGGAACCCACCTGGAAATCCGGTGTTTCGGGAATCAGCTGACCCTCGCGGAACCATTGGACGCTGGTGGCTTTCACTTTGCCGGTCACCGTCGTCTTAAACTGAGCGGGCATGCCCTCGGTGACGGAGACATCCTTAAGGGCTGTGATGGTGGGCGGGGCGTCTAGGTTCTCGATTGGACGGACCTTAAGCTGGGCGCTGGTCTGAATGCTGCCCAGTTTGTTCTCGGCCACGCACTTGTAGGTACCCTCGTCCTCGGGGAAGGCCTCCGAGATGACCAGCTGGTAGTACTCGCCTTGGCGGCTCATCTGGAAGTAGCGTGATGGTTTCACAAAGTTCTCGCCACGCATCCAGCGGGCGGTGGGAGTGGGCTTGCCATCCACTCGACAGCGGAAGATAACCTTGCTTCCCTCCTCGACGGACTGGCTCTTTAGCTGCTCCACAATGTGTGGGGCCTTCTCGCTGCCCGGAGTTGTTGGTTTCTCCGGTTTGCTGGGCGACTGCACAATGCAGTCACCATCGCAGCGGGCCTCTCCAGCGGCATTGACGGCCACACACTCGTAGCGACCGGAATCCTCGGCGAACGGTTCGATAATAAGTAGAGTGTGAACACTGTCCTCCTCCAGCATCTTGAACTTGATGCTCGGCTGAATCTTCATGCCGTTCTTAAGCCAGTAAACATCGAGCGGGCGAGTTCCCGTAACCTTGGCATCGAAGCGAGCCAACTGACCAGTGGCCACAGTGGTGCTCTGGATGGTGGTCACGAAGCTAGGCGGCTGAATGCCACCCTTTCCGGCGCGACGACGTTCCTCCACAACAAGATTGGCACTGCACTTTGCAGTTCCTCCACGATTTTCGGCCACACACGAGAAGACTGCGGAGTCCTCGACGAACACCTGGCGGATAATCAGAATCGACTTGCCGCTAAAGGTGTGGATCTGCAGATCCGGGGAGTTCTGGATGGGGAAACTCTCACGGTACCATTTAACCGTTGGATTGGGCTCTCCGTCGAATTCCACTTCAAATTTGGCCTGCTCGTTCTCAAAGACGCGGCATGGCTGGATCTTCTTGGTGAAGACCGGAGCCTTGGACGGTTTTACGGGTCCCTGAACGACACGCTCCTGAATGGTTCCCTTATGCTCAACCTCGGTTGTTTCGGTGGCGGTTATCTTGCGTGTAATCTCAAGGTCACCCTGGATCTCCTTCTGCACCTGCTGCTGCTTGTTCATATGAACCTCGCGACCATGGACGAATGATTCGGACGGTTGGGCAGTACCCTTGGGTGGGGCAGCCTGCACTTGAGTAGTGCTGGTTTTCTCTTGACTAGAAGGGGAGAAATCAGTGTGATCTTTCTTAAGCTCGTAGGCAATGTGTTAGGTACTCACAGATTTTCTTCGTAAGACTGAGCCATTCCCTTGGCCTGGGAACTGCTCACGACCTTCTCTCCGGGAATGGCGTACTGATGGGTATCCCTTCGCAGGTTGGTCTCCTTCAGCAGCTGTTCAGTTTCCAGAGTCTGCAGCTTGTTGTAGTAATCCTCGCTCTTCTTGGCCTTGACATTTTGCTGCCAGTCCGGAGTGGGTGGCTTGTATTGCTTGGGCTTCAGGTGCTCCACGCCCTTCAAGGTGTGGGTGCTCTGTTCGGAAAGCACCTGCTTACGCTCATCGAATACCTTTTCCAACTCGTTTTCCTGGCGCTCCTTCTGATAGGCAGCTAGTTCGTAATCGTACCAGGCTAAACAAAGATGCGGTCATTATTAGGTGCCGCCCAGAACGCATTTAAACAGTAATTCTTGGTAAAGCCAGTTTTAGCTCAAACACATGCACTTTTGGATGATCCATGAGCGTTAGCAAATAAACTAGCATGCAATAAGAACTTGAACATTATTTACAAGTAGGCGACTTAAGTGAAATTAGGTATGAATGGGGCTTTTACAGAGGTTCACTAGCTCTTTTGGTTTCTTCAGAGGGAACAGCAAATGAGTAGAGACAGAGAGAGGGTCAATGGCTAGCTGGATGATAACCACAGTTTAAAACAGACGGAAAGTGCACACGCAAAACTACGTCATAACCATATTACCCCGGGTCCGGCAATACTTAGGGAGCCAACTTCCTTGGTTTCCTTTGCGTGATTTCCTCCTCTGAAGTCTCTCGTTGACTGGAGTTCGACAATCGGTTCTTTGGGGGATTTTTGGGATTTGGGGACATATCGGGATTGTTTTTTTTGGAAGTTGGGTATACTTGTGCTTGTTGTTTAAAATGTTTAAACTACTTGAAATGTGGTTATAGTGAAATTAACTTGGGTGCTACGGCTACGTAAACTTGTGTGGCGTATTGTGCGTTGGAATGTATATATTTACAATGAGTTCTTGTTTGTGAAATAGCATGTAGTGTCCATATTTAGTTTTTCTCAGTTAAAGACTACTGCATTAAAAAATTGTTAACGCTCTAATATCTGTTAAATAGATAGTGTTTCCAGAATTTCTGGGGTGTCTTCAAAATTAAACTTACGACGTGGCGAATTCTTCAGCACATTACGATAATCGTCCGATCGTGCAACAACCTTCAGTTCAGTGGTGGCAATCGATTCGCCCACAGAATTGCGAGCAATCACCTCAACCTTGCCAGTATCGTACTGACGTGTCTTCGGGACATCCAGATGGAACATACCATCGTTGGTCAGCTTGTAACGCGAGCCCTGATATAACAATTATCAGTTTCAAGATTGTTTCAAAACGGGATTCCATTAAAACTTACATGAACGACAGTGTGGCCGTTGATCAGCCACATAACCCTCGGACGTGGATGGCCGGTGACACGAACACAGAATCTAGCTGGATCACCCTCCTCCACAGTCTGGGGCTCCAGTTTGCTCACAAAGACTGGCTTGGTTCTGGGCTTGGCATCGGGATCTACCTCTTCGGGCACCCTAAGCAAAAACAAATTATGAATTAAATTAATGGGAGATTTGGAGGATAATTTGTACCGACAATCTGTGCGGAAACCATAAGCCCTTAAAATCTTTACATTCGGTTGATACTTACACCTGCCATGAGGCTTCCATTTCTCGGATGCGGTCAATGCTCTGCATGTGTGCGGGCAGCTGGGAATCATAGACGATTCCTGGCTTTCCAGAAACCTTAATAAAGGCACGAGTCTCGTCCTTGCCATACAAGTTGGTGGCACGGCACACGTACTCTCCGCTGTCTTCGGGATAAACCCAGCCAAAGTTCATTGCCACATAACCAAAATCGTAAATGGGCTGGAAGCGATTCTCTGCAGAGGGTAGGACATTGCTTAGATTGCATTCGTGTTAAGCGATAATTTTAGAATACTCACTGTGCAGCAATGGCTTGCCATTGAAGAACCACTCGACCTTCATGTTGGGATCTCCCACGGGAGCCAACTGGCATTCGAATTTGGTGACCGCCATCTCGGTAAGAGTAAGCTGCTCCTTGATCTGCGTAACGAAGCGGGGAGGTTGCTTGCGATCCGGATCGAATAGATCATCCTCTGTCAAATGGACCTCCGATGTATATTTCTTGATGGTAGCTTCCATTTGGGTTAGAGCATCTGAACGCTTCATTCCGCGAGGCACTTGGTTCTGGAGTAGGATGGTAGGGAGTTCTGGAAAACAAATGTTGTATTGAAAGCAGTAAAAACAATGTGTATTCTAACTTACTCTTGCAGGACACTGTGGCTCTGGTGCGATCCTCGCCATGGTTGTTAATTGCGCGGCACACGTACTCTCCAGAGTCCTCTCCATAAACGTACAGAATATCCAGGGAAACAAAGCCCATGTCGAAGATATTTCTATAACGGTGTCCGGAAGGCAAGGGCTTGCCATTGCGGTACCATTCCACGCGCAGGCTGGGATCCGTCTTGGGTTCCACCTGGCACTCAAATCGCACGGCCTCGGCTTCATCGACAGTCACAGAAGTGATCTGTGTGGTGAACTTTGGTGGTCCAAACTCCTCCTCCACCACCTTCGGTGCTTCTGGGATGCGTCCTCGCTCCAGCTCCTTTAGCTTTTCAGAGGTCATGCCCTCTGGCAACTGCGACTCGTACACAATATTGTGCTTTCCTTTGCAAGTGACCTTTGCGCTGGTGGTGGCAGTGCCCCACTTGTTGGTTGCCCGACAAGTATACTCGCCTGAATCCCTAGCATAGATGTAGTCCACATCCAACGCAATAAAGCCAAAGTCGTTGAGCTGATGGACCCTAGATCCGGTAGCCATAACATGTCCATTATAGAACCACTCAATGCGCATGGTTGGATCGCCCACAGGCTCCACACGGCAGTCAAAGTGGATTGGACCACCCTCGGGAACATCCAAATTGTCCTTAATTTCCTCCGTGAATTTCGGTGGGTTAGGCTGTTCGTCTTCAATCACAAGCTCCTCGCGCTTATGCATGGTCTCCTCCAGTTTCTGCAGACTCTCAGTGCCGGTGCGGAAGTTGGAGGGCAACTGGGGCTCCATAACTATGCCCTGGCGGCCCTTGACCTGCAATTTGCAAGAGACCGTGGCCTCACCATGCTTGTTTGTGGCCTTGCAAGTGTATAATCCCGAATCACGCTGATAGCATCCAGCGATTTCGAGGATTACGAAGCCAAAATCATTGATGGTCTTGATGCGAGAACCAGCCCACAAGGCCTTGCCATTGTGGAACCAATCCACACGCATCGATGGGTCATTAATCGGCTGGAGACGGCATTCGAAGTGAGCCAGAGCGTTCTCGCCGATAACCATATCGAAGGGAGAGGTGATAAATTCTGGTGGCTTGCCAGTATCGTCATCCGGTACAAACTCGGTGCTGCGGGAGCCCAAGCCCTCCAGTTCGGCGATGCGATCGATAGTTCCCTCCATGCCCTTGGGCAGCTGAGATTCCATGATGATGCTGCGCTTACCCTGGATCTTCATGGTGGCGGTGGTCACCGCCTCACCATACTCGTTGATGGCGCGGCAAGAGTACTCGCCGGAGTCCTCGGGATACACAGGAGAAATCTCCAAAATGACAAAGCCGAAGTCGCAGAAAGTACGGAAACGAGAACCGGCCTTCAATGGACGACCGTTCCAGTACCACTCGACCTTCAGTTTGGGATCATCGGCCGGGGTAATCCTAGCCTCAAAGTGGGCATTTTCACCCTCGCGCAGATTTTCGATGTTTTCCAGCGGTACTGTAAAGACGGGAGCCTTGCCCTTGGTCTCTTCGGTGGTCTCTTCGCGAGTGCGGACCATGCTGTACTCCAGGTTGGCGATCTTCTCCAAACCCCCTTCCATTCCTCGCGGCAGCTGGGAGTCCAAAATGAGGCTTGCCTTCGAGGCGCACTTGAGCGAAGCCCTAGTAACATCCTCACCATACTTGTTACGGGCCCTGGCCTCGTATACACCAGAGTTCTCCTCGTAGCAGTACAGAATGTCCAGGATAACAATGCCGAAGTCGTGGAAGGTGCGGAAGCGATGACCATGGGGTAGTTTCTTGCCGTTGAAGTACCATTCCACCACCAAATCGGGATCGGTGATTGGAGTCAAACGTGCCTCGAAATGAGCGGACTGTCCCTCCACCAGCTTGGTGACATCGACGATCTGGGTGATGAACTTGGGTGGCTCAGCGACCAGAGGAGCGGAAGTGTCTGCCTGTTGTCCTTGTGGGCACTCGAGCTCCCTGATCCTCTGCAGTGAATCCGGCTGCAAGCTATCATAGAACACTCCGCCACGGCCTCCACAGTTGAGAGTGGTACGGGTAAAGTCCTCGCCATACTTGTTCCAGGCTCTGCACACGTACTCTCCACTGTCATGATCCTGCAGATAGGAAATATCCAATACGACGTATCCAAAATCGGACACCGTCTTGATGCGGTTGGAGTGACGCAACAGCTTGCCATTATGATACCACTCCACCTTGAGCTCCGGATCGTTGACTGGGATCAGAGTGCACTCGAAGTGAGCGGACTGTCCGTCCTTCAGGCCCTCCAGCGGCTGGATGTGGGACGTGAAGCGCGGCTTCTGGCCCCTCGGCTTGTCCACGCACTCCAGGTTACAGCTGATCTCAGCAGTTCCATGCTTGTTGGTCGCGCGGCAAGTGTAGGTGCCGGTGTCTTCGATCTTGGTGCCCAGAACCTCCAGGGCAACCGTGCCAAAAGCGTAGATGGTACGCACGCGATGGCTGGCCTCCAGAACCTTGCCGTTGTAGAACCACTCAATGACCATGCTCTGGTCGCCGACAGGGATGAGATTGGCCTCAAAGTGAGCCAGTTCGCCCTCACCAATGTCTGCAATATTAACGAATTCAGTGGTGAAGCGTGGTGGGATGCCGAGATCCGGCTGTTCTGGCTTAGAGCCGTCCTTGCGGAGGGAGTCCTCAAGGTCCTGGATTTGCTCAAGGCCTTCGGCTCCCTTCGGGTGCTGAGTTGACTCGATGATGTTCTCCTTGCTCGAGCAGAAGATGGTGGTAGAGGTAAAGGCCTCTCCAGCCTTGTTATACGCTTTGCAAGTGTAGATGCCCTGATCGCGCGCATAAACCTCGGTCATATCCATGGTAACAAAACCAAATTCACTGGTCATCTTGAATCGAGAACCATGGTTCAGCATTTTGCCGTTAAAGTACCACTCGATGAACAGGTTGGGATCCTCCTTGGGCTCCACGTTGGCTTCCAAATGGATGGGTTGGGCCTCCGACAAGTGGAACTCGGCCTGCAGTGGCTTCGTCCAAACTGGTGGTGGATACTGTGTCTCGGGCTTTGTCGATTTGCTGGTGTAGCGTTTGGCCAGCTCCTCCTCGGTTTCCTGAACAGCCTCAAGACCAGCCTCTCCCTGCGGATGCTGCGTGTCCAGGAACATGGTCTTGCCACCAGTGCACTTGAGAGTGCCCGAGGTGGTTGCAGATCCCTTGCTGTTAGTAGCCTTGCAGGTGTAAATACCGCTGTTCTCAGCATAAGAGTTGGTCAGATCCAAAGCGCAGTAGCCAAAATCGTAGATGGACTTGAATTTGGCAGCGGCCTGCAGCGGTTGTCCATTGTAGAACCACTCGATGGACATGGTAGGATCACGAGCCGGCTCCACGTTGCACTCGAAGCGCACATTGTCGCTCTCCTTGCACTCAATGTTGTTAAGATGAGTAATAAACACAGGAGTCTCGTAAGTGGGCTCTGGAGCCTCTGGTCGTCCCTCCTTGGGCGCCTCAAGCTCTCCAATGCGGGGCAACGAATCTGGATGCAAGGACTCGGCCTGAAGCCAGTGGCGATCTTCGATCTTAAGAGATGAGGTCGAAACAGCTTCGCCAACTTGGTTGGTGGCCTTGCAGGTGTAAATAGCGGAGTCATCAGCACGCAGTCCGTTGACGGACAGTGTAACCAGCCCAAAGTCAAAAGTACTGCGGATTCGGGAGCCAGTGGTGAGAGAAACGCCATTCTTAAACCACTCAATGCGCAGGTTGGGATCCGCGCGCGGTTCCACTTGGGCTTCCAGGAGAACGTGCTGACCCTCATGCAGCTTGTCGTAGCTCTGCAGATGGGTTGTGAAGACCGGAGCCTGTTGGGGTGTCGAGTCAACAAACATCTCTGGTACACGATTCATGGCAGCCTCCTTCAGTCGAATCGCCTCCCAAGACTCTGGGATCAAAGGCTGACCATCAATATTCGACTTGGTCTTAACCTTCATGGCAGTAGAAGAGACAGCCTCACCAGCGGCGTTGTAAGCACGGCACATGTAGACACCGGCATCCTCCGGCACCACAGCAGTAATGTCCAAGGTGACGAAACCAAAGTCGTGGGTGGTGCGCAGGCGAGAGCCCATTTGAAGCTCCACGCCGTTGATGAACCACTCAAACTTCAGCGAAGGATCTCCGACAGGCACGACTCGTGCTTCGAAGTGTGCATGAGCACCCTCCCACAGCTCCGAGGGTCCAGTGAGCAGTTGAGTGAAGATGGGCTTCTCGAACAGGCGCTCCGGTTCGGTGGGGCGTGGTGCCAGTGGTTTCTCCAGTTGATGGATGCGACTGATACTGTCCGGATGCTGAGTATCCATTTGGATGCTGGCCTCGGATACCACACGCATGGAGGCAGTGGTCACTGCCTCACCCAGAGGATTGACGGCGCGGCACATGTACACGCCCTCATCCTCCTTGCGAATATGCGAGATATCGAGCGACACAAAACCGAAATCGTGCTGCTTGGTGATACGGGAGCTATCTTCAATGATCTTTTCGTTGCGGTACCACTCCACCTTCAGATTGGGATCTCCCACTGGGATCAAGCGTGCCTCGAAGTGAGCCGTCTGGTGTTCATTGATCCTGTCGATGTTCTGAAGAGGTTGAGTAAACACTGGGCGCTGGCGAGTGCCGGGTGTCTCAGGCTCCTGGCGCTGATGTGGCGCAGTCGACTCCAGCTTGCGGATCTTCTCCAGTCCCTCGGGATGCTGGGTGTCCGAAATGATGGTGCCACGCGGAATAACGCGCAGATTCGTGGAGGACACAGCCTGGCCCAAAGCGTTAACAGCACGCACGGAATATTCTCCGGCGTCCTCGGCCACAGCATGAGTAATATCCAAAGACACGTATCCGAAATCGAAGGTGATGTGGAAACGAGAAGCGGACGGCAGAGGCTTGCCATTGTGATAGAACTCAATGCGCAAGTTAGGATCGTGGACTGGAGCGACCTGGGCCTCAAAGTGAGCGGTCTGACCCTCATAGATCTCAGTGGAGCCGCGAAGTTCGGCGGTGAAATGTGGTGGACTGATTGGAGCGTCTCCAACTTCGGTACGGGCATTCGGCACCTTCGACTCCAGCTTTTGAATCTTTTCCAGAGCATCGGGATGCTGGGTATCCAAGATCATGCTGCGCCGGTTCAACACGCGCACATTGCAGGTGTTTACAGCCTCACCCAGCTGATTGGTTGCCTTACAAATGTAGGTGCCGGTGTCCTCGCCATAGACGTAAAGAATGTCCAAAGCGACGTAACCGAAGTCGTGGGTAGTGCGGTAACGGTGACCGGTAGGCAGCTGCTTGCCATTGCAGAACCACTCAATCTTTAGGTTGGGGTCGTTGATCGGCTCCACTCGGCACTCCAAGTGGGCGTGCTCGCCCTCCTTCAAGTGTTCTAGGTTGCTTAGCGGTGTGAGGAAAATGGGTTTCTGGCCCTTCTCCTCCACGACGGGCTTAGGAGGAGGCGCATATGTTTCCAGTTGGCGAATCTTCTCCAAACGCTGAGCATCCAAGGTGTCCAGATCGAGTGTCTTGTTTGCTGTTAGAAAGACATTGAGAGTAGATTAGTGAATTACGAAAAGGTTATTCCTTGTTTTCATTACCTGTTACGTTTACAGCACAAGTCGTGACAGCTTCTCCAATAGCGTTCTTGGCCTTGCACATGTAGGTGCCGGTGTCTTCGGCATGGGCATACAGAATATCTAACGCCACGAAGCCAAAATCGTAGGTGGTCTTGAAGCGGTGACCAGTCTGTATGGGCCGGCCGTTGCAGTACCACTCCACCTTCATGGTGGGATCATTCACAGGAATTAATGTGGCCTCCAGGTGGACGGGACTTCCCTCGTTGACCTTGGCATTACGCAGAGGCCGGCCGAACTGCGGACGTTCGGCGTGGAACTGCTCCTCGTCGGTTTTCCTCTGGAATCGCGAAGTATCTTCCAGATGCTGGATCTTGGTCAGAGCCTCCTCGTGCTGAGTCTCGTGAATGATGGACGAGCGCGAGGTCACGTTGAGCACAATCGAGTTGATGGCTTCACCCAGGTTATTGGTCACCCGGCAAGTGTACTCGCCGCTGTCCTCAGCATAGACAGTGAGGATGTCTAAGGCGGCAAATCCAAAGTCGTACGTGGTGCGGAAGCGATGACCAGTGCTCAGTGGCTTTCCATTGTGGAACCACTCCACCTTGAGGTTGGGATCTGGATAGGGTTCAATGCGGCACTCGTAGTGGGCACTCTGACCCTCGACCAGGTTGCTGGGTCCAATCAGCTTGGTGACAAATACCGGGGCGGTGGTCACCGTGTACTCCTCCTCCTCCCTGCGCTGGTACCTGCTGTGATCCTCCAGCTGGTGGATCTTGTGCATGGCGGCTTCGTGCTGGGTCTCCAGTTGAATGGAAGTCTTGGATTGCACAATGAGCGAGGCAGAGGTAACCGCCTGGCCCAGATCGTTGACAGCCCGACAGGTGTAGGTTCCAGAGTCTTCGGGATTCACATACTTCATGTTGAGAGCCACATAACCAAAATCATGCATGGTGGTAGTGCGGTTGGAGGCTTCAATAGGTTGCCCGTTTCGCAACCACTCAACCTTCAACTTCGGATCTCCCACTGGAATCAAGCGAGCCTCAAAGTGGACCGCCTGGTTTTCAGCCACACGGACATCCCTTACCGGCATGGTGAAGACAGGGGCCTGGGACACGAATTCGTCCTGGACGCTGATGCGCTGACGCTTGGAGCCATCCTCCAAATGCTGCAGACGAGGCAGAGCGGTTTCGTGCTGGGACTCCAGGTAGATGGACTTCTTGGTGTGCACAACAGCTACAGCAGAGGTGATGGCCTCACCCACAGCGTTGTAGGCACGGCAGGTGTAAGTGCCGGCATCTTCGGGCAGAGTGGACATTATGTCCAAGGCAACAAAGCCGAAGTTATTGGTCTCAGTGAAACGAGAACCAGACTTAAGTGGGAGGTTGTTATGGTACCATTCCACGCGCATTGACGGATCAGAAACGGGAATCAGACGGCATTCGAAGTGGGCCCTCTGGTTCTCCTTGATCTCAACATTTTTCAGTGATGTAGTGAACACCGGAGCCTGCTTGGTGCTTTCATCGATTTCCTCACGTCGGGTATAGCGCGAACGATCCTCCAGGTAATGGATCTGCTCAAGTCCGGCCTCGTTCTGGGTGACAGTAACAATCTGCTCACCACTGCGGCACTGCAGCTCCACTTGCGTTTCGTCAGAGCCAATCAGGTTAACAGCCCTGCAAGTGTAGACACCCGAGTCCTCAGCAATCAAATGGACAATGTCCAAGGCCACGTAACCGAAGTCATGGATGGGACGGAAGCGGTGGCCCACAGTGATGGGACGTCCGTTCTTAAACCACTCCACCTTCAGGTTGGGATCAGTCACCGGCTCAATCTTGCACTCGAAGTGGGCGTGACCACCCTCGCGGGTGTTGGTCAAGCTTTTGGGGTGGGTGAGGAACCGCGGACGAATGTTCACCACCTCGTCGACGAACTCGCTGCGGCGATGGCGGGTCGAGTCCTCCAAGTATTGGATCTTCTGGAGACCCGACTCGTTTTGGGTCTCCAAAATCAAATCATTCTTGGCGATAATTCGCACGGAACACGAGGTTACGGCTTCACCCAATTGGTTTCTCGCCTGGCAGGTGTAGACGCCCGAGTCGATGGCGTAGCAGCCCAGCAGGTCCAAGGCCACGTAATCAAATTCGTAGGCGGGACGGAAACGATGTCCTGTCTTAACAGGCTTTCCATTTACGAACCACTCGATGCGCATGCTGGGATCTCCCACGGGCTGCAGGCGGCACTCCAAGTGCACGTTGGTGCCCTCAATAGTCTCAATGTTGTGCAGGCCCCTGGTAAACTGGGGCGCTTGCATGATGGTGATATCCTCCTCCTGGTGATGGCGGCGCCTTGAGTCCTCGAGCAATTGGATCTGCTCCAGCGACTGTTCGTTCTGAGTCTCAGTCACAACGTCCGTGTGGTCGATCACACGCACGCAGGCTGAAGTGTGGGCCGTACCCAAGTGGTTGGTGGCCCGCACAGTGTATTCTCCAGAATCGGCGGCCGTTGCCTTGATAATATCCAAAGCCACGAAACCAAAGTCATAGTAAGTGCGGAATCGGGAACCCACAGTAATGGGGCGACCGTTGTGGAACCACTCGACGCGCATGGTGGGATCGCCCATCGGCTCAAGGCGGCATTCCAGATGGATGTTCTTGCCATCGTGGATGGGCTTTGGATCACTTAGCGGTGTCACAAACACTGGCTTCGACTTGGAGATCTCTTCGATGTCATACTGAGGCTCCACGAACGGCTTGTTTTCCAAGTTTTGAGTCTTCTCGTACAGGCCGCGGTGCATGCTAGATGTGTCGATACTGGAACGAGCTATCAAGGAAAAAATAATGAATATTGGTTCTCATAGGGAGCACTGGGTTTTGTACTTACTTTCCACTATCATCGTTGCTTGCTGCTGAGCTTCACCTAGCTTGTTCCTAGCCACCACGATGTACACGCCAGCATCTTCAGCGCGCACCTGGGAAATATCCAGGGCGACGTAACCGAAATCGTAGTATGTCTGGATGCGATTAGCGGCGGTGATGGAGCGACCGTTGTGGTACCACTCGATCACCAGACCCAAATCGCTCTGGGGCTCAACACGGGCCTCAAAGTGAGCGCGCTGGCCCTCGAGAATTTTGGTGGTTCCCTTCAGAGGGCCGAGGAAACGGGGAGCCTGAGTGATGTAGGTCTCCTCCTCCTCGCGACGTCCGTAGCGCGACGAGTCCTCGAGATGCTGGATCTTCTGCAGACCACCTGGGTGCTGCGACTCCGAAACGATTTCGTTCTTGGAGATAACCGAAAGCTGGGCCACGGTGGTATCCTGACCCATGGCATTGTAGGCACGGCAGGTGTAAGTACCGGCATCGTAGATGGTCAGCTGCTTAATGGTCAGCGCCACGTAGCCGAAGTTATGGTAGGTGGTGATCCTGGAACTGGCTTCCAGAGGCTGTCCATCCTTCAGCCACTCGACCCGCATGGTTGAGTCTCCAATGGGTTCAAGTCTTGCCTCGAAGTGCGCATGCGCGTGCTCGCGCAGATCCAACTGGTTCTGGATCGGTGTCTTGAATTGGGGCGGAGCAATAGCCTCGGCAGCCTCTTGGACGTGACGACGCTGCTGGGACTTTCGGTAATCCTCCAGTTCCTCCACCTTTTCGATGTAACGCTGCTGTTCGGGTATACCCAGATCAGCAGTGACTTGCGAACGTGAGTGGACGCGAATAGTGGACTGACTGATGGCTTCTCCGATGCGATTCACTGCCCGCACGGTGTAAGTGCCAGCATCTTCGGCTCTCAGGTGCAAGATGTTCAGGGAGACATAGCCGAAGTTGAAGATGGCAGTGATGCGGGAGCTAGCCGTGATGGGTAGTCCGTCCTTGTACCATTCCACTCTCATGGAGGGATCGTTCACAGGTGTTACTTGAGCCTCAAAGTGCACGTTCTTGCCCTCCTCGAATTCGCCAAGATCGCGGAGTGGGCGGATGAACTGTGGCGCCTGGTTGAGCTGCTCGTCGATGCTCTCTGTGCGCTGGTAGCGCGAGTAGTCCTCCAACTGGTTGATGTACTGCAGACTGTTGGGGTTCTGCGAAGATTGCTCAATGGATGGGCGCTGCACCACGGACAGAATAGCGCGGGATTCAGCCACTCCGCTGGCGTTGCTCACGCGGCACATGTACTCGCCGGAGTCGTGACCCATAATGCTCAGAAGATCCAGAGCAATGAAGCCGAACTTGAAAACGGATGTAGCGCGGGCACCTTGCGATAAAATGTAATGATTTAGCTAATCTTCTTAATTTACGTTATTGAGATTACTTACTGGCTGCGAGCGGACGCCCATTGAGGTACCACTCGACGACCATGGTGGGATCGCCAACTGGTTCGATGCGGGCTTCCATGTGAACACGGCCACCTTCGGTCTGCTGCACATTCTGCAGCGGGATGATGAACTGAGGCGGCGGATAAACGCGATCCTCCTCACCAGGGCGCAGATGGGGCTTGGCGCGCTCCACATGGCGAAGGTAGATGATTTCAGGGCCAGGAATGGGTCTGGTATACAAAAAATAACTTGTTAGGTAATTTCTAAATATCAGTAAAAAAAATATTAGTAAAACCTACTCTGGCTCGATGACTTTCGTTGGTCTCGGGAGATTGAGACGACGCTGCTCGTAATTTGGTTGTTCCCTAGGAACCTCGACATACAGCCTGGCCCTATTGGCCGTGGATCCAGCGATGTTCTGGGCGGTGCACTGGTACCATCCGGCGTCGTTGGCAGTGACGCGCGGAATCTCCAGGCAGGTGGCTCCTCCGTCGATGCCCACAAAGCGCTCGGCGGTGGACGAGATCTGGACACCGTCCTTTTGCCAGGTGATACGTGGCTGCGGAGTTCCAATGGCATTGGCACTCATGGTGATCGGCTCACCTTCGCGCACAGTCATGGTGCTGAAACGCTGGACAAATTGTGGTGCGACAACCTGTTCCTTTTCCAACACGTTCAACTGCGCCTCGATGGCCACCTCTCCGGCCTTGTTGCGGGCCAGACATTGGACAGCTCCGGCATCCAATCGGGTCACATTGGTGATCATCAGCGAGTGGCTGCCCGATTCGTTGACTAGAATCTTGTGCGAGGCATCGTCGCGCACTTGCCGGCCGTTGATAAGCCAAAAGACCTCGGGGTAGGGATTGCCAGTAACGCGACAATCGAACCTGGTCATGCGACCCTCGGTGATCTCACGATCACCGAAAGCCTTTACAAAGGCTGGCGGCAATGCTTTGCCGGCCTCCAATTGCTCGGCCATCACGTCCACGGGCTTTGGTTCGTAGACGGATTCCGCGGCGGGTTCCACAGCCAACACGGCGGATGAAACCACGCAGCCCTGCAGATTCTCGGCGAGCAGGGTGTAGTGGCCGCCATCGCGAGCCGTGGCATTCTTCACGCGGAGCGTAGCCACTCCACTCGAATAGGAGATCTCGTACTTCTGCGAGGCCACCAAACGCTGGCCATTGTGGAACCAGGTGAGCCGGGGCTTGGGGTTGGAGCCTACGCGTGCGGTGAACACGGCATCGGATCCCTCGATCAGCTTGGAGCTACGCGGCTTCTGCGAGATCTGCGGCGCCTGCGCAGGACCCAGGTTGCGGTCCAGCTCCTGGGAGAGTTGGGAGTCCTGCTCGTAGCCAGATCGACGGGTGATGGCCTCTCGGAAGGAAACCTCACGTAGCAGCCTGTACTCGAACGTGTCCACACGGAACTCCTCCTCAATGGAGGTATACGAATATCCGTTCGAGTAGATGTTCTTCTCCAGATTCTGGATGGGCTGCAGGGCGGGCATCGGTGCTCCCTCCGGCTGGATGTAGACGCTGCAGATGGCCTCGCCATACTGATTGCGGGCAGTGCACGTGTACTCGCCCTCGTCCCCGGGTCCGATCTGATTGATCAGCAGGGACACATCGCCGGTGGCCTCGTTGTAGCTCATTCGGAACTTCTGCGACTCGAGAAGGGGTGCGCCTTTCCGGGTCCAGGTCACGAATGGCTTCGGGTTGCCACGCAGGCGTCCCTCGAACAGGGCATTGCCGCCCTGGGCGAAGCGAGCGTTCTTGAAGATCTGCTCGAAGACGGGCGGCGAGATGTCGCCCTGGGCGTACACGTGTGTCAGCGATGGGGGCACGTAGGCGCCTCCGATGCTGCCACCATGATGTTGTTGCACTGTAAGATGTAAGCATTCTCATTAGGATCGTTAGGTTTTGGGAGTGGCGTGGACATGGTTGCGGATGTAGCTTTTTCATTTGATTTTCAAAAAAAAAATAATAATACAAATTTAGTTGACAAAATTGTATTAATTTACCTTCAAATGTATTAAAATTAAAAAAAAATTCTGCGAGTAAAGATCCTAACCCACTCGTTAAAGTCAGCTTAATTATCATGTCGTATTTCGTATTAAATAGGTTTTGTAATAAAATATAAAATTAATATTAATTGGTTTATTATTTAGTTCAATTGAAACGCAAGCGGCATAAAATATTTAAGTGACACATTTCTCCAAGCTGTCATGTAAAATTATGCGTTCAATTAAAACTAATCGTTAAATTATCGTTCAATTAACTTTAATTTCATAGTTAATATCCGCGCTAACTAATTTATAAAATTCTGAAAGCTTGTTAGCATAGTCTAAATGTATTTCAAACTTGCACTATCTGCACGATCTATTCTTGAAACATAAAGTTTATTTACTTTTTTTGCATATATTTAGTTCGCTCACGTACGAAACTATTTATAGTTGTAATAGCCCAAAGGTAAACAACTCTAAATAAATATCTATATTTGCATTCGTACCTGTATATATATAATATATATAAGTATATATGCATTGTTTATCACTTGAAGATATTTATGTGTTTCATGAACGTAAGGAACATATATGTACGTTCATGACTTTTAAAACAGCTGATCTGAAGAATTGCTTGATGCAAACAAATAATAATATCAGCTGCCAGTTCTCTTTATTTTGAATTCTCTCTCCCACTTGCTTCGGCTTTTTACTTCGTGAATGAATTCATATTCGGTTCTTTAGTATAAGAGATCCGAATTGTTAGGAGATAATATTTTTTTAATTCTCTTCTACTGCTCTCTCGGTGTTTGCTCTATCGCTCTTTTTCTCTCGCGTAGTGTTGTAAAAACGTTGTTTTTAAAATGAATGGATAAAATTCACTGGAAGAAAAATGTAAACAAATTGCGAGGTATATAAACTCTTATACCATTTATATATAGCATCGGCATTCATATGTGTGTCAGTGCAGTCGTGGGAGATGAATAGATAATCTTATAAATAACCACATTTTGGCTGTATCCGTCAATTAAGATTTAAATGATGAAACATACGTTGACACATGAATTATATGTTGGGTAAAATGTTGGACATTCTAAATGTATGAGCTTGGGATTTATTTTTGATTTCATAAATTTCCGTATCGACTCATGTGCGGATATATTAGGAGGAATATAATAAATGATGACTCAAAATGTTCATTACACTCGAAATTTTTCTGCTTTCCCAAGGTAGATTTATGAGGAGACATAAGCAAGATTGATCTGAGTTATTCGCCAAGTGAAATAAACAAATGTTACCTGTATTTCAATCGCTAAAATCTTTTAAGTAGATATTTTCTAATAATTGTTTCCTGTTTATCTCAGAAATGTGAAAAAGGGATTAAAATACTTTTTAAAAAGATTATTTATGGGGCTAACAATATCATTTTTGAAAATACTGAAAAAGCTTAAAATCGTTTAACCTTGCGCTTGGATAATATCATAATCAAATATGATGTGATACTCATTATATCACTAATAGAGCTTATTCCAGGAAAAAAAGTTCTATCAACATAAGGCAACAAAAGCTTCAACAGTATCAAATTTACGAAATACTATACTGCTAGACAAAATCTCTAATGCAAGTGCAACATAAACAAATGATTGTTTTTTTCCAAGAAAGTTTCGTTTGATTCAATAAAGTCAGTCTTTTTAGTTTGAAAAGTAAATTTGAGAACGCACCTAATACTGAAATTCTGTTAAAAGGAAAGCACACCCTATGGTTGTGTATAGTAGCTCATAGCATATATAGCATAGCTATATACAGTATATAAGAATATACTTAGGATTGAATTGAAAAATAGTCTGTTTAAACCTAAAACAGCTTAGTAGATATATGTAATTGATGGTGTACTAAGATCGTCGTAAAGTATATTTTTTTTTTTCATTTTTAATTAAAACCGTATTAAAAATATTATCTAAAATATTCGACAATAAATAAGAGACCAATATGCCCATTGCTACCAATATCAGATTCCGTAGTCTTATCGTTGACAATTAAATAAAAATACGCGACTTAACTTTTGATCTGAACAGCATTTTTGGACAAAGTGCAAGTCCCTTTAAACCGCAATCACATAAGTTAAGCCCAAATATTTAGTTTTTGATATACATAGCTCTTGCATTCAGCCAGCAGAAAATTAATGATTTCAAGGACATAGCAGTGGAGCAACGATTAAAGCTTGATGATTAAAAGCATTGTCCTGGAGCCTTCGGCCATCCAGCGGAAATTGCTTGGGGACAGTGGGGATTCTAAATCCACGGTGTGAATCCCACCGAGCCTTGCAAACTTTCCCTGGGTTCGGCCGCCCCTAACAGGGGACATCCAAGGACATAGGGGACAAGGACGAGGACTGACCTTGCCGCTGGGTGGTGACTTGGCTGCGCTGGACATGCTGCTCGGTGCGGCTAATCCTTTGCTCCTGGTGCTGCTCCTGGCTGGAGTGCGAGTACTCCTGGGTGGAGTACTGCTGCACCTGCTGGTGCTGCTGGTTTTGCTGCTGGTACGGGTTCGGATTTTGTCGTTGCATTTTGCTGCGTTATATATCACTATATATCATTTAAAATGACAACCAAATCGTTGCAGAATGAACTGCACTGTAGAATTGAACACCTCGCGATCACTCTTTCTTTGATTTGCTTCTTCACTTGATATACTTCTATATATATTTATATCTCTTTGGTCGCTGCTTTAAATTGCTGAAATAAAAATAATAATTGGTACGAACTTTCCCTTTAATTAGGCAACGGATATTCACGACACTGCTAATTTATCACTGCGGTTTTGGCCACCATTTATTTTCATTTTATGGCATTTGCATCTTTGATTTCTTTTATGTTTGGCTGTCACACATTTTGTTTAATGGCTTCAAAATTTCTTCCTCGATATACGAGTAGATATAAATCAGGCGAGATCGCAGATCTTCGCATGACGTTCATATCAGCCATCCTTCTTCATATTCATTTTCATATTCTTTGCCTGTGAGGCATTTCCAACTATTTTTAGCCCCGAGAATATTTCACTGCGACACACAGATACGCACTCACACACACTCCTTCTCATACACACAAAGAAACACAGTCGGTGGTAGCTTCTTATTTTTCACGGGGCTATTAATAAACATTTTTCTGGTTTCTCCTATAGGAAAACCTTGCATTGGCCCAATGATCTCCGTTTGAGAGTGTCCACAAATTTTCAGACACTATCTTGGCTGCTCCAGCGTATAATCCTTGCCAGGATCAGCCAGGATAATGCACATGACACACATGGAAGGACCGCGTATACTTGATCTTTTGATTTGTGCAGGTTCGACTATATATATAGATTGCTTGATATCTGTTTGCACACGATTTCACCGCCCATTCGTTGAATTGGGTGCGGACCCACGAAGTGGAGCCACCGAAGCACCGATCCGATCCGATACGATCCGAATCGGAATCGGAATCCGAAACGAAGCACCCGATCGGTTGATATTTTTAGATATTTAGCGCACTGAAAAATTCTTTCGGCATTTTTCTCAAAGTGGTTTCGTAACCAGAAAAAATTTTCATGAACACTTTTTCCATTCACAATTGCTCCAGGATTTGCTTATTTTTCACACTTTGCACTAATCCTTACTCGAAATTGCGATATCCTTTCGACGTTCTATATATATTTGCGTGTGTGCGGCACTCTAAGCGAACGAAATGGCTGCGAACGTATACATATATCTGTACCGTGTGGTGCGTTTAGATATAGATATATGTATATTCTTTTAAAAAATATCTATTTTCAAACTGTTTCAAGTCATAATCCCCGAGACTGAAACCAAGACGTCGATCGTTTCTGAGGTGCGAGCGAAGAATGACAAAATCTCTCGGAAAATGCGATCAAGTAGCTGTGCCTGCCCAGCCGAACTTCGCCCGAATCTACACGATTCCACACGATCTCCCGCCGAGAGAGAAACTCTTGCTCCACATGAGATATTTTTGCATTTTCCTCGGGAAAACAGTCTCGCAGCTTTTAATGCACTACACATCACTGTGGGGTGTATAGGTTTTCCGGGCATGTTTCATATATTATTCTACACCTTTTGTAGATATTGTTTTGAAAGTTTTAAAAAACAATCGATACCATTTTTATCATCCATATCTCGACAGCTCCGTGCTGGTTTTCTTATTGGAAAATTTACCAAAACCCAATTGCTGGGTATCCAATAGTTCGATGGTAATTTGGCCTAGAGTCTCGGGCATTCTCGTTGAATCGGCAATGAGAGATACCTCTGAGGATTTAGAAAAGTGTTCGGGCTTTGAGTAAGTTGGCTAAAAATATATGCCGATTTATTTTTGACACGTATTTTTCAACATTGTGTGCACGAAAACGAAGACATCCTACAGAAATTCTAGATACTGTAAGAGTCAAATGCATACACACGGCACAGATCCGTATTTATTGATTCCAGCTAGAGAACCGTTTAGAATGCTGCTGCCCTCCAAACCGAAAGTCAAAAGGAAATCTCTATCAGATTCGAACTTGTATAAATAAATAAGACAGCCATTGCAATAGGATCTTGGAATTATCACTTGCACAATACAATCAAAGGCTTAGGCGATTTGGCTCGTGTTTGCTTTGCCTTCGGGTTTTTTCACATTATCCACATAATTTATTTTGTTTGTCTAAAATTAAAACCACATAAGATGTATAGATATGTATAAAATTTGGCTCGTCCGCCCGTTTGATACATATAACTTGATTATTCATTTTGTCTCTTAATCATCAGCACAGAGATGTGTTTTAGTGACCAATTGGCGAAAAAATGTCGCAACTTTCTATTTCTTTTTAGCCATTTCAGAAAATCTCAAATACAAATTGCACCTAAATCGACAGTTGGCTTTGGCCTTTTATGGCGAGGAGTTGTCCCAAGGCAGCCACTATATCGCTGTATACGGCAACCCGGTTTGCAATGGTCATGCAATATTGTTTTTTATTGTGCACAAATTAATTGTTAACATGGCCAGTAGTTTAGTTGCAGCAACCCAGTAACAGAATCATTAAATTACAAACTCGGCGAAGTTGATTCTAGGCAGCCAGGCGCAGCGACGACAAAGTTTCGACTGTCACCGACCAGGTACAAAAGTATCTACAGGCATTTAAGTGCCCCGGCCAGAGATAAGCCAAGAAACAGGCAGCACGCATCGTGGCTAGCTTTCTTCTGGCTAAATTATATCCACCGAAACAACAACATCAGGAGTAACAGTTAGCCGGTTCTGCAAGGCAGATTGCAAAGATAGTTTGTGTTTGTTGTTAGCGATGCGCTACGAAAATTAATGGCATGTAGTGAAAAAAATATTTGCATTTAAATGGTGCATCTGCTCCCATTATAAAATACTTTTTAAATTAGTTCGAAGGCTCATTACTCTGACGAGTACTTTTATATACGAGAATAGTATAGATTTTTTAAATTAGAATTCTGATCATATAGGCTTGAGATGGTTACTTTATTTTTGAAAGTGTACAGCTTTTCCAAGCAACCATTCGCTTGACAGCTGTCCGTAAGATTAAGAGCACTTATCTATCTGACCAAGCTGAGGCTGTATCTGTATCTTATCTGTATCGCAGATACTTTGTGCAAAAATATTCGCCCAATTATGTCACTGCCTGAGAATGTGCCAACAAACACAACACTTGTAAAAGAAAACATTTCACTTGTCTTTTAATTAGTATTATTAATGGTTTAGTATACATAATAAGGCAACTGTAGGTTTAGTTCGTTTTAGTTTTGCTCAAAAATTAGTTTGGCTTCTCCCAGCTCTCGAACTCGGGCGATGCATTCAATTTACTGCAAACAAGAAAAAGAATTCGAGTTCAATTAACGATCGTACAGAAGACAAGATCCACAGGATGGAGCAACAGATGCTGGATGAGTTGACACTTGAGTGTTGGAAGCGGGCAGAACATGCAACATGCAACAGGCAGTGGGAAAGATGGATATAAAGTATCTCTGGATTATGTATGAGAATGCCACCCCCCAAGACGATGAGCCGAGCTGGCGACCCCAAGCCAAGTCAAGCCCATCTTGAAGCTATAAATACACTACGGAATGTTCTTTGCTTTGATTTTCACTTCTTACAGATGTAATGACTCGCGTAAGCAGATCTGAATTGCCAGAGTTTCGTCTGGCATCGAATTTCGCGACCATTGCAGCCAGCCTCAATCTCAATCCCAATCCCAATCCAAGTTCCAGGTCCCAGTCCCGGTCTTGGGCCCCTCCATTCAGCAAAACCATAAAACCGAAACGAAACGACGACAACAACGATGTTGCGGCTACTGCGCCCCAAGAGCACCGCATGCCAAGCGGCAATTTAGGTATAAAATGTCCAAATGTGGTCGACTCGAGCCTTTAAAGAGGGTGTCAAAACTGTCTAGTACTATACAATTTAAAGCAGTTGCACAGAACGCCTATTTAATAAAAAAAATACAATGAATAACATGCTTTTAAGCATTCTTTAATATATTTGAGAAAAAAAACTGTTGAACCGTGTTTTAAAAATATGCAAGAAGAACTACAAACGGATCATTTTATAAAATGTATCCAATTATTTTAACAATTGAAAGAGTATCCCTAAATCGACTTTACATGGATGTTTTCCCTGCCTTTTCATATCAATTGTTTATACAATTAGACACACGAGTCGCAGTCAAAGTCCCCACCTCCCAGCGCCACTGTCGAACCTCCCTTTCTGGTAAATGAAAGTTGCAATGTGGTGCAGAGTGGTGGCTGTAATCTATATTTAGTGATTTTACATGCGGTACCTCAAAGATATTCGAAATATGTGGATATGGATTGCGTGACATGGCAAAATGGCAAATGGATGCAAGATTGAGAGATCGCGACTGCCCATTTTGTAGCTAGCAATTTTCCAGATCGCTTGAGGATCGAAATGATGCATTTAGCCGATGATTAATTATGGATTCAATATGAAAACAGCATTCAATGTAAACTATTTGCAAAATGGCATTGATATGATTGATTTTGTTTACCTGTTTGCTCACGTAGCTGCGGTTCCTGGCTAAAATCCGAGATGGACACGGTCTTTGTGCTCACATAGCTGATGGACTCTATCGTGGTCTCCCACTTCTGGAAAGTGTTGATGGTGTCGCTCCGAAGAGCCCGACTCGACTGGGAGTGATTATTGCTCCTCAGGGGCGTCGAGGAGCGCAGCGACATGGTCGATGTGGCCGAACCCATGGACGAACTGGCCGGCGAACTGGTCGACGTGGATGAGAACGACGCAGATTTGCGCAAAGGCGTTTTATTGACGCCATTACCCAGGGGCTGATCCGTGGCCTCCGGCGCCGGTTCCTCTTCGGTTATTAGCAAGCAATCCGTTTGAGTGCCTTGATCTGCAGAAAGGTGCACGGAAAGAAATGTCAGTGTTTCGTATGGAATAAATTTCTATCATACTTTTAGAACTACCATTTGAGATTTGCAATTACGTAGATATTCTTCATATACCAATAAAAAAAATATTAGATATTTTGCATTAAATTACATTAGGTAATTCAAGAAGTTTTAGAATATAGCACACCTGACACTTTTTTCCTACTGTGTAGGGGGACTGGGGATTTTGGCGAGTTTGAAACGCGGAAACGATTGGATTCTTCAAGTTTTATGGTTGCACTGCTGCGTTTTTATATTCCTGCTCAATTAGCTGAAAACAATTAAATTCTAGCGCCTTTCTGGCAATTAGGGGAATTCGTGTTTATGCTAAAACTTGGCCCCATGCTTTCAACGGAATAGAAATCGCTGCACATTTTCAGCACACCAAGTTGTCTATTGTCTGCGATTGCTCGCTGTTTTGTTTGCTAATTTACAGCGTGCGTAGAAATAAATAAGTTGCCAAGATTCCTTTCGCCCCGAATAGAGTGACTGACTTGGGCAGGGTCATCAACGCGTGGCGGCGCGGATGTTTCGGATCCCATTCCCAAGCAAACCAAACCCATCCCTAAGATGAGGCGGCCTGTCAACGGGGATTATGCAACTTAGTTCGCGGTTCTTTCACGGCGCCAGTCTCCCAGCTTGCTGCGCCCAATTAAATGAAATCTATGCATATAGACATTAAAATATTTTCATGTTTGAATGTGTTCATGTTTGTGAACTGAAGTGCTAAATGGTTTTGGCCAACATCTGCGCAGTTCTGGGCCAATTCCCTCAGTTCTCGAACTGCTGCTGGTTTATTACATTTTTCTTCTGGCCGTGGGTGTGAGGAAAACAATTTTACGAGCCTCCCAACTACTTTATAGTATCGGATTCGAATGTCTTTGGCTCTTATCCAGTTTATAAACATATACGTTGGGCTAATGTGCCTATAGATTGTCGTGCCAGCCCAAAAACTTGACTGAAACCAAAGCGGAAATAGTGTTATTAAAATTTATTTGTGGCAAGTGCGCCGGCGGTCATACAGAGCAATCTGCCAGAAATTATTAATCGTATTAGACAAATATCTATATTTCTGCGGTACTACGTAGTTAGCTTAAGAATATACTCATTGGGTCTGCTACGATGGTAGAGAAGCTAGATTATTATGCCTCTATGAGAAGTGCGACCACGCCTTTGCCATGTCGACCAATTTGATATAATATCTTAATAAACCACTCAACTGGATCCCACAGAAAGATCCCATCTAATGGATCACCAAATTGTTTCCTCATCCACAAATTTCTGAACAAAACAAAGAAAAAATAAGAAAATATGAACGGATTTCTAAAGTGGCAAAGGAAAATTGTGTTGTGTGTGTGGTTTGTGACTTGTTGCGCTGAGTTCATTTGCTATTTAAAGAAAATTACCCAATTAATTTAGAAAAACACAGAGCTGGGAAAAAACCATAATGCAAATGTTTGTGTAGCTGCGGAAAAGACTCATCACAAAAAAATGTGAACGGGACACT